TACGACGACTGCCATGTAATGAGGGATAATTAGCAGCCGTCATTAGCAAAAATAATTTCAAGAAGTAAACTACTGCATCTGGATAAAATGGCCTCCTCTCTCAACTTAAAATATTATTTTTTTCATCAACATCATGTTTTCGATCAATATCGATCATTTTCGGATGCTTCAATTTTAAGTTCCAACTTCAGGCCACAAAACAAACTACCATACAAATAACAGGCATATTAAAGCTGGATTCTTCGTCTTGCACCAGGTGGCAGCACTTCTTTTCCAAAATCAGTGTTTATCTTTCCAAAATCTTCATTTCCTCGCTGAGGAGTGAAATCGGCCTCATCGTTGTCAAAAATAGCAGAATCGTTGTCATTTTTAGCACGTGTGACAAAAATAGCACGTGCTAAAAATGACAACGATTGACCAAACCTCCCCCGACTGAAATGACTTGTGTCTTGTGTCTTTCAGCACACAGAAATATTTTCTGTGTGCTGTGACTGCTACGGACCTGAGTCCTGTCCCCTAACCTGACTGCCCTGTTCATGTTCCAGCTGACGGACCTGTCGCTGCTGCTGACGGCCCAGCAGGTGGCGCTCGAGATCCTCACCGACCTCTGCAGCGGAGACGGTACGTGCCGGTGTCGCCGGCTCAGCTCGGTCATAGTCGGACGTTATTGCCTTTCGTGGCCGTAATTGTCTGACTATGTATCGCTTGATCGCTGTCTGTCCTCAGACTCGCCATCACGTGATTACCATTTTTATGCTCGACGTCATCACGTGATGCCACTTTGTCCTCGTACTGGTTACGTGATCGCTGTTTGCTCTCAGTCTCATTATCACCTGTCCATTGTCCTCAGGCTAGTTTGTCACGTGACGTTTGCCTCCCCCAGACTCGTCTGACGGCTGGGCGGACCAGGAGGACTCTGAGGAGCCCGACGAGGACGCTGAGGAGGACGGCTGTGACCCGATGGAGGACTCCCAGTGGCGGGACGACCCGGACGGAGCGGCACTCTCCACAGAGGTCAGACTGGGGGAGTGGTGTGTGTTCACTAAGGTCAGAGGATGCGACGTATGCCTTTTGCTGATAACATTTCCAGCTAATCTGAAAAAATGCCCGCTGTAAAATGCGAGAACTTACGTGAATGGTGTTGGTAGCGCTTTTTTTCTGTAAAGATCCAACACATTACGTCGATTTCATCTCATCATTTTTGTGGTGCTTGCTTTAGTTCTTGTGGTTGTGTTCATATGCTACACGCTTAGTTCTGAAGCATATAACTTCACCTTTCGTTTCCATGGGTCAAATTATCCTAATATTCTCAAGCAAAATCACGCTTACACCCTCGCTGGCACCGGTCGGCGTCTTCTGGTCTGCCGCGACCTCTCCTTTCCCCCTGTGCTGACGCTCCGCCCTCTGTGTGACCCGCAGCTGCAGGAGGCCATGGCCGGGGAGGGTCTGCTGAAGAAGATCGTGGCCAAAGCCGCCTGTCCGCCTGCCAACGTGACAGACATCCTGGCCTCCTCGCCGTCCGGACAGACCATCTGCCGACGGTCAGTGACGTTATACCGCGTCGCCGGTCATTCATTGACGTCATACCGCTCTGGCTGTGACGTCACCGGTGCATTGACGGATGCGGAGGGAGATGGGTGGTTAACGTTGTCACGATTAAAAAAAAAATCTGTGCTAGCGTGCACACGGCGTGGAGTGATTCGTACTGAGAATTCTAGCTATGACATTATAAGCTACGAAAAAAGTGTAGCGTGTCGACCGTTCCATTTTCGCCCGTACCGATATTCTGACATCCCTTCTGTCTCCTACCGCGCAGGTTCGAGACGCTGCGGTGCCGCGTCTTTTTATGTCTGAACAACCTGGTGTCGGCGCTGGAGCTGTCGGAGCTGGGCGGTCCCGGCGAGCTGACCCAGCTCTGGCACCAGATCGGACAGCTCGTCTTCACAGACGGAAACGGTGAGCTGTGGATCAGTCTGGAGGGTGCTGGATGAAAATCGAAAATGTGGAGACAATGATGGGCAAAATCGGTAATATTTTGTTCAAATTACTTATATCGTAAAATGTATTCATGATGCCAATTGCATTGCTCTTTATGCAACATGATCGGAAAACTCCGTTTTCACTGAACTAATCGAGGGACTTCAAAGAGTTTCAGCGAAGAAAACGAAATTTGTCTCGAATGCGCTGGGTAGCTAGGTGCCTTGGACTCTTTCCTGTTGCCGACCGTAATATCGAGTGTGCACTCAGCTCGTGTCCGGTGCTTGATCACCCCCCCCCCCTCTCTCTCTCTCTCTCTCTCTCTCTCTCTCTCTCTCTCTCTCTCTCTCCCTCTCTCTGTCAGAGTGCAGCGGCGAGGTTCTGGAGTCGGCGGCGGCGGCGATGCGCGCCGCGCTCCAGAAGCTGCTGGACGCCGGCCAGCCGGGTCCCTCGGAGCTGAGCGCGGCCGACCTGCAGCCGATGGCCGCGCGGCTGGCCGCCTGTAAGGACGCGCCGGCCCGCGCCGGACTGCTGCGCGGCGTGGCACTGCTCGGCTGTCTGAGGGTGCGCGGCCAGGAGCGGCTGGGGGAGGCGGACACGGAGCTCGTACAGGTAAGGGACGGAAGGGAGGGGTTACTACTGGGGTGAGGGACGGACGGCTGGGGGAGGCGGACACTAAGCTCGTGCAGGTGAGGGACCGAGGGGGATGGGTTACTACTGGGGTGAGGGACGGACGGCTGGGGCCGGCAGACACGGAGCTCGTACAGGTGAGGGACCGAGGGGGAGGGGTTACGACTGGGGTGAGGGACGGACGGCTGGGGCCGGCAGACACGGAGCTCGTACAGGTGAGGGACGGAAGGGGAGGGGTTACGACTGGGATGAGGGACGGACGGCTGGGGGAGGCGGACACGGAGCTCGTGCAGGTGAGGGACGGAAGGGGAGGGGTTACTACTGGGGTGAGGGACGGACGGCTGGGGCCGGCAGATACGGAGCTCGTACAGGTGAGGGATGGAAGGGGAGGGGTTACTACTGGGGTGAGGGACGGACGGCTGGGGGAGGCGGACACGGAGCTCGTGCAGGTAAGGGATGGTGGAGGAGGGAGGTGAGGCTAGGGGCAGGGCGATAGGACTGAAGGGTAATGAGTCTGAGAAGGAAGAGTGACGGGATTGGGGTTGACGAGACAGGGCGCTAGAAAACAGCCGTGTCACTGGGCTGAAGTCGGGTCGGAAGTATTTCATACGACACCTAATTTGAAGCCCAGCATGAGATTAATTCCTCTGCCTCTCACTTAGCTGAGTATCGGGGTCTCTGGGAGTCAGATCGTCTCAGTTAAATTTTGAGAGTCGTGACCGTTAATTTTTATACCGACCGGTTTGAGGATGAGTTGAGCACTGTTTATATTTTCACAGGGCGTCGGTCAGCTGCTGCTAGAGCTGACCGCCGCTGCAGTGGTGTCTGAGGCTGTAACTGACCTCTGTCCTCCGTTCACAGGGCGTGGGTCAGCTGCTGCTGGAGCTGGCCGCCGCTGCAGTGGTGTCTGAGGCTGTAACTGACCTCTGTCCTCCGTTCACAGGGTGTGGGTCAGCTGCTGCTGGAGCTGGCCGCCGCCGACCCGGAACTGCAGGTAGTGGCTGAGGCGCTGGACGCGCTGATGGACCTGTTCGGAGAGGACTGCACGGACGGCGCGGCGGCGCACATCCAGCTGGTCGGTCGGCTCCGCACCATGCAGCCGGGGATCAAGGCCAAGGTGAGTCGCGCCGGACGGCGAGTACCCCTCCCCCCCCTCCCCGCCAGACAGCCAGAGGGAACAGTTCACCGCAGGAGGCATTTCGAGTCGCTGAAGGACTTGGTGATCATTCAATGTAGTTTCAGTTTGTTTTTGCGCATAAACTGCTGTACGTGAGTTGGTTCACTCAATGTTTGCAATTGTCATATATTTGTGATCACATGAATATAATTTCACGAACGTAGTTTATTGAAAACTTTTTGCCATTTGGGTTAGCTTTACATTTTCGAAACAATACTTTGCTCCGTCGAAGTCTCGAAGTCTCGCTACCAAAGGTTGAGCGTTCTTTTAATTTCGATCTCGTAGGCTCTACTTTACTTGCTTTCCATAGTTGTAGATATTTCATCCAACTCCTATTTTGAAACACTTAAGCTCCTTTTTCATTTTTGAAATTTATTACGGTGAACTATTCCCTCCAGCACTGTCCTAGTTGTCGTTTTGGCCGACAGATATCACTGCAGCGGCGCCGGCTGGGCCAGCACTACCCTCTGGTGGCCACCGTCAGAACTAACCTACCACGGTTCATCAAATACAAGTCTGCGCGCTGCGCGGCTGTCAGTAATGGACACTAGATGACGTCAGTGACACGTGACAGGCTGTCACTGGTCACGTTGCTGCCACAGTTGATAGGTGTTCCAGCTGCCCAAACGGGGCCGGTTTGGATGGGAAGGGGACAGGGATAAACAGACTGCCAACTGACACGCGGTCATCCCGCCCGTGCTCTATACCGGTGTGTACGTTTGCTCGTACATATGTTTGTATCTGCGTCTGCGGGTGTGCTGGCATGTGCGTTTTTGTATGTCGTGTGCTATCTTGATGAAGTGACGCCTTTGTGAAGTTGTTTTGTCGTGCAGTGCCTCGCGTTTTGTGTGAAGGTTACTCGTTACGTCGCGGGGAAGCGGGGTGACGGTTGTGCATATTGACTCGGTGCTCTGGAGAACCGGATGAGACCGGTTGACACCGGTGTGCCGGCTATTTGACCTGAGAACGCTGCGGGTGACCTGAGGTGACCTGGATTGATCTGAGGTGACCTTAATTGACCCGTGACAGACAGTGCGTACTTAACGCTGCCACTATCCTCAGAAAGCGATTTACCCGATTTTATATGGTATCGCGACAGGTGTCAAGAATACACGACTGGACGCTGTCATCGAGTTTTCGTGGGCCATAGTCAAGAAGCTGGAGTAGGTGTAACTTTTACTATTTTTCGAAGGTTTTGTTTGTCAAACATCATTGGTTTTTGAAGAACAGCATGTATTTCATTCTTTTGCTGGTCAGGCGGGGTAACACACTTTGCACTGTAACATATAAAACAACCTGAGGTTTTCACAAGAATGGTTATTTCTCAAATCTGTTCAACATATGTGGCGAAGAAATAGCTTAAGGCATGTCGAAAGCTTGCGAGAGACGTATACCACACACTGCATTCATTACGCGGCGATTCAGTAAAACGACCGTGTCCATTTCGCACTTGGTACGAGCTGATACCACTATGTTTCTAGCTACGTGCGTTGCGTTGCATGGGTTATAAGGCTCTCAAGTATGTACGTACACGATATGAAGTAGATAAAGCGTGTGTAAATCTCTTGTAGAAACACTAGCCTCGAATCGTCCAATTGTTGTAGATAATCTGTCTAATGAAGGACTTTAATGAGGATTAGCCCGCGGATAAACACGAGCACCTGTAAAAACGAACGAACAGCTGCTGTGACAGCTAGTGAGGAACGATGATGTTGAAATAGAAAGTGGAACATGTGTGAATGATAATTTCTAACAAATTTACCGTCAGTACGAAGCAATACCGAACCCATAACACAATCATTGAATCCCTCACCATTGGTCAGCCATCATAAAAAGCAGAACTTCTACGATCTTAAAGGGACTATCCCACCTTCTTAAATGTTGTTAAAACCAGTTAAATTGTGCCCGACTTTATAGATTGGATGACCAGGAACACGGTTCTGGCATTTATTTTTCAATAAACATCTTAGGCTTCCCATATTCCAAACACAAACTTTCAAATATGTGACGTCACAGCCCAAAATTACCTCCTTCCCCAGGCCACATTACTGTCATAAAGCTGATCCTTTTTACTCTGTAGGCACCACAACAAAGTTCAGACCAAGTTTTAAGCGATTTTTCAACGAACAAACCCATTTAAATCAGAATGACTAAACGAGGTGACGTCATACTAACGGTCGCTCCATGTTGAAGATAGGGCCTTGTACAAGGCCCATTTTCAAATGAAGGGAACGAATTTCTTCAACACCAAGAGGCCGCGGGGGTTGCAACCTAGATAGATAGTGGTTTCTGAACCTCGCCGCAAACTTAGCTATCTCAACTCAAACCCCATGTTAAAGGTGGGATAGTCCCTTTAAGCGTCTGGCTTGGAATGATCGGAAACGTAAAACTTAGTAACGTTCGCATGCTGGTCGAACGAGTTCAGATCTTCTTAGAGATTCTTTGCTGAGAAGCGGAGCATCCCTCCGTTGTCCCGTGTCCCCCACAGTGAATGTTTGGCTGTAGTTCATACGGACCTCGGTGTTGTCATGTCATGCCTTGGTCTCCGCCTCTCGTCCGTTCTCAGTCACCGTTTTCTTCTTCTCTTCAGACACCTCGTCATCCACAGAGACCGCCGGATTATCCTCCCCTCTGTACTCCGGGGCTCTCCTCTCCCCCTCTTCCCCCGCGGGACCGTCGCGCCCCCTTCCCACCACTGCCGCCACCTCCATCGCTGCCCCTCCCTTCCCCTCCTCTTCTCCCTTCTGCCCGGCGCGGCGGCGGCGGCAGCGCATGTATATCACCGCCGCCAGGCAGGGCCACAGCATCAGACCCTGCGCGATGACCTGCGCGTAGACGGCCAGCGTGGCGACGTCTCCGTCCGGCGCCGGCAGCGAGGCCTTCAGCAGCAGGAGCGCCAGGCCGCCGTTCTGCAGACCCGTCTCCAGACTGATAGTGACCACCTGAGGACAGAGAGGCACTTAGACGCGGTGGAGGATACACAGAAGGAAGGGAAATGAACACAGATCAAGGAGTCCTTCAAGGAGTAGCAGTATGGGCGTAAAATGACCTCGCAATCGGCGCGCCCCTAACCCCCAACAAACGAACAAGGAGTAGCAGTATGGTCGGCTGGGACGGCACAGCGCGGATACACCGATCGGGAAGCGATCAGAATCAAACAGTTGGTGGCTGATCTCTACAGCTGTTTGTGGGATCCAGCTTACTCACGACACCCGGATGTGATTGTCTGAACGCGTTGTTATAGTAACAACCCACGGGCTGTTCGGCCAACAGACTGGATTTAACCGGAAAATGCGGACTAGTGAAGCGAACACAGGTGGTTGACCTAAGACGCGGAGTGAATCGAGATTACTGACCTCGGTGAAGTATCTCGGTTCACTCCGAGATACTGACTTTTGCGAGTATACGTCTTCTTGCAGTACGTCTACTTGAGATAGGCTTAGAAGACGAATGCGGACCGGCCTGAAAGCACGTGACTGACCTGCGCGACGGGTCGTCTGAAGAGCAGCGCCAGTCCTCCGCCCAGCGAGAAGCCCAGCAGGACCACGGCGCTGCCCATCAGGAACTGGTTGAGGGAGAGCAGCGAGAACTGCTCCAGATTCAGCCAGATGCCCACCTGCGAGAAATGTCATCGGTTAGCCGCTGTCGTTTTATTTTCAGACGTTTCTGTGCTTTGCACGTCAATTCGTACCGTCGTGACGAGTATAAACTGACGGTAGTGCTCGTGCCCGTGTGTGTTCGATGGGGTAATCGCCAGATTAAGCCTGCGTTTCAGTCGGAATCCACGTCTAAATGTTGCGAAATTCGGTGTGTGCTGTTCGACCGAGGTTGTTGGCCTTGGGCGCAAAAATAGATGTGGAGCTGCGCAGGCTTAGAACGTTTCCGCCATTGTGCGACTGTGTTGATTTGGATAGTCAAAGGAAGAGCCTGTTCCGTACGGCTTACCCTGAATGAACCCCTTGCCTCCCCTCTCTCCAAGGACTATCAACTTGGCGTGCCGGGATACTGAACAACTAGGAAGCCGAGTTTGTTTAGAGCATCACAGCCACAAAAACAACTTGCATCGATCTATGTTATTTGTTTTTGTGGTCGCTAGCACAGCTGGTGGCAGCCCTCAAGTCTGGTGTTTGGGGTAGTGTGCATAGTTTGCGCGTGTTTATCTCGCCTGAAATATAAACATTGTCGCCTTAGATCCGTCCCGAGGTATTGACCAGACCCGCACACTCAACGGCCGTAGGTTTTAATTGCGCTCCTTATTTATTTGTAACATTCGCCACGATGCGTGTGCGTGCGGTGAGCAAGTCAATTGCTGGATCCTCGCCATGGGCTGCTGAGTGCTCCGCCAAGTGGCTACGGTCGATATTTGATCGTGTGGCCAACAATTTCAGCGGAAAACATAGAGAGTAACCGTAAAAAGTGCTTATGTCAAAAGCATCTCGAGCATGAAAGTGGTATCCTTGAAACAGAGGTATTGACTATAGAGTTCTGTGGTCATCACATGCCGTCTGTGAATACTGAATGCGTCTCGTCTCGTTTCATGCATAACCTGATTTCAAATGCAGTCGAGTGCAGCTCTGTGATCCGAGGCCAGATTCGTGTTGGCCTTCGCCCCAGCGTTCCGAGTGTCTGGATGATATCAGTTAGTGCCTGGCTACGTTGGCCTCAGTCTGCACACTCAAAGCCTGTCGTGTCTTGAGGCATTTGTTTAGGTATGTCAACGGCTTTGTGCCTCGGGGCAAGAGACGGTCACCCGTTTAGTTCATTGGTGGGAAGAATTCACAAGTTTTTCGTCCACGCAGTAAGAATGCACAAAAAAATGCGCAACCAAAGGAAACAACCTGTTGATGATGCGTGCAATGATTCGCTACTATCCAGGGTATGGTATCCCAGCATCCAACTTGTCCTTGATCCGCTTTTCATTATTAGTCTGAGCCAGTCATAGTTTTTGCTTCGGTAAATCAGGGTCGATGCCGGCAGATCTAACCCGTCGCTGCATTTGAAGTCAGCAAAAACATCATCCACAATGCCCTTCAATCGGTCGGAAATGGCCTCATCCTGGCCAGGCTCAGAGCGCTGAGCGCGTGTGCAGTGAGCCAGTCTGTCTTTTTACGCCGCTCCCCCGGGAGAGAACTCGACATACCGTGCAGAAGATGGCCAGCAGGACGCCGACCATGGGCCGGATGGAGCGGTCCGAGTACTCTTTCCAGTGCGGCTTCCACCAGCGCAGCACCATGCCGATGACGGAGGGCGCCGTCAGCACGAGCAGGGAGGACACGATGCCCTGGTACGGCACCTGGATGTCGTGGCCCGAGGAGGCGATCTTACGGCCCAGCGTGAACATCCACAGCGGCATCATACCTGCAGCGGAGAGGAAGACGAGGGTCATACCTGGACGGCGCCGCCGGAGCATACTTGGAAGAATGGCGGGTCATACTTGGCGGAGGACGGAGGGGCATACGTGACGGACGGAAGCAGCGCGGGTCATGCCTGTCGATAAATCAGCCTACTCTAAACTATGTTTCTTCTTCAGTTCCATCAAGCCAACGGAGTCGCAGTATTTCACTGAAACCACTTGAACCGCCAGCTTAAACCTAGCTCCTGTCGCCCATCTCAAGCTTTGATGTTCCCCGGTTACATCAAAGATGACGCCCGTCACCCCCCTAAGTGACGTCACTCACCGATGGCGGCCAGCGTGGAGACGAACGTCATGGTGACGCTGAGGTTGACGTCGGCGCCGAGCAGCAGCGCCCACAGGTTGCTGTTGCCGCCGCCCGGGCAGGTGCCCAGCGTGAACAACCCCAGCTGGTAGAGCGGGTAGCGCTCGAAACCCAGCGTCGCCACCGCGTACGAGCTCTGCGGAGAAAATAAAGTGGGCGGCGCAGGGGAATGATATAGTGATGCTGTACATGTTGATGTCTGAGGTGGTTGAACGGTGATGCTTCGTCAAAGTTAAATGATCATTACACCGACGTTCCTGCAAGCTAGTAAAATTTCAGGCGCGTGTGCTGCGGTACAGTCTACTTTCAGGCGTTTGTAGACCTATAGACCTATGCCGCAATACCTGTATTGCGGTACAGCCTATCTTCAGGCGCGAGTAGGTGTTGCGGTGCAGTCTACTTTCAGTCGTGTGTTCTGCGGTGCAGTCTACTTTCAGGCGTATGTGTTGCGGTGCAGTCTAACTCCAGGTGTGTGTGTGTTGCGGTGCAGTCTGTTTCCAGGCCAAAAATCCATGCCATTGCTAGTGGAAGCAACTTGTTAACTATCTAAGGCGTGTGTGTTTTGCGATACAGTTTGTCTTCAGGCGCGTGTGGGTATTGCGGTACAGTCTATCTTCAGGCGCGTGTGGGTATTGCGGTACAGTCTATCTTCAGGCGTGTGTGATGTGTTGCGGTACAGTCTATCTTCAGGCGTGTGTGGTGTGTTGCGGTGCAGTCTATCTTCAGGCGTGTGTGGGTATTGCGGTACAGTCTACTTTTAGGCGTGTGTGGTATGTTGCGGTACAGACTTCTTTCAGGCGTTCTTATTTTGCCGTTGATAAAATGGGGGTGCGCCTCAGTGTTAGATTGGCTTTGCAATGCAAACAAGCAGCAAGAGTTCAGTTATGGACTGATACGACTTTAAAATGTCTAGTGAGAGTCTAGTTTCCGCTGACTTACCAGCGGCATGATAAGGAACTGCGCCAGGAAGCCGGTGAGCGGGCCGACCGGCTTCAGTAGCGACTGCTTGATGGCCTCGAACTCGAGCTGCATGCCCATGTTGAGGTTGCTGCCGAGCGTCATCACCATCAGGATGCCGTAAAAGGCGTAGTCCTTGGCGCTGTCCTCGCGGACGAAGCTGACGTGCACGGTGGAGCTGTTGGAGAGCATGTCGAGCCATATCGCGCTGGTCGACTGGTTAGCCGCGATGATCCAGGCCCGCGGCGTGATGGAGTCGTGTCCCAAGTACTGTCCGGTGACCTCCACCGACTGGGTGCGGCCGGAGCGCACATCCTGCGGGCTGAGTGTCCACGAGTCGGGCACCATCCATGTGCGCCACTCGACCTCGGGCACCAGCGAGACGGCCACCAGGTCTGCGGCATCCAGCGGCGGCTCGGCCGGCTCACCCTCACCAGGCTCCCAACCCAGGGTGAAGTTGAGCACGCTGGTGGTGTGGCTGGGCACCTGCTGCAGCGAGGACGGACTCACGGAGAGTGTGAAGGCCGCCAGAGCCGCCGGTGCCAGCTGCAGCAGCGCCACGGCCGCCGCCAGCGTCCGACACATCGCTGCGGGCCGTGTGATCGGGTGCGCTGTAATCCGGAAACGTGCCGCCCGAACTCGGGTCACGTGCGCTCAGGATGTGCCACAATAGGCACTACGCAACGCTCCGTAATCACTTTTGAATGCTCATCAACTTGATGCAGTGCAACCGGATATCACTTAATGTGGATTTGAAAGCTTTGTGAAGGTTTTCGCCACTCAATTCAATACGAGCAGTATGTAGAAGCCTCAGTTTGCTAGGGAAACAGACAATACCGTTGAGTGAGCTGTATTCAGAGGCCTTTAATTAGGTTGTTATTTTGAGCCATTTCATTTGTCTCGTTGTCTTCCGACCCTGCAGGTACGAGTGCTACTGCTCCGCCGGTGGATGTATGCCGATAGTGCCTTCGTGCTGAATCTAAACAGAGTGGAAGCAAGATTAACTGTCAGAACGCATGCACAGGCAGAAATTGCACAATGCACATCCGCACAGTTCACAGCGCACACAAAAAGGGCAATACGCTCCGCAGTCCGTCCTCATTCGCATGGTTCACGGTATTCCCTTAGTGAAATCATCACGGCTGTTGTCCTAACGTTGACGGTGGCTCTATCCCGGCTAATGTTTGCTCGCGGTGACCCTCTCATGTCACGTTGGTCGGCGAGGAGACCCGGGACGGGACCTGTAACTCCCCGGCTGTGCGGGGTCGAGGCTGGGTCCCACTTTCCACCGGCCGGGTAAGCATGACGTGGTCGTTGTGATGCCATCCAAGTGGAAGGCGCCGGTCGGTTCGCGGAAGGACCGGGGTGCGTACGGTTTATCCACGGAACGTCTCCGGGTTTTTGTCGACAGAGCTCAGTGTTTGTCCGTGATGCAAATTTACAGTCGCAGGTCCGGCTCGGACACATGACTGACATTCAAATAGTTCGTTTATTTTCTCATTAGATTAAGACAGGCGGTCGGTGGTGGGAGTAAGTTGTCCCTGGTGTCTTGCTAAATGAATGTGGTACCGATTGATATTTTAGCTTTTTTGAAACCCCTAATTTCTTACGACCGCATTTCTCCTTGAACGGTGACCTCATGCACAAACGACAACCAGAGTCACATTTCCAGCGGGGCATCCCATGCGTCTGCACGCCCAAGGCCCGGTAAACGACTTGTCAGTAGCATCTCGGCGTAAGTCTTATGTGTATCAGCATGATAGTCCTGCATGTCCCGCGCTCTGGCACTTAAGATCGTCATCGGATAATTCAAAACAAAGAGCTGTGTGGAGTAATATACCTACGTACTTACAAGAAGTTTACCTTTAAAGTATTTTCGACGAAGGATGTGCGAGCATTTTTTTTGGACGGATATCTGTATTGGACTTTTCAAACTGTAGGTACTTGTCGCGTTTTTTTTTCAACATTTGGCACCGCTAGACCGTCCACGCACTGGGCCGGGCACTTTCAGCGGTCACGGGCAACGGTCCGGAAAATTCAGGATGCCGAGCGGTGCTTCCGGCGTGACTGAGGGTTACAAACCGCTCTGTGAACGGCGACCAGCTCGAGTAGGAACAAGCCCCGAAGGTCAGCGGGGTGGTACCGGTGTTCACATGGCGTGGTATCTTCTATCTACAACCATCCCCCGAGTTATTATATTGAATGGGTTCTATTTACTGAAGTGATTTAAGGGCCCATTATGGGCAATTAAGCTTTTTATTCAGCGTTTGCGGGAAGACGGCTTGCTGAAGATGTAATGGGTTTACCAAACCTATCGATGCTATCGGATTTGATTGAGCTCGATATCATCTGCGGAGTTTTTCTTTTCTTTGATGCCTGATGGCAAATTACAGCTGGCTGGAGCCGGAGCTGCCGGAAGCCGCATATTTCGCCCGTTGCCGCAGCCGGAGGCGCCAGAAAGTTTTATCGTAACCGGAGTCGCAGTACATATAGTAAAAAAAGAAGGGCGGTTTGGGCTCCGGATGAGATTCTAACTAAACACACATGCATTAGCGCATCATCTGCAATTTTCAACATCCTGGAACACACACCAACGCATGGAGACGTAAAATCCGACAAGTTTTTAGAAAGTTTAATTCATCACAATTGCCTTCTCTATGCTTCTTATTGTTTCGGTAGTTCGTTTCGATTCAAGTGAGGATTCCTGACGTTTGGGATGCCAGGAGCCGGTACATTCTGCCCGCAGAGGGAACCGAAGTGCCCGACAGGAGTCGGTGGAGCCGTTCAATTTTATTGACTCAGCATCGCATCCCTGATCAGAATCGGACACCGACGAACCTCAGTGAGCTTAGTTTGACCTGTTCGAACGCACGTTTTATGTTGGGTACGTTCAATGTGTACCGGTGTGATGTATACCTACCTTCGAGTGAATATTGACCGGCCAGTGGCCACTGACAGCTGGGTCACTGGTCCATGCTCCCTGCCTCTCTCAAAGGACCGGTTTCATCATTGCATCAATGGCATTGCTGCCTTGCAAGACAAGAAACGAATGAATAATTCCGTTCAACCCTGGCATGGCTGGTTCCTTGTCTCGTATTATGTTCGATAGGCAAGCCACTGAATTGCCCAAATCGGCCAGTTCTTGACCGTATCCATGTTATGCGTCACCGTTATCTGTATCTGTATCCGAGATCATCAACAAATAAGTGTATTCATGTGCATGTAGCATCTATGCTTATTTAATACTTTCTAATGGCATTGACACGGTCCTATCATAGGTAGCCTCCGGACCATCTCACCTGTCCTCACACACTGAGGTGCCGGCGCCGGTCTGACTGAGCTCACAGCCTCCTTGCAGCTGCTCTGCGCCGTCCGCGAGCTCCGCTCACCACGCCGGCCCGCGGTACACTCGTGGGACCTCTGTCACCGTGCGGTGGGCGCGTGCCCACCCACCGGCGGCAGACGGGCTGGTGAGTACACAGCGGAGCGCCCCGGCCCGTACCCACACCCGGCTCCGGGAACCAGACGCCGCCGGCGGCACGGCACCCGCGCCCGGTCACAGGGTATTCGTGTCGTACGGGTCGGATCCCGGTACAGAGGGTGTCCGGGAGACCCGCCTTGTTTGATCGGCGACAGACTGTTGGATCGATGGAAGGTTTCTGCTGAATCATCCCACGTTGCTCCGTGGAAATCCGGCTCAGGTGAGCGGTGTGTAGGTCATGGCTGAGCGGGTTGCCACTGCTGCATCGGTGTGACGGTCCAGCTCCTGCGCCTTCCGTGTGTCGAACTCGCATATGATGCAGGGGAGGTGAAAGCATGCTGAGCCCGCCGCCCGGGACCGTTTCAGGTCCTCTTGAAAATCGCTTTACATATCAACACGTAGCGTGTAAAAGGGGGTTGCTCATGCTACATTTAAAGCACGCCACAAATTACTCGTAACTCCGCCGAAAGGGGTTTGTTTTTTCGGGGCTGGGGGACAGGAACCGTAAAAGGAGGTGCGCGAGCAGCCACCGGACGTATTGCGGCGCTGGGAGGCTGCCCTTCGAGCCGGCCGCTATTGACGCCACCAGACCGGACAAGGTCAACGGATGCCGACTATATTGGCTGAATTATTTCGGATTACGTACGAAGCGTACGATTGTCTGTGAGTGTGGACACCGCCTCGCTGAAATCTACGATAAGTTGTGGGCTCGACTCGACCAATGCTCGATAATAAATTTGAGCTCGGTTGCCTGACCGACCGGTAGGGTTATTACGAGGAGGGAGCATTAAGCGTCGTGGTGTCGATGTGGTGTCGACGTCGTCTTCCTTTTTAAATTATATCGATCTATCAATTGCGTTTTTTGAAGGCTTTAGTCACTGTTGGAACCAGAGAGATGTCACTGAACGCTGCTGAAAAGTACCCATGTTTCCGAAAATTACTATAATGCTATACATATTTCCTGATATTGTGCTGCTCTATGTATGGCGCCTGGCGGCAGTGCCAGTGGCAGTGGCGCGGGAACCGGGGGGGCTAGGGGGGGCTGAGCCCCCCCAGCTTTTCGGCTGGGGGGGCTCGTAATGTATTTGAGCCCCCCCCCCCCCAGCTGGAGGAATCGAAATCGGAAATCTACCAACATAATTTCATAGATTCATACATAGGCGTGGGAACCGGGGGAGGGGGCAGTGGGGGAAGCTTGCCCCCACAACTCTGCGGCCGTGGGGGCGGTGCCCCACAACGTTTCATGAGGCCAGGAACCGTCGGGCAGCTTGTCCTCCCCAAATTAGGGGTTGTGGGTCACAAAGGAAGAAAGCATGTAAGTAAAAAATCCACCTATTTCACTGGCTCGGCAACTCATTTGGCAGATTAAAACCTTTACTCCAGGTTGCCAAAACGGTAGTTTCTTCACTCAGCTGAGACGGAATACCTCACTTTTTGAAAATATTTTCTTTTCTTTTTTTTTTGTTGTTGAAAAGGCCAAGGTCTGAAAAATAAGTGGCCTAAAACCGGTGAGAAAACTAGATTTGGGGGTACCCTAGGTTGATTTCTATTATGGTTCAGCCCCCCCAGTCTGGAAGAAGTTCCCGCGCCACTGGCCAGTGGGTAGGCAATAATTGGTAATGCGCGCGGTAAAAATCGTTACAAATTAAACATAACCCTTACAATGTCAGTGACATTGACTTTTTGCCTAGTGCCTACATGCAGATATGTAGTTTTTGCTTTTTGTATGCGGTAGCTTGCGTTGGGAGGAGACAGCTGCGAAATAGTGTTTAACTCATAAATTTGCAGCAAAATAATTATCTCGTTTATGGTGGGCATGAGACAAAAAGAAAAAGCTGTGTTCGCATTATTTTGCAAGTGCTGCTAGCGAAGATTTTACCCAACAGTTGCGGCCCTTTAGCCAGATACTAACTTGCGTAAACAGTCTTGCGTGCAATGATGAACATTATATCCTGAAGCATTATAGTGTGCTGCGCGCGGATACTTGTCAATTATTTTTTATTTTGTTTTTCTCTGTGTTGGGACGGCAGGACGGGCTGCAAGGGCCGAAACTTTTGAAGGTTAAGTACTAAGTAGTAATTTTACTTGCTATGTAATACATGCTTTATTATGATCACATGAATGATGAAGGATTTGTCAGCCATTCATTTTATATTTGTTTGTCTTTGAATTTTATCTCGCAAGTTTGAGGTTAACTTTCCATCTTAAATAACCTTACCCCCTTTGTCATTGCACGATATGAAATTGTTTTTATTAAATTCACTTAATAGAGACTTATTTGTTCACTGCTGTGCTTTGTTAGTTAGGTAGATGAGCTGATTTTTGCCAATCTTGATTGCCAGTCCCATAGCTCAGTCGATAGAGCACTTGACTCTGTGTGGTGAGAGCACACGTCCCCAGTTATAACAGTCTTGGTCTGGGTTAGAAGCATGATGGGCACTTGACATTTATGGGCCTCCTGAGTCCCTGACAGGAATGGTTGCAGCAGGCCGTAGCCAGGGTGAAGTCAGTGAGGGCCTAGCCGTGCACGGTGCGCGGCTGTGTACGCATGTTAAACTTTGTACTCCAAATTCTGCAATCTGCCATAGAACCAAAATTGCACATTCGGATGGTAGAGGGTCGGGTCAACGCAACAAGCTTCGCTTAGCAGGGGCTATGTTCTTGTGAATCCTTCCATTCAAATGATTGGATTAAATTTATAAGCAATATCAATCTTAACTCGCAAGTAGGTGCCTAACTATGGAAACAGAGTTGACGAGCCACACTAGCCAGCAGCCAGGGTGACTAGTCTGCACTGGATCACACCAGTCAGGCTGGAACTCAGCAAAAGATTGCAATGAGCAAAGGCCAAAGGCTATCAATTTTATTACAAAAAGTAAATCATTTCTGATAAAAAGTGCAATAATTTACCTCTAACTACTAGGTACTAGGCATTTTTCCTGGCTGTCACATTGTGACCCACTTTTATTATTATTTCTTTTTTTAATAGGTAACGCAACACCAGCACAGTGGTTCAGCACAGTGATGACATTAGGCCCACAATGTTCCACACAAAATATGCACTGCACCACACTGCCATTCAAAGGTAAAAGTACGGTCCACATGTCATTCTTTTCTGAACAGTGACATGTTTTCCCTTGCATGTTAGGGCAGCACAGCGAATCTCCCGCTACATCACCTCACTGACTGAGTCCCTGTGGCTCGCACTGACAAGATTTGGTCATCATTTCCATGTTTTTCAATCTAGTTACCTGTAAAATGATTCTATAGTGAGATTCTAAGAAGATGTAGTATAGTAATTTTTGATATATAATTACTTCTCACCACAATTAAGCTGTGGCATTTGCAAGGTATAGGTGTGATGACCGAGTCAGTCGTAACGTGTTATCTCCCTGGTTTACAGATGAGTATTGAATGTGGCATGCTTGTCATTGAAGGTACATGCACCCCAGGCCCAGTCTGTGTCTGCTAAGCATGGTGGCCTGTAGCATGCGCCTATGGGCTATGATGTACATATGTTGCTTGGCGCTGCATGCGATTTCATCACCGTCAGATCGGAAACACTTCTGGTGAGTGATGTTTGTGTTGTTACTTGTTGGGTGTCGTTTGCTTTCGGTCATATCTCTGGCAAAGATAAGCCTTCATTGTCATTAACATTAACCGTGATCACTTCGGCAACTGCTATGCTATGGTTTGCATGGAAACTAGCATGTTTTCCCCCCTTTGTGCTATTGTTTTGCTCGTGCTGACTGTGCACTGCCGTTTGTGTGTTTTCAGAAACCGCTTGTCTCATTCTTTTGTCCTTTACCTGTCTGCTACCCATATCATACCTTTCTACCCGGGCAAACATTTATTTCTGTCAAAATACAGCATGAACAAGAACAGGCGCGTATAAGAAATCGACGAGACGGTGATGACAGTTTCAGAAGTTTCCATATATAATTGACAAAAATGGATGCAGACAAACAACTCAAGACGCTGAAGCAGACCCGTGCAAGGAAGCTGGGAACACTGACTAGGACAAGACGGAGAGCATTCATTCTGATAGAAGCCAAGGGAAGCCGCACTGAGTTGACAAAGATACTGAAAGAATTGGACCTGACATTCGAAGCTGTTCAAGAAGCTCATGATAGTTTTGTCGACCAGCTTACACAAGAAGAAGACGTCAAAACGGCAGTAAAGTACATAGAAGATGTCGAGAAGCAGTACTCTGATGCTGTGGAAAGGATAAGTGAACATTTGGAGGCGAGAAAGGATGAAGCACCTTCAGTTGCCTCAGCGGTGGGTCAAGTGGCTGCCAACTCTGCGGTCTCAGAGCGATCCGAAGTAGCAAAGGCTAGAGAAGCTGAAATACAAGAACGTATCAAGGAGATGGAGTTTTCCCAGATGAAGAAACAGCTTGAAATAGAACAACAGGAGCAAGAGCTGAAGCGCAAGCGTATGCTGCAGGAGGCGGCAGATGCTCGCTCACGAGCCGCGCTGGAAGCGAGTCTGCAGAAAGCAGCGCTTGACGATCTGCAATGGGAACGGAGGAATGATTTTCCGGACCTCACCGAGCAAGATGTTCATGCGCCAATGGCTCATCACGATCAAGGAAAAGAAGCACTCATGACAGGAACCGTTCTCGAGCCTGAGGACAAGGCGTCAAGCAGACGCTGTTGCTCGGCATCCAACAGGAACACACCGAAAGTGACATTGCCACAGTTCAGTGGCAATTCACTGGAATGGCCGCAGTGGTTCGGTTTGTTCTGTGCTCTCGTGGACAGTCGGGACGGACTCTCTGATACTGAAAAAATGGTGCATCTCCAGGCATCAGTTATTGGACTGGCAAAGAAGACCATAGCGGGATTCATGTACAGCCCCCACTTGTACCGCGACGCACTCATGGTGCTGCAGGAGAGGTTTGGTCGTCAAAAGGATATCGTCCGTGCTCACCTCAGTACCCTGTTTGGTGCGCCGCGCATCGGCGTCTCTAGTGCTGCTGCTCTAGAAGAATTGTACACAAAAGTCAATTGCACAGTGACAGTTCTCCAGAGTCTTCACTGTGACGGTGATCTGATGAGTCACGAAAATCTGCAACGAATGGTCGAGAAACTCCCCGCCGATCTCAGAAGGGAGTGGAGCAGACATGAGATTGAGTCGGAACTCAGTTCACCGTCGCTAGCCACGTTCAGCAAGTGGCTTGGGGGACAGGTTAAGATCGCCTTGAACTGCATCGATCCCGTCTCGCATGTACTTGAACGGAGGACATCGTCGAAGAGAGCTACTTTGTTGACAAGTACTGACCACACGGCGTGCGTCTGCTGTGACGGAACTCACCACCTGGCGGATTGCAGCATATTCGCCGGCTGGTCTGTGGGAAACAGAGCGCAGTTTGTGGCTGACCGTGGACTGTGCTTTGTATGCCTGCAGCACGGTCATCTGATAAGGACCTGTCGCTGGGCTAAGCCATGCGGAGAAGAAGGTTGCACCATGCGTCATCACGAGCTGTTGCATGGCAGCAGTCGTGTATTTCGAAGGCAGTGGCCTGTGGAGGAAGCTCGGCAGCAAGATCATGTCGTCAAAAGGCAAACATCTGCAAATGACGCTCAAGCACCAACGCAAGTGGAGACTTCTGTTCATCGCACGGTGGCGACTTCGTTTCCGGTTGACGAGTCCGAGACACTATTGCAGATAGTGCCAGTTCGTATCCACGGCGAGGGCAGCACGTTCGAGGACGTCTTTGCTCTGCTCGACCCTGGGTCGCAGACCTCACTCTGTGCTGCCGATGTGCTGACATCCTTGAATATCACAGGAACACCGAGTGATCTTTGTCTCCAGAACGTTGAAGGCAGTGGAAGCCCTCAGAGCTCACAGAAGGTAAAGCTCCTAGTGAGCCCTCGAAGTGGTGATCAAGTACCGATAGAAGTGTCCGAGGCCTTCTCAGTTCCCAGACTAAACGTGAAGCCACCGCAGATATCAGCTAACCAGAGATGCAGGTGGGAGCATACATTGGACTTGGACATTCCGGACTACAGGGGAGTGGAGATCAAACTGCTCTTAGGGGCAAATGTCATCGAAGCCGTCATTCAACAGGAGGTGAGAATCGGCAGACCTGGTCAACCAGTAGCAGTAAGAACTGCGTTTGGGTGGACATTGACTGGCACGGTCAAGGGTCTGGTCCCAGGACCACTCCGGCACGTCATGTTCATCAGGAAAGCCCCAGTGGAACACGACCTCACGTCTGCGATCGAAGACTGGTGGAAAACTGAGTCGTTCGGGGTGAAGATACATCAGCCTCTAGCAAGGTCTGTTGAGGAAGATCGCGCTGAGAAGATCATGGGAGCAAGCGTCGGCGGGGTTCAAATGGGTTGGCACTTTCTTTCACTGATTTGGATCAGAGGATTCCCGAATCTCCGCGATCCTGTTAGCCACAAAAGTGTGGAAGCGCCGGCTCTCGTTGTTCAGATACTTCAGGACAACGACGCTGTCACTCCAAAACACAGTCCGATGTATCTGGTAAGTCAGTTCCTTCACGATGGCTTCTGATAGTCGGGCAGCCATCACCGCTGCCTGGAGTTCGAGACGGACAATTGAAAGCTGCTTCAAAGGCGCGACTCGTGTCTTCGCTGCAATGAAGCCGACGTTGATCCCGCCAAGCTGCACTGATCTGAGGAACGCCACCGCTCCAAAGGCCGACTCCGACGCATCACAGAATATATGCATCTCGTACCTCCGCTCATCGTCTTCTAGGTTCGGATGCAAACATCTCGGTACCACCACGTCACTCAAACGAGGCAATTCGGCCACCCATGCGCGCCAAATGCGCATCTCATGCTCATTCAGTTGCTCATCCCATCCGAGACCCCGCGCCCAGAGTCTCTGCACGAGTAGTTTCGCTTGCAGAGAGTACGGTGCCACAAGACCCATGGGATCGAACAGACGGGCAACGATAGCAACAACGCGCCGCTTCGTGATGTGCTGCGAGGTTTCCACTTCAACACATCGAACACCCAGAGTATCCTCGACCGAATTCCACGGGCATCCGAGCACGTTCTCCGTCGGTCCATCCATACCCGCTCTCTCTTCCTCTGGGACGTCGAGGACGACTTCCTCCGAATTGCTTCGCCACTTTGTGAGCCTAAACCCACCTCTCGATACCAGCTTCGTTACTTCGCTTCTCAGTGCTTTTGCGTCTGCGACTGTCTTCTCTGTTCTCAGTAGGTCGTCCATGTAGACGTTACGCTGGACGGCCGTCGCTGCCTTTCGGGAAATGACTGTATCTTCCTGGTGATCCATGGCTGTCTTACACAAGACGTAGTTGGCTGAAGCTGGGCTACACCGAGCTCCGAAAATCGTCACCGTCATGTTGTAGGCATCTGGAGGTTTCGTGAGATCCAGATTTCTCCAAAAGAAGCTCAGAGCAGGCTGATCGTCGGGAATCACACGGACCTGATGATACATCTTTTCAATATCACCAACGATAGCCACGGCCTCCTCTCGGAAGCGTAACAGTACTCCCGGTAGGCTGAGCAGCATATCGGGGCCCACCAAGAGCTCGCTGTTGAGAGACGTGCCTTGGAAGGAGGCAGCAGCATCGAACACCAGTCTGAGCTTTCCCGGCTTATGAGGGTTGGTAACTCCATGATGGGGCAGATACCAACTCCCGCTTGCTTCGGAGGAGCTGCTGACAGAGCCAAGCTGGCTCAAAGGTCCTGATTTTCTGCGTGAAGAGGAGGATGAGTGGCCAACTCAAAGCGCTGTAGATATCCTGAACTCTTCGGATCCGGAAGTGCGGACCGTCGGTGCTACTAGCGCCAGAAGTGCTTCAGGAGAGTTCCTTCCGGATCCAGCGAGCTTCTCTTCGTGGTTGAGGTACAAAAGAGTGGTCGCCTGGATGATTCGATTCATCCGAAATCTCCAGTTGAGGCGAGAGGCCGGGAACCAGCAGCTCATGACGGGGCCTCTGTCTGCTGCTGAACTGGAGACGGCGGAAGCGGTCATCGTGCGTGAAGCACAGAACAGACATTTCGAACATGAGATTCGGAGTCTGAGCGCAGGAAGTCTGGTGCACCGATCGAGTCGGATCAGGAACTTGTCGCCGTTCCTCGACAATGCGGGTATTCTTCGTGTCGGCGGGCGACTAGGCAACGCCCCTCTACCGTTCGCTAGCCGACATCCGGCGCTCTTGGCATCAGAAGACCAAGTGACACATCTGATTATAGCGGACGCTCATCAGCAAGTGTTCCACTCTGGAATGGAGCGCACCCTCACGGAAGTCCGACAACACTACTGGCCGTGTCGAGGAAGGTCGCTGGTGAAGCACGTGATCCACAAGTGCCAACAGTGTAAGCGCAGACGCTGTGGTCCGCGAATCCCGAGAATGGCCGACCTTCCAGCCAGTCGGTTCGATGAAACGCGAGCATTCAACACTGTCGGGATAGATTACTTTGGTCCCATGGAAGTGAAGAGGCTTCGGAAGATAGAGAAGCGGTATGGCGTGTTGTTCACATGCTGTGCAACAAGGGCTGTGCATTTAGAACTAGCTCACAGTCTAGACACAGACAGTTTTCTGCTCGCCCTGCGACGATTCATCGCTCGTCGCGGCAAGCCAAAGCTGCTACTATCTGACAACGGGACCAACTTTGTCGGGGGAGAGCGGGAGCTCAGAGAATCATTAGCAGAGTTGAACCAATCGAGGATCACAGATGAGCTCAGCCAGAAAGGAATTGAATGGAAGTTTCTCCCTCCTGGAGCTCCACATATGGGAGGCGTTTGGGAAAGGCTAGTGGGGAGTGTGAAAAGAGCTATGAAAATGGTTGTGGGGAACAGTTGCCTCACAGATGAAGTGCTCCACACTGTGCTCACTGAGGTGGAGTCGATGCTGAACGGTCGGCCCCTCACATATATCAGCATCGATGGACGGGATCTAGATCCGCTGACACCTAACCACTTGCTTCTGGGCTGCGCGAACGCGAACCTGTCTCCAGGGAGATTTCAAGATAAGGAAGTCAACAGTCGAAAGCGATGGAGGCAAGCACAGACTATAGCCGACCACTTCTGGCGCCGGTGGCGTCGCGAATATCTCCCTTCGCTGATTGCTCGGAGCAAGTGGCAGGAGGACACGAGAAATGTGACAGTTGGGGATGTAGTGTTAATGGCTGAAGAGAGCGCTCCCAGAGGTTTCTGGCCGTTAGCGCGAGTTACTGAGGTGTACACGGGAGAAGATGGAAGGGTTCGTTCAGCTGAGCTGAAGACGGCATCGGGAGCGATCTATCATCGCCCGGTAACCAAGATATGCGTATTGGAGGAAGTTGAAGGTTGATGGGGAGTAAGAGGCCCGATTTCCTCGTCCTGTACAGAAATGTGCTGTGCCTCGGGCTGAGCTTCCTCATCCGTCTATCACTGCCCAGCCCCGATTCCCACCTGTCACGCCTTCGACGACTGAGACTGGCGATGGTGGCGTCGTCTTCGGCTGGAGCGGCTCCGAGGGCGGCGCTGATGTCGTCATCTGGGGCGGCGGCATCTGCTATTGGGACAGTGCTTCCGGCCGGGGTGCTACCGGCGGTCGTGGCGCGGCCTACTGTCGCGGCGGGCGCTGCCGTCGCGCTACGGCTTGCTGTCGCGGCGGGGCCTGCCGTCGCTGGACTCGGAGCGGCGCGCTGCGGCAGCGGCGCCCGCGTTTAGAACGCTTGCGACAGTGGACACTTACAGAGTGTTGCGTGCGTTCAGAGTGGCGACATTCAGCGAACGAGTTCATCGTGAGAGTGACTTTTACCGACGGTGGCTCGTGCACGCCACCTGAGCTGTGGTGTCGAGGCTGTAGCTCGATACGGGGTGATTAGTAAGCTCTGAAGACTGTACCTAGTTTCGAGCGGTCGCGGAGCTGACTAGAGCGCGATACGTTGATGATCGTGTGCATCATTGCGTTTGTGTTGGCTGTGAACTTTGTGTTGGCAAGGAACTGAAGGGTGCTCCGCTTCCCAGCTGTCAACATTTGACGCAGATGCAGTTGAGCGATGTTGATCTGGAGTGCTTCAGATAGAAGTATTGTATTCGGTTTAGTTGTGTTCGCTACGCGAAAACGAGGGGGATGAATGTGATGACCGAGTCAGTCGTAACGTGTTATCTCCCTGGTTTACAGATGAGTATTGAATGTGGCATGCTTGTCATTGAAGGTACATGCACCCCAGGCCCAGTCTGTGTCTGCTAAGCATGGTGGCCTGTAGCATTCGCCTATGGGCTATGATGTACATATGTTGCTTGGCGCTGCATGCGATTTCATCACCGTCAGATCGGAAACACTTCTGGTGAGTGATGTTTGTGTTGTTACTTGTTGGGTGTCGTTTGCTTTCGGTCATATCTCTGGCAAAGATAAGCCTTCATTGTCATTAACATTAACCGTGATCACTTCGGCAACTGCTATGCTATGGTTTGCATGGAAACTAGCATGTTTTCCCCCCTTTGTGCTATTGTTTTGCTCGTGCTGACTGTGCACTGCCGTTTGTGTGTTTTCAGAAACCGCTTGTCTCATTCTTTTGTCCTTTACCTGTCTGCTACCCATATCATACCTTTCTACCCGGGCAAACATTTATTTTCTGTCAAAATACAGCATGAACAAGAACAGGCGCGTATAAGAAATCGACGAGACGGTGATGACAATAGGGGCAAGTGCTTTATTTAAAGATTGTCTATTTTATCATTTGTTTTAACTTCTTTTCTCTTTCAGAGATAATTCATCATGGGAAATTTCATGGGAAAGGCACTTGATGAGAGCTTCAACAAGAACAAGAAATTCATGATAGAGATGCAGAGCATTCAGGTATGAATTTGCTTTGTAGGCATCTCGATATGTATACAGTGAGTGTTTGACACTGTATTTTTTTTTTGCTCCAAGTGTTCTCCAATTTCCCTTCATTTCTGATGTTGTTGCCTCATTCTTGTTGCCTAATCTGTTTTATCATTTTACTACATATGGGCTATATTTTGTTAGCATGTGCTGCTTCTAAATGGCTCATCATTAAAAAGAAAAGAATGGTAGAGAGTAAAGACAATGACTATCTGGCATTGACTACTATACTACCGCTACTTTTAAATACCAGTATGTTGACTAAATCGACCGCTGTGAAAGTGTTACAATCTGTAAAAGATAAAAATATTGCAAAAAAAACTCACCGTGTAGCCCTGTGTGTAACCGTATCCCATGCTGGCAGCTGGAGCGTCAGATCCACATGCAGGACCAGATGCGGCAGCGGATGCAGGCGCTGCAGGTGGCGCGCGCCCGCGAGCTGTTCTACTGGTGGGCCGCCTTCTACACGGTCGGCCTGGTCGGCGCCGTCGCGGTGTAAGTGCCGCCGAGGATTAGGTTACCGGTCCCTGCTGTCAATGTAGCTAGCCGACCTTCAGATTCGTGAAATTAGCAGTCTTGCCGCTGTCGGTAATCGGTATGAAATTAGCTGGATGTGTGCTAAATGACATCTGTGAACGGGCAAAGGTTGGATAGGTAGGGAAAGCTGTAATAGGGGACGAGAACTACGGAGTTTTTATATTAAGCGCCCTCGTAGCTCTACCCCGATCTGCTGACTCCCCACCGCGCTGGCAGGGCGCGGCGAACCGGTCGGCGCACCGCCCTGTTCCCGTTCTTCCCGCTGACGTTCATCGTCGGATACCAGGCTGATCTGGCCTACGGAAACAAACTGGAACGCATCAGAGGTAAGGTTTTGTTCGCAAGGGGTGGGTTTGACTCGTCCGGGAATAGTGTTGGGAGAATATGTTTTTGTGAGCGAAATAGTTTCGGTTCATTGGCCGCACATCCGCATTACGTGCAGACTTTGCGACTACATGCTGCAGTCGGTACCGCTGCTGGACCTCCCCGTTGATGACTGACCCACCCCGACGATCTGACCTGACCTAACCCGAACCAATGGCTGACCTGACCCGACCCGTCCTCCCGCCCTGCGCTTTCAGCGGAGGCGGAGCACATAATGCGCTCGGAGACGGAGCTGCTGGAGCCGCCGTGCGGAGTGCCCACCACCTCCGGCATTGACGCCGCTCGCCACAAGCTCAGCGACGAGCAGAGGTACACGCGCAAGGTGCGCGACGTCTACATGTAGTCCGTGCTGCCACCTAGTGGCGGTGGCGTAACTGCAGCTTCGCGCCGCCGCCACTGTCCGGTGTGCTGCGCCTTGTAGAAGCATGCGTCCTGTAGCATCCATTAGAGAGGATGCGTTTATGGAAGGGAGGGAGGGTTAGCCGTGCGTCCGCCTTGCCTGCCCGGGCCTGTGGCTTAGCTGTGACGTCATATCGTGTGAGTGACGTCAGACCGTTTGACTGTGGCGTCCTGTCGTGTGATAGGTCGTGTGTTTGCCTGTCTGTGTCTGTGCGTCTCTCACTGCTGACGCAGCCGTAGGTCACCTCCAGAGGCCGGTGGTCCGGTTGGTAGTTGCAAGTTGGGTTGATTGCGTGCATAAGCCAGAGCAGGTATGGGCTACTTGTTAGTGATAGCTGATAATGATAGTGATCGAGGGAAGCAATGGTCACAGCTCACAATTTTTTTTTCTTCACAAACTGGTGCTGTTGTCACTCAGAGTTCGTTCTAACCAACAATGCCTGCGGAGGGTGAGTTTTGCGGCAGATCCGGGCGGCTGCCGACTATTATCTGCTTCGAGTAGCACCTCCGAATAATTTTTTTTGTCGTGCTATGTTAAACATGGTGTTTTTTCTACCTCCGTTTAGCGGTTGTTGTGTCTGGTTATTTCCCGATGAGCTGGCTTAGTGCTATTGTCAGTTTAATGTAGCTCAAACTGCCAGTAACTTTACGGTAGAATGGTTCGATTTCCGTCTGAACTTTTACGTACAGCAGCCCTGCAGTTTTTCTCAAGTGTTTTCCCTGTGACTAACTTAGAAACTATTTAGAGTTCTGTTATTTTTTAGAGGCCATACTTACAGCAGATATATTTTAGCTGTTAAGCTCAGGCTTACTTATGTGACTATAATCGTATCGTCGAAGTGTGTTATGCATGAACCTTTTTCATTCAAGTTTATCGTTGACGTCTGAAGTCCCAGAATAAGGTTCTGTGCAAGTTCTGTGGATCTGTCAAAATTATGTATTAGGCGATACCTATGGCATCTAGGTGCCCACTCCAACTAAGATGCATCTACGATTGTATTGTCTGACTAAAATATTGACCTTCGTTTTAAGATTTAGTTAAGTCGTCCTATCTTAAGCAGGGAATATCGTTTGTAAGACCTGGCCTAAAACGCCTGGAAGGGACTATAGTTAACAAGTTGCCACTGCGGTGGCTGTGATAGGGAATGGATGTTAGGTGCGTGTTTTAACCGTGTGCCTCCCGCCGGTGTCTTGTTATGTGCAATGTGCACTGATTTGTAGATAACCCGCGAGGTGTAATTAAGGTTGTGGGCTGATTTTGCGTAACTTGTTTCCATTTGTAATTCGAAATACAAATATATTTGTATATTCATAATTGTTATGCAATCAAACTTTTGTCTAAAGCACCTTAGTTGTCACATCTGACCCTTCACGTGATTTGATTCCAAGCAGTGGACCTTTGGGGATCCACGACTGACCCAGACATATGATGCACTGGTGGAATCGGACCGATCTTTGGTCAGCTCGACTTGCCCCTGTTGATCGACGATCGTTCTCCCCTATCCTTACCGCCTGTCCCGGTCCCCGCTGCTGCCAGGGTTTTTCCCTCCTTTTTTAACCCTCCCCATCCCCCCCACTCCTGCTGACAGATTCCTCTCCTCTCCTGTCCGCCAGACTGAACCTAAGACGGCCGCCCTGTCCCATCTGCTGCTGACCTGGGAGGCTAGCCTCACATCCTGACCGTCCTCGCGAAATCCCTACACTTCGTACACCGAGTGGCCGACAAGAGCGAATACAGTAGAAAGTGGTATTTCGAAGTCATTGTCTCTGAAAGCCGCTATCTCTGAAACTTGAAAGGTATGTTTGCATTTGGTATGTTGAGGGCGTTAGCTGGGTGTGTTTTGAAGGGATGTCACAGTATAATGTCAGGATTGAAACAGAATAAAAATGCACGGTGCCTTTGGGAAACACTGGCTTGGCCTCCATGGTTCGATAGTGTAGATACGCCCTCACTGTGTGCTTACGGCTTATGCATGAACAACCGTCATCGCAGCTGCTACATGCGTTGGTATGTTTGCATGCATGGTTCCTCGGCTGATGCCCCACGCCCGCTTCTGCAGCTTTGGCTTCAGTGTGTCCGCTTGCTTAAATGCCTGCTGGTGTCTTCGGTCCTTATCGTTTACATAGATGTTTGTAAGTTTCTGCATGCTTAGGATTGAAGTGTATTTGCTTTGGTCATGAAAAGGAGTGGATGGTGTCATGAAAAGGAGTGGATCCAGTAGCATGTCGACATCCCGGTGTTTGGACCACATTTCGACTAATACCCTTATTTAGTTTGAATTTCTCCTACCATTATCTGGTGGTTTGATATACTCGTATACCGGGACTTGACTCGTTCCTTTCGATACTCTGCCACTGCGACCGATCTAACCTGGACCATTGGACGCGTGATGTTCGATCTGACCCAGCCGACCCTGCCCGTGGTTTGACCACAGGAGTCGACCTAGGTCCACTCTGCATTAGCCGGCGGACTCCTGTCAGCTCGGGGGATCAGTTCAGAGCGGTTCTGGACCCCTCAGTGCCTCCAGTGCTGCATACGAGGCTCTGCCGCCGTCTGAACCTCGGCGACTAAATGCAATACGAGTAGCAGGCAAGGTAGTTAACGGTGTCACCGTCGGGCGTCGAGATAATCACAAACGTATCTAGCTAGTATGACGGGCTGTTCAAAGTGCGGTGTTGCCGTTCAATTGTGTTCGTTGCATCAGCTGCGGCCCGTGGCCTTTGGAAGGGATGGTCATTGGTCACTGCCGAATTACCTGATCGTTGTGATGAGCCTGGCTGTTTGAGTGTATGGGAAGCTGAGCGCCTGATCAGCTCTGGGGGCGCGGTCAGAGGTCGAGTTTGTGTTCTTAGTAAATGAGTATTCAGTATGAAACGGACAGACGGACAGTGATTGCCACAATCATTACAGTGTCCCGGTGATTCCGATATGGTACTGTATGATTGTTATGTGTCTCCATGCAATACATGAGTCGCTTTCATGTTCCATTGTCAAAATTCCTTCCGCAAGTCGGAGGGGGGGGGGGGGGGCACGACGTCCACAGCACAGGCACTGTTCGTTACCTGCATTCATTATTTCGATTACAAGCTGAAAGGGTTCCAGCGTTATGACGGTAATTTTCTTAAATGCGTTTGCAATTACGCTTTGTCATTTGTATTGCCTGGGATCATTTATCTGTGTGTTTTAGCCCACATTAATTGTCATCAAGAGCGAATACAGTAGAAAGTGGTATTTCGAAGTCATTGTCTCTGAAAGCCGCTATCTCTGAAACTTGAAAGGTATGTTTGCATTTGGTATGTTGAGGGCGTTAGCTGGGTGTGTTTTGAAGGGATGTCACAGTATAATGTCAGGATTGAAACAGAATAAAAATGCACGGTGCCTTTGGGAAACACTGGCTTGGCCTCCATGGTTCGATAGTGTAGATACGCCCTCACTGTGTGCTTACGGCTTATGCATGAACAACCGTCATCGCAGCTGCTACATGCGTTGGTATGTTTGCATGCATGGTTCCTCGGCTGATGCCCCACGCCCGCTTCTGCAGCTTTGGCTTCAGTGTGTCCGCTTGCTTAAATGCCTGCTGGTGTCTTCGGTCCTTATCGTTTACATAGATGTTTGTAAGTTTCTGCATGCTTAGGATTGAAGTGTATTTGCTTTGGTCATGAAAAGGAGTGGATGGTGTCATGAAAAGGAGTGGATCCAGTAGCATGTCGACATCCCGGTGTTTGGACCACATTTCGACTAATACCCTTATTTAGTTTGAATTTCTCCTACCATTATCTGGTGGTTTGATATACTCGTATACCGGGACTTGACTCGTTCCTTTCGATACTCTGCCACTGCGACCGGGGGCGCAGTGGCAGGGGCGTAATTTTCTTAAATGCGTTTGCAATTACGCTTTGTCATTTGTATTGCCTGGGATCATTTATCTGTGTGTTTTAGCCCACATTAATTGTCATCCTTGGCATATTTTCTCACGACATAATTATTTTTGCCGTTTTACTACGTTCCCATCTACCCGGGGGCAGAAAGTTACTAGCACGATGCAGGAAGAGACCAATTAATTCCTCCCGGGTCATGAGTGCTGGTGTAACCTAATACGGGCTTTTTTTGCAAGAGTCTCCGTGTCGTCGTCGGAGCTGCGTTTAAGCTGCGGGCTGGATTGATCACGAGTCTCCACTTTCCGTGTCGTCGTCGGAGCTGCGTTTAAGCTGCGGGCTGGATTGATCACCCTTGGTTTGTTTCAGACGCTCGACACTTTCACGCAATCGACTCCCAACGTCGCCTTCCTGTCGTGGTGGCATTTCTGATCGGTTTCAACTTATCCACCTTCCCCTAATATCTCCTTTTAGTCTGCTCGGCGCTCGCCCATCATACGCCTGAATCGGACAGGAGAATGTTGAATGGGCCGTGGATAACAGTTGACGCGCTTTTCAACTAAGTCATTAGGTTATTGTATAAGAGGACGGTCACCACAATCAACACCAGCTCGACAGTACTGCGATGTATTTTACACAATGTCACAGGCACTTATAAGGCAGCTCGTGGTCACAATACACACGCTCAGCAGACGTATACACGCGCGATTCAACAAAATATCAGTCGGTAACGCCCAGAACTGCCCACAGATGGCAGTTCGAGCGCCGAGCGGCGGACAGCACAGAGCGGAGCGCCGCTCACAACAAAACGCCAGCGCGCGCGCCGGCGAGACAAATAAATAACAACAGCGGAGGTACGATTCCCGAGTCGAGCACTTTGAACTGGCAACTGAGTCAGCGGACGCCGCCGGGCCGACGCGAGTCCCCGGCCGAGACTGCGCCATCAATACTGAGCTGGCTGACTGCCGGCGGCCGCCCGCGGCACCGGCCTCCTCCCCCCCTCCTCTGCGCGGCGCGGGGCTACTTGGTTGAGCTCCTCCGTTCCACGTAGGGCGGCGGCGTGGCGGTGGCTCGCGCTCTCCTGCTGCCCCTCCGCCCCGTCTCCGTCCCACACTCGGGTGTGTGCACCTCCACCTTGACGTGGGTGGTGGCCGTCACCTTGGTGGTGAGACAGCGGCCGTCGTCGGGCTCTGCGCCGTCCGGGTAGCACGTCTCCACCACCAGACGCGGCTCGACCACGATATCGTGTGTGCGCCGCTCGCGCCGGCCGCCGGACGCCGCCGAGCCGGAGGACTCCTCGGAGATGGTGCTGAGACTGAGGCGGCTCTCCGCCGGCTGCAGCCGCCGGGAGCCGCCTCCCCCGCCGCCGCCGCCCGCCGCCTTCCCCAGCGAGGCAGAGCGGTACACTCGCGGGCCGCGGACCCGCGGAGGGGACGGCTCCGGACTGGGGGCGGGCAGCACGGCGCCGCCGAGCCGCGGCCGTACCTCGGCCGGCGGGCCGAGCCAGCAGAGCAGCACGGGCAGCACGGCCAACCCGTTCACCAGGCCCAGCAGCACCAGCGAGGCCAGCACGCAGAAAAAGTACCTGGAACGGACAGACGGCGGCCGGTCAGTAGTGGTCAGACACTAGGCTAAGAGCGGCAAATAGCTTATTAACCCGCGAGTTGCTGGGGGGGGGGGGCGTTAAACGCCCCCACTTTTTTCGCCGGGCCATAGCATAAAAACGGCGCGCCGCAGGCGCGCCAAATTTTGGGTACCTGTAGGGAATTGATTAAAGTGTATTGTGACAAAGTTTCAAAAAAATCGGTCGGAAAATTTTTGAGATATCGAGGTTTTAGTGACGTCATGATTTCTGACTTTTCGACCAAAAACGACATATGTTCAAAAAATCATATAAAATCATAGAATAAACATACAGACATGCCGTAAACGCCATTAGACTGCCAATACCATGAACAATCAAATGGCTATCTTCGATTATTGATTGTCGTTCCGCATTTTCCAAAATATTGAACTGAATCTTGGCAATTTCTCGTGACTACTTCACGACCATGATACATGCATTTCTTAAATTGATTTTTTTGAGCCAGACACGTACACATATGATTAAATGAACGTCACCATCGTATTCTACGCCCCAAATTACCCATAAAACATGTGTCACAGGCTGCGAATATCAGTTTTGATTTTCGGGGATATTTGCCTACCCGGTTGACCTGACCTTGACCCTGACCTATGCTTGACTGACCCCTACATGGAGCTGACACTCTTGTAGGCCTTATATGATGGATTGTGCACCGTTTTGACAGAGTTTATGACGAGAGGCACCCATTGCGAAGTCCTGAAGTCCATGCTACTGAAAGCCCGATTTCAGGTGTTTGACCTGACCTTGACCCGACCTGTGACCTCAAAATTCAACTTTAAAGTACTCATCTGAAGCGTCTCGTCGCGTTCTTTCGTTTGCCGCCTCGTGCGTTTCGCTGCGCCTATTGGTTCTCGAGTTATCGGCTGGGGGCGTTTAACGCCCCCCCCCCCCCCAGCAAACGGTGGGTGGCGAAATACCCCAGCAACTGCCGGGTTAAAACGATTGGCGGTACGGGTAGGGGTTCTGTGCTGTGAGCTGCAATAGGGAACTACTCGGGAACTACGTCCAACTCGTATCACCTACAACTTACGGCACAATTAGAGCAACCCTCGCTGCTCCCGTCAGAGGCGCGACGCCAGCGCCCCCTGCTCCGCCCCGCTCGCCGTTCCGTTACCGAGTCTGCCCCCAGCCCGGCGCGTTCCGTCGTTGGCGGGTGCTCCGGCGGGCCGGCGCGGTGGGTGGTCGACCGGCGGTGTGGCCGCTCGTCCGGCGGCCGTCACTGAGCCGCTCCCTGGCAGACGCCAGCCCAGGATGTGTGTCTGTGCCGGGCCGTAAATACCGGACTGTCTCTGGCGGCCGCTCAGAACACAGGCCGGTGCGTGGGTCGACCAGCCGACGCTGGCCTGCCGCCCGCTCTGCGAGCTCCGAGATTCGCCGCAGATACACGGTGGTCTGAGGTGGTCTTGCTTCTTAGCCAGCTTCTTATCGACAATAGAGAATCACGACTCATCAAGTCACACTTCGTGCTGACGGCTGTCTTCCACCCAATAGTAGCGTGATCCCTCTCAACAGCCTGAAGTCGCTTCTGACACAAGGCATGAAGACGTCAAACAGTGCTCTCAAAGTTAGCCAATGTGCAAGTTCCATCTTCAGTATACTTTTATTTGATCCCGGAGGTCCGTGACCATTCCTATGCCAGAGCAAGTTCAGCAAGGGAAATCTTTCCGGACGCGAGCCGAGGCCCAGCCTCACGAGGGCAGCAGCCTCACGACGCACGACGCCCCGTAAATACTCCGATATCAGCCGATCGGAACTGCCGACAGGAGAACCGGGACGGGACGGGGACACCGCTCGGCCCAGCTCAGGTCCCACGTGTAGCGCTGTCTCTGTATAACGGATCTCCCGACCACCGAGATCCACCTCTCCCGGCACGGAGTCTCCCGGCCACCCGGCGCGGGCCTCCCAATTTGTTGCGGTTTATCTCGTTTGTTGGTGTCAGTGTCTGCGCTGGTGTCATCCGTCAACCGACCGCAGAGCGCGCTGCCGCCGGGTGGTCGCCCAGATCCCGCTCCTCGCTAATCCCCGACAGCTCCGAGTCATGACGTGCCCGTGCAGACCGGCCGGCAGCCGCGGCTCAGATCCCGTGTTAACACGGAGAGACGACGGAAGGCAATTATCCGGCGAGTGATACCGGGAGCGGAGCGGCGGCCCGAGTCCCGATCGGCGACGTTTTTCTGCAGCGCCGCCGGTCCGATCGGCTGTAATCTCTCCGAACAGTAGCTGTGTCTCGGAACGGTAGCCGCAGCCTGGCCGGAGAGCAGGTGTCCGCTGGCCGGCCGTGTGTGGTCGCCGTGAGGACAGGCGCGGGTATTTCTCGGGACTGACTGGGTGCTGCCGACGGCCGCTCCTCGACACGTGTTCTGGGGCTTAGACATGTGCTCGAACCCAGTCCGGCGTTCGAGCAACATCGGTCGCTGAGGCGAGTTTCCACTGCCGGAACAGCGAACTCCTCCCTCTGCACATCAGCATACCTCCCCGCCAACGCACGGCCCTCCGCCAACGCAGACAGCCGCTCGAACGAGACGCATGCCGTAAAAACCGCCGCCTCCACGCCATAATCGGCCGCAATGATTCATGGCCAACTTAATTGAGAAGACGGCTTCACCTCTGCGGCAAAAACGGCTGGCTCGTTTGAAGCGTGCCGCGTGCCTGGTCTGGGTCGCCGGGCTGATATTCAGTCGGCCGGTCCGCCCCAGAGGCGATCAGAAAGGACGGGCCGGGTCAGCGGCTGGTTCGGAGAGGAGAGGGGAGACTCGACTCTGAGATCGCTCCGCTCACCGCCAAAGAGCTAAGGTGTACGAGCCTGGCACACTGTGATGTTGAAATTGAGAGAAATGCGTCCAGCGATGGACAAAATCCCATCTTCAAGCGTGGTGTGGTTGCTTGATGTATCTCTTCGTGAACCATACAGCCTTCTTGTGATCCAAAGATCCACCCTAGGCAGTCAACGCGTCAGAATATGGCACAGTGCTTATCACGCTGTGATATCACGCACATCACAAGCCACGTCGCAAAAGGTCGCATCACGTCAAAAATTAGCTCACCTGACGATGAAGTCGAAGTCTGAGAAGGCCAGCATCAGGACGCCGACGAAGGTGGAGATGGCGCCGTGGAAGACGGGCTGGAACATCTGCTCGAGGCTGCGCTGGACGCGCGTGGCACGGTCCCCGAGGCTCGTCTGGAAACCCTGCCGAAAGGACAGCGGAGAGCAACTGGTCAAGATATGCCGGTACTCGGCAGACGCGTCAGTGGAAAACGAAAGGCAGTTGATACGTCCCTACGCTAGGAATTATGAGTGAGCGTTTATCGTCAACACGTCCTAGAAGTGAACACATAACCAACCTTACGGTATTTAGCATTCCCTGTCAGTAAACCAGAGCTACCACCTACATCTAGTCCCCCGAGCTCGCAGCGCCGACCCAGCGGAGAGCTGCGACATCCGTCCGGCTCCCCAGCCGCCCCGACCTCCGTGTGTGGCGGCCGGGGATGATCCATGGACCGACCCCCGGCGCTCGCCGCGCGCCCGCGCGTTTTTGTCACGCCGTGTCGGGACGGCGACAGATAAAATCCGAGCCGGGACGGGTGGCCCTGCCCAGCTGCCGCTCGTTTTCTCCTCGGGAATGGCGAAAATGATACATCTCCCACTGGCATTACCCCGGCTTGTTTGTCAAGTGGTAAACAAAAACTCAGAAAACGCAGTGAACTGGCGTGGCGCTCCGTACTCGGATATTCTCCAAGGTCAGTTAGTCAACTCGTCAGCAGTGTCCCATAAACAATGTTTATGGGATCAATCCCATTACGGCGGCCTTTTACTGCGGGATCGCCTCTGCGTGGGGTCTCGCTAATGTCCCCCGAATGCTGTTTACGTCTAATGGGCTCACTGCACCCGGAGGCGGGTCACGCCATGGACGCGACGCTCAACAGCTGACCCCTCGCCTACTCTCCTTGAATACTTTCTCGACTGGGTATCCTAGCGCCACTCGGTGAGGAAACAAACATCTGAAAAACCACCACCCTAGAGTTGTAGTTATTAGTAACGAATTATTATGGGTAGGAAGAATCCAAATCGTTCTACCGATACGGAGGCCAGCACAGCACCCACCCATGCCGGCTGCACCAAGCACCCACCCTGGCGATCCCAAGCCCCTCCCGCGCCACTCACCAGCAGTACGTGTACGGTGAACTGAACCCCCAGTCCGACGGCCATGATGAGCACGGTGGCCGGGATGGCGCTCAGTCTCAGTCCGAGCAGTCCCATGACGCCCAGCAGCTGGAGCAGCGTCAGGCCTATGACTGCCACGGCCACCGCGGCCGCCCACACACTCATCAGAGTAACGGCCAGCACCAGCGTCACGGCCGCAAACACGCAGACCAGCGCCAGACCGAGGAAGAACCTCAGACTCGCGTACTGCTCCCAGAAGGTGAACGGCACGCCGGCGGGGAAGTTGGGCAGGCCGCGCTCCTCGAACCTCCGACACACGCGGCGCACCGCGGCGATCATATCGACAATCGCCTCCGTATCCGAGAGGCCACTCAGCGCGAACGGGATCTGCGCGTACACGAGCGCCTGCGACTTGGGGATGAGCAGCTCCACGTCTCCAGGCACGTGTAGCCACTGTTTGGGCTCGGGCCGCAGCTGGGCGCCGCTGGCGCTGTAGGCCAGCGCGTCATTGGAGGCCCACGCTGTCAGGTAGTTGTAGAACGCCTTGGGGTTGATGATGCCGTTCTCGACGAGTCGATTGCGCGGCAGCTGCGACTTGTTGATGGGATCGTCGACTCTGCCGGTTTGGACGAGCAGTTTGTAGGCGAGGACGCCCTCCTCAGAGGCGTTCTGGTGCCAGCGCTCGTTGTCGATCAGACCGAGGCGCCAGTCGCGGTCGAAGGCGCTCTGCAGGTCTGCAAGGAGGGAGGGGGATCGCTATTAGACGCCCAATCATACTATAATTGAGTGGAGTTTGTGCCATAGAGAGAAAATTAGCAATTCGTCACTATACTGGTAATTATTTGAAGTAACAAGGCATGATAAAACTAGCAGCTGGCAAAAGACTATCCTGGTGATAAGATGGAACGAAAACAAAACATAATTGCCTATAGTAAATGCTGTTAAATGCTGCACAGTTTATCGTTCCACACACTGACGGCATGTCGCCCACAAACGAAGGAATCGCTCACCGATCAGCCAGTCTCTGAAGAGTGCCAGCCAGAAGTCGGGTAGGCCGCCGTCATCATTCTTGATGACGCTCGGCACGCGGGTGAACGCCTGGTGGTACTGGTGCAGCAGCTCCTGGTTGGTCGGGTACTCAAAGTCGCCCTGCGTCACAGCCACCATCTCGAAGAAGCCAAAGTAGCGCCGCTGCGCCTCCAGGAAGGCGAACTCGTCTGAGCCGCGCGGCACCACGTCGGTCAAATCGAGTCCGTCCCGCAGCTGGGCAGCGCCCCAGACGCCCAGTCCGGCGGCCGCCAGGGAGGCGAGCAGCACCAGGAGCCGGACCGGCCGGCGCAGCAGCCACACTGAGTAGTAGCGGCGCACCAGCCAGGGCAGGTCCAGCCAGCGGCCGGCCGCCGAGCAGCGCACCACCCGCGCAGACGCCGGGGCTGGTGCTGCCGTTAGTGACGGCGGTGCCGTTTTGACCCCGGCGTCCACCGGCAGCGGCGGAGCGGTGATGGTGAACACGGACGGCGGCGGCGGTCCGGGCCGGGCGGCCGGCGGCTCCGCGCGGCGCGGCGCCCCCTCGGAGCTCGGCTCGGCCGCCGCGTCCCCGGCCGGCCGCTCCGACCAGCAGCAGACGATGTCGTAGGCCCGCGCCCGGCGGCGCCGCAGGTCCAGGCTCAGCATCGCAGGGAAGATGAACAGGATCGAGAGCACGTTGAACAGCACCAGGATGCCAGCCTGCGAAAGAGAGAGAACCCATGGTGAGCGACAGGCGATTCACGAACACATCCCGTTCCGGGTTCACTACGGGGTTCAGCCAAGGAATTCCTCTGAAGAACTGGTCTATTGTATAGCAAGACGTTTGTTTCCATTTCTACGGACATCAACCTTTTGTTGGTTGAGTAAGGTAATTGAAGGTTGGTGTTTCAATTTAGCAACAACATTCCTAGCAGCGATAAATTCCCATTAATGTCTGGTCCGACGCACGGGTGTGATATATCTGCGTTAACGCAGCGCGTGAATTCACAAGTGCCCACAACTCTCTCCGGCCAGACCAGAACACGGCCGTTTTTGGTACCACAAAGGCGGTCGCCGGTAGGGTTCACAGACAGACAGACCGAGATGAGATAATAATCACCGCGTCCAGCGCCGTGTGATGCGACCCGTCTGGAACCCTTCAAAACGCCGGCGATGACATGTTAATTACATCGAAACACGAGCTCTCCTGCGCTATCTGTTATCAGACACCTCGCTTTTTCGGCCATTACACAATCAGGCCCAAGGACCGGGGCCGTTTTTTCTGTTCCCTGATCGACTGGAAAGCGGACGGCCGACCTTCGCGTTCGGCCTTTGTGTGCCGCCGCTCCAGGTGAAGCCTTTCGACGCGCGGCCGCGGACCCTACGTGGGACGGCGGTAAGCCCCGCTCGGCGCTGAGCTCCACTGGGTCTCAGCAGGCCGGGTTGCGCCGGCACCTCACCTGCAGAGAGAAGTGGCGCAGCGCAGGGATCGGCAGGATGGCCGCCGACAGGAAGGCCATGACGTTACAGAGGGACGTCAGGAGCACCGAGACGCCGGCCCGCTTCAGCACCTCGCCGACGTGGTCCTGTGGAACGGAGGGAGAGAACACAGGTCAGCGGAGACAGTTCGGCACGAGGGCAGATAGGGTTCACATCCGTGACTAGCCACTGTAGTTCGACAGCTCGACAACTTGATACAGCGGCTGATATGAATGTCAGATAGGCTAATATAACCACTGCGACAGTAAAATATCCCATCAGTCAGTCGCCGTCCCATTCTGCAGACATCACCGGTCTGATACCCGGACGGACGGAGTGGTCCGCTCCGACCATCCATCAGCAGCCGTGTCATACACAACAGGTGCCATCCGTTCCGGGCGCTCCGGGTGATCCATCACGGGCTGTTCGGCGGCGGCCCCGGCGACCTTCCGTCCGTCTCTCAGGTTCGGACAGCACCGGCCGTCACAATCGTCCATCTGCGGCGCGCGGCGGGTGGCCACTCCACGTCACAGACAGAGACGGCTTCATTGTGACCTCTCTCACCCCCCCCCCCCCCTGGACAGACGCAGACACCCCCCGCTGCGGCCCCCTCCCGCTGACCCCCTGTCGGCTCTGTGAGGCGCAGCTGAACCCCGGGCCGGCGCGGACACCTCCCGTGACGTTTTGGCCGCGGAACTGGCGGCGGTGCGCCACTGTGCGCCGCGCGCCGTCCGTCCGTCGGCCTGGAATGTGCTAATCAAGACGGCACCGGCCCGGGGCGGCGGCCGGCGGCGGTCACTCCGCGGGTGGGAGGGAGGCTTCACCGCCGCCCGGCCGACCTGCGTGGCTCCGCCCGGTGCTTATTCCAATGAACGGAGCGCGGCCATGCGGCGCGCACAAAAGGAACAATGCGCCGCGCCGGCCGACGGAGAATTTACTGCGCCGCCGGGCGCCGCGGCCAGCTGCATAATTCCTTCGTTAAAATAACAAATGAACGCGCGGGCCTGTCCGAATATGATGGCTACATGTGCCAATTAACGCAGGCCATACCCCTGGATTGAAATGATACACCGCGACTGATAATAACCCTTAATAAAATCAGTGCACATTCTTGTACATTCAATCAGCCGCACCATGGTCACGCAGTGTTTCTGAGAGCTACGGCGCCATCAGATAGAATACGCAGGACATAAATCCGCTGATAATAACCGGCTTTACGACTGGCCTGGCGTCTATGACATGCACACGGTTCTGTCTGAGTCAGAGGCGGCCGAGCGGTGCGCTCACCGGCCGCCGCGCCCCGTTGCGCTGCGCCGGCCGCCGCCCGGGGGGCCGGCGCGTCAGACCAGCCACCCACGAGGCGTCGCGATTGCAGCGCGGCCCACCCAGCCGGCCGACGGCGCCGGACTCGTAACAACAACCCGGCACGACGACACGGCCGGCCGAGATAGCGTCACTCTCCGCGAACCGATCCACCCAGATAAATCACAGCCGACTCGCCATTCACCCTCATCCCGACACTGACCCATAGAAAATATACGACAACGGTCCAGCCCCCGCTCCTCAAACCTTCACCATACCGTCTCCGTCCAACAGGGGCCATTCACAGGAGACCATCAATCTCGTAAAACGTCCGGCGAGTCTGTTTTCGACACTGGCCCCGCGTGAACACGGCACCATCTGATCGGCACGGCGGCGGACCCTCGCCGAACGACCACTGAACGGCGCGTGCTCGGGCCGGCCCCGCCAGTGCCCCGCCGCGCGGGCGGCGAGAGATGGCGCAGATCGGTCCGCGGAGACATTCCTGGCGCACACCTGATACCATCGCGGCAGGGAGGAGAGGTGTGGTGGCACTCCCGTCTACCCCTATCAGTCCGACACACGGGCCAGGGACTGGTGGTAACGGTCATGTGCCAAACAACATCGCTGGACATCCGCTAGACCGCACAGCGATCCAGCACAACCTCGGTTTGTCAAATCTCCCTGGAACATTTCTCCCGAATAACGAGATAAGTAACCATATTCGAGACACATTGCGCTGTCGATTCACCTCAAACCCCTCCTGAGATAACCCCCCTGCAGGAGCGCGTCTTGTGCTGTCCAAAGCTGATACAAAGCCACCTAGTCGCGCTCCACGCACCGCGTCCACACCACACAGGTAGCCGCTCAGACGCATGTAAACTAAATGCAAATCCCGCCGGCGAATCTCCCAACAGGGGGAGGTCTGGTCACATCACCCGCCCGGCGACTCCCGGAGGCCGCGAACAATGCCAAGGCGACTCGCTCACACGGGAGCACGCAGCCCGGCGCAGCCCGGCGCACAGCACGGGGACAAAGAGGGCGATAGCATCTCGGGCCACGCACGGTCACGGCTCGTAAACAGACTCGTTTGTCGAACATGAGCCGACAAACTGACGCGCATCTCTGGCCGCGGGGTGTCGCAGACGACGCACCGGGTCTCCGGGGACAGGTAAACGGTGGGTATGTATCGGTAGGTTCGGTATGGAATTCACGAGAAGTAATGAACGTCGGACTGTGACAACGTTTTATCTCATCGTTAAAATGGCCAACCAGGCGTATACCGTCAAACGAACCATGAAACAGGAATTTACCTACTGCCAATTGCCATTTCGAGACAGCACTGGATAAACGCACTGCACTGTATTGTCAAATTAAGTCGCCAGTGACAAAATCTTAGATGGAAAAGGCAGCGAAAAGCACAAGACGACAATACAACTCATCCTACAGACTATCGTCGTCACCGCTGCCTGACTGCGCTGCCGACTGACCTGTGGCGGTGTGTGGCTGAGGTCCGTGGTCGAGTAGGTCAACGCCAGCAGAAACATGTCATCCACGCCCAGTCCCAGCGCCAGAAACGGAATGATCTGAAACAAGGACCGGGGCACAATGAGCTGAGGGTATGTGGCTCACAATGGTGGGGTAGGTGACACAAGGGTAATCAACACATAAACACGGAGGATTGCAGAGGAGTAATTCGCGAGGTAAATATGATCCGGTATGTGAGCCCTATCAGATGATACGCACGACGCCGTGCCCTCCGATCGGCGCTCTGCTCGGTTCGTGGTCCGCTCGTGAGGCCCGGTCACGCCGTACGGCGGCGCCGCGGGGCGCGTGCTGACCAGCACCGGGTCGTGAGTCTCCAGTCGGGAGCAGCTCGACTGTGACCAATCCACCGGCACGGACACCTCACGGGGATGGCCCAATCTGGGGCTACGATTTATCTAATAAAGCACACATTATATTCCCCATTCTACATCACAGGAGGCATTATTATCCTAAGACTCGGCATCAACGTGCTTATAAATGGAGCGGTAAGCCTTAAGCCCTCTCTCGACCCAAATATCACAGCCCATGGAACCGGGGGACGGGGAACCGGCCTTAACCCTGCAACTCCTCAGCCGGCTCAACTCTCTCCCTCCCTCTCCTCTCCCCGATCGGCATCCCTCCCGCCATCATTAGTGACGGAGCGTGACGCGTCACGGCGGCACAGCTGGCGGGAGACACGGGTCACAGCGAGACGACCCCTTCCCTCTCCCTCCGACCCGCTCCCTACCTCTGCCACCCTTCCACAGACAGATCCCGCCGGAAGCGGGTTCCTCCCCGGGAGAGCGCTCCCTGCCATAACGCCAGCCATATCCTCACCGCGGACGGCCGAATGAAGTTATTAAATCTGGATACCTCCCTCTCCCCTAATCACGCTACTCGCTGCAGTGGGGTGGACCGCGGTGTGAGAACAGGCCCGGCCGCAGTGGTCGACCCTCAGCACCGGGAGATCACGCCGCTCCCAGCATTACGCAGCCCAGAGCCGGCACTAACCGGCAAATGAAGTCATTACAGCCGGCCCTCAACCCGCTCCATCGCGCTCGTCCCGCGGACTCCACCTGGGGTGGTATCAATGACTTAATTGGATAATCGGCCGCCGTTCCCACTTTCCGCCGTATCTCGGGGAAATAGTGTCAGCCGCAACGGCGCAGAATGGCGCGCGATGGCTCCATTTCGGGACATCAATGGCGCGCCGCCGCGCGTCGCCGGCCGCCGGGCGCCGCTTGCGTCAGGGGCGGCGGTCGTGCAGCGGAGCCAAATCGCAATATGATGATGATTTGGTGGCTTTACGAGGCGCCCAGCGGCCGGCGGTCTCCAGAGATGGTGCTGGCCGGCTGGTCGAGGCCGCGCTCCCGAGGACGCTGGCTGGACAGCGGAGGTGGGCTGGGGGATCAAAGGAGGGCAAGGGGTACGTGTGGACAGAGCAGATACGACAAAAACCATACTCTGAGATCCTGGCATAATGGCTTATGATGCCAGCACTGTAGTGAATCCCCGCCATGCTTCTGACCAGTGCGGGCCACTGTAGTGAATCCCCGCCATGCTTCTGCCCAGTGTGGCCGCTGCAGTGAATCCCCGCCGCACTGACCTGCGTGGTTGAGGCGTTGGACGGGATGCCGGCCAGGCCGCAGAGGCCGAGTCCGGCCGTCACCGACAGGGTGACGAGCAGCACGCCAGCGACACCGAGGCCGCCCTGGGACCGGACCGGGTCCGACCAGCGTACCAACGAGAAGAACCCGTACACCAGCTGTGGGGGAGACACGGGGGGAAGTCAGGTCGCGCGGTCAGAGTAGCAGGAGGCACTCCTCCCAATGAAACAGATAACATTGTCGGCGCGATTGATACCCCATGTTGGACTCGCCGCGGTCAGGACATTTGTAAAGATGGGATCGATGGGTCCGGAGCGATACGGCCTGTAAAACCATACCATTAGTGAATATCGATAGGATCCGCCGGGGTAATGTTCACATAACGTCACGTTTAGTATCGAATGTCACTAACAACATGCAATCGTGACACTGACACGGTGCTAGATAAAAATAGACCCCACATTACCTAACAGCTTGGCGGCGGCGATCGAACCGACTAAGCCGGTTTCGAACGAGCTCTGATCATATACGGGCGAGACTGAGCCGCTGAACGTTGCAACAAACTGCTCCGGTGTAGCAAACCGGCCCTCACATATGGTAACGGACATCAATATCACGCTCATGTGCTGTCCGTGCCTCCAGCGATACGCATTCCCCGGTGACACGTACTTACGGCCATGATCTGTTTGATCTGTATCGCGTCAGGACATCGAGCCACCGAGCCGGGGTGTGGAATGGAATGTAAACTACGGGCCTCTGTCAGAGAGAACAAGCCACGGAGAGAAGAACAGGGAATGGAATGATCACACTCTGAGACCGAGTGGTTAGTGTCAAACGCCCACTTGGTGATTTATACGTAGGGGATTGGCGCCGCTTGTGCGATAGCACTCAAAAGTGACAAAAGGTAATGAGTAGAGATGTCAATCGGATACCAACTTTTTGGTATACCGATACCAAACCGATACTTACTTGGTATTTGGTATTTCAATCGTAATGTGTTCGGTATTTTGTTGGTATAAGCCCTCACTAATGTATAAGAGGCTAATAATAAGTCGGTAAAAAGTTGGTATTTCCCTCAGTTTCCCAAGTTGGTTTGGTTTCGGTATTTTCCCGTGGTTTTGGTTGGTATTTGGTTTGGTATCGGTATTCCGATTATCCGTAATTGACACCACTAGTAATGAGTGAAAAAGCCAAATAGGGATAGGACGTGATTTTAGCTGTCATCTGCTTACGATGCACCCGCTTTTGTGAGAATATACAAATAGAGGTGAATGGATAAAATAATCCCCAGAACTGGCACAGTCGCCCTGCTGTTTCATTGCAGCACTTCCCTGGAATCTCCACACACTCGTGTTTACATTGGCTGACGGCCACACATCGTCAGCAATTCCAGACACAACCGGTACCGACGCACACGCTGCCAGTAACAGAGGCGGCCAGAGACGCTGGCGGTGTGGACACTCCGCTGGCGGTGCGTTGCGGTCAGTGTTACGGCCCGTACAGTGAGTGACCGGCCGTGTTTGCTTTGGACGGCGATCGGTGATGAATAGGGTCGACCGGGCGGTACGGCCCAGCCACCCCACTCCAGGGCGGCCGCCGCGCGTGCACGCTCACCCAGTGACGACCGCACAATCGGCAGAGCCCGCTTAATTGAAAACTGGTCGCAGCTAATTGCACGCTGGCCCGCTGTAAATCAAGCGCGCCCGACATTAGTCCCAGCTATTATCTGCATGGGCAATGCTTCATGTGAGCCGTGTAATGAGTTAATAACAGTGACGGCGGTGAGAAAAATCGCCCAAAAGGCATGCATTGGAAGCAGGTCGGGGTCTCGGGCCGGCACGACGGGCGGCGCTGGTCTCACGGATACGTCACGGCCATACAGGATACGACACGGTCATACAGGATACGTCACGGCCATACAGGATACGACACGGCGGTACAACAGACAGCTGCACTCACAGAGCTCAGCATGGCGCTCACAGAACTCACTCTGGTGCTCACATGACTCACCATAGCGCCACTAAACTTTCTCTGGGACTCACAGAGTGGCGCTCACAGAGCTCACCCTGGTGCTCAAAGGGCTCGTAAAGGCGCTCACAGGGCTCATAACGACGCTCACGCTCACGTGGCTCCCCGCTTCCGCTCAGAACTCACCATGAGCCCATATCCGATGGTGAGTCGCGTCATGTCCGGGGTGGCGAACTGCTGCAGGATCTTATCCAGCGACTCCATCGAGTACGAGTGGATGCGGTACGGCGTCTTCTGCTGCTCCTGGCGCTCCGTCTGGCGCTTCACCTCCTGCGGACGGAGTTAGGGGCGAGTTAGTTACGGGGAGTTAGTTACGGGGAGTTAGTTACGGGGAGTTGGTTATGCATCCATGGAATACGGGGAATAAGTCATTTGAACGTTAAACTTCCTTACACAGAATGGCATGAGAACGCAGGAAACCTGATTAGAAGACGTTTGAAATAAGCGTGGGACTGAGCAGTAACCAGGCGGGTAACTAAATCTAATGAAACTGTGTGCCATTCCGTCCGCAGAGCGCGGTAACCAGGTCTGCGGTGGCCGGACGCGGTCCGCGGCGCGGCTCCCTGTCGTGTCCAGAGACCATCTCCGCGGGACTGGCCGTGCAGCCGGGCCATCAACGGGCGGCGGCGCCGGTGTTCCCCTCCAGACTACTTTCCGTACCCGGGACCTTCCAGTCAGTCTGTCTGTCTGTCTGGTGGACTAGGGGCTGCAATTTTACCCCCGGGGGGAGGGGGGGGCAGGGGAGCCGAACTGATGTCCTGTCCGTCCCACCGACCGGAGGGGGGGGGGAGGGAGAGGCTGATATGTCAGACCACCATCCCCGACAGAGGTTTGAACAGATGTCTGAACGGCACCCGACCAGGAGAGCTGGATCCCTCTCCCACAGAGGCAAGACGAGACGAGACAGTTCTGTCGAGCAGAGTCGAGACGAGTCGAGTCGATCAGCAAATCCCGAGTCGCTGACGCTGGACCTCCGCCGCGCAGCCACACACGGGGGTTTTAATTAAGCGGCCACAAACATGATTTGTAATTAGGGTGGGCCGTATTTCAGGTTGGCACAGCGGCCGGCGGGGGCCACCCAGGGCGTTCTGCAGCGGAGGCAGCGGCTGCAGGCGGTCGCTCACGCTACCCGGGCCCGGCGGCTGGGAGGGCGGACATCAGAATACGCCACCGCCGGCCGCAGCGCTTCAGGGAACTGTAGGGAGCCATGGAGGGACCCGGGAGACTCGACTAACTATCACCACGCCGAACCCAACTGAACGAAATCGACATACTCGGTTCAGGCAGAGCGCCCGTCTGCCTGTGTGGATAAGGTTGCCACCCTCCAGTAGTTCCGCGGGGCAGCAGCTGTTCGTCTGAGCAGCGTCTGCTGTGCACCCTCCACCCATGTTCCCGGAAAGCCCGCACCGCCCGGGACGCCTCACGGCCCGGACGACATGAAGCGCTCGGCGGCGGAGTGCCGGCAGCCGGCCGCCGCGGGTGGGCCCAATTAATTCCACCGTCCGCCGCGCCGGGGCGGCCACGGCCACGGCCGGTACCCAGACGCGCGGCCGGCGTTATCACTGGTCCGGCAGGCTGACATAGGGGCGTATTTTCCTGGCCGCTGGCGCCGGCGGACGCTGGATATGGGCCGCCGCAGGACTCGGAATGGACCATCGGCTGCACCATGTGCGACCAGTTCCATTTGCAGGACATACTCGAGGCGGACATAAAAGTCGCCATAAAACGCTACGCTCAATTAAATAATCGATGTTTTCTAACATGCCTCCATCAATTTAATGCACATGGGGATGAGTCAATTCATGTTAGCGTAAAGCCTCGCCGCCGATAAGCACCCATTCACATCTAGCATGACCACAACCCAGCGTCAGAGGAACGGAGCGGCACTCACCTCTGAGAACTTGACCTGCCAGGCGTCCAGGATCGACTTGGCCATGGCCATGTTCCAGTCCATGTTGTGCGTCTTCCAGTTGCCGGCCCAGAACTCGAAGAGGTTCTTTTCGCCCATCAGCTGGATGACCGTCTGGAACGCCGCCGCCCTGACACAGACGAAAGGGGAGACAAGGTTAGAGTCTGATGCAGAAATGATAGGCAGGCAGTGAAGTGGCACACCTTATCACTCTACACGAATACCATTTTCAGTCCCGGCTTTATCACGTCACACCTGACCCAGGTGCCAGCGCGACAGCGGCGGACATCACGGTGATACTAACTGGGGTTTTACGGCGCCCTAACCCCTAGGTCACCGGCGACCACACAGGGCGACACGCGTCACCTCTGACCTCGGTCTCTGGCGTCTCCATCTCCGCATCTCTTTATCAGCATGAAGCGATTTAGAACTCCTGCTTCCACGTAACCAAGAAAACTATATTCCGCTCTCCTCCGAGCCTCTCAGCCAACTGCCCAGGCAATCACACTCCCAACCAGACCATAGCTCTCACGCACACGTCATCGCGCATCATCATTAGCCAATCACATTGTCATACGTCATCCCCAGTGCAACTGATCAGGGGGCGTAACCCGGCCGCCCCGACGTCCGGCGGCGGCGGCGGATGACTCACACTGGGTCACCGGGTCACGTCCCGCAGCTCAGTCTCGCCGCGCGCCTGACTCATACGCTACTCACATTCCTTATTGTGTCTATCATGCTACATCACCCCCTGGTTCTAAAGAACCACATCACACATCATGTCATTCACTCAACTCATCAAGTACATCCCCCGTCACAACAATACCATATCTGTCTGGTTCCCGTCGCTCACGTACGCTGCGTCGCAATGTAACGGTCGCGGGTGATTCTCCCTCGGACAATTCGCCGTCTATTGGCTCGCTCCATTCCGTAGACACCTCAGACTGGGTCGGTGGATCGACCCTCGCGGTCTGATCGACGGTCGGCGGCCGCGTGTGTGTCTCCGTTACATCAGTCGGAGGTGTTGCCATATACATGCCATCACATTCATTGTCACTGTCCCCGCACCGCTCCGCCGTCGGGGCGTGCACAGTCACCGGTCTCGGGGCATCAGTCATGGTCAAACGGTGGCGGAGATTGCGCACATGACGCGGCACATTGTCGACTTCGACTGTTTGAGCCGACACGACGCCTGTCACAGTTCCCTCGTCCGATTTCACAAAACATCGGTCGCCCCGCCGCCGGACCCACACTTTGTCCCCCACCTGGTACACACCTGGTGTTTTCAGCGGCAGGGCGTCGCACTGTTGTCCATTTGTTCGTCCGCGGGGCGTCACGTCAACGTCGCGGCCAGGGTGTCGGAACACCTCGTTGATCGGAGCTGTTGCCGGGTCGCTGCCATCTTTAGGTGTCACGTTGTAGCGGTGGACTGCCTCAGCGACGGAGCAGGCCTGCCGGGCCACCATCACTTTGATGGTCCGGTGATGGCGTTCTACAACGCCGTTACCGCCGGGCTCATAGGCGGCGCGGAATCGCATCGCCACGTCCCAGCGGGCCGCGAGCGCCATCATAGCCCGGCCGCGGAACTCCGTCGCATTGTCCGTGAGTATTTCGGCCGGGGCTCCACGCTCTAGAAACACGTCCTCGAGATGCTGGACGATCTCCAGAGCCCCCGACCGGCGCAGCCGGCGCCAGATGGCGTATCGCGACGGCCCGCAGTCCACCAACGTCAGGTACGGGTGGCCGTGCAGGTGGGTGACGTCCATGGCCAGGCGATCCCACGTACGTTCCGTCTCAAGTGACCCACCAAGCCAGCGTTCCGGAGCCGGGTCAATCGACGCGCACGTCTGACACCGCCTGACCACGTCCCGCACGGCCGTCTTCGTGACGCGCCTCACCCCCAGCTCCCGTCGGGCGTACCACAACGTCCTCCTCACGCCCTGGTGGCCAATGTTCTCGTGTATGGCGCGGATGTCGCCCGGCGAGGCACTCGATGTGATGGCTGCGACAGCAGCCGGTGGTGACTTGTCGGGCGAGTCGGCGGCCGGCCGATCGGCGGCCTGTAGCCAGGCGTTGGGCACCCGCGTCATCTCATCGGCGCGGTTGGCAGCTGAGCCGACCAGTTCGATGGTGACCTCAAGTTCGTACTCGGCGACCAGCTGACGGAAAACAGCCACGCGCCGTCGGATAAGCATTTCGGACTGCCCCTTGGTGCGCAGCCTTGCCTTGCCCGACAGCGCATCGCTCAGCCAGCGGTGCACAGTCACCGAGTCCGTCCGGAGCGTCAGGCGACGGAAGCCCCATGCCAGGGCCATATTGACGCCGTTGAGAGCGGCGTCCAACTCCGAGATGTTGATGTGAACGTCCCGCTCAGCTTCGGCCCGTAGCCAGGACGCATCCTCGATGATGGCGTCTGTGACAGGGTCGGCTAGGACGACGCCGCGAGCGATGGAGCTGGCGTCAGTCCACACGGTGACATTTGACCCTGTCACACACCACTGGCCGCATGCCGGGTCACAGGCTATCACCCTTCGCGACACTTCATCCACTTGGCGTTGCAGTTCCTCATTGACGATCGGAGTGTCCCAGTCCGGGCTGAGACGGTTGGCTGTCCGCTTCATCCACGCAGCGGCCGGCCGTAGCCAGCCCGCGACCGGCACGTGAGATGTCAGTTGGCCGGCCCACGCGAAGACAGTTCGTCGCGTCAGCACAGGTGGAGGCTGCGTGGGTGACCCTCCGTCCCTGGTCCACTGGAGCGCCGGCCCGTCACTTTCGGCGACACGGAGGCCCAGCATGCGTGCGCCGCTCGCAACTCGCTCCGGCGGCTTACACTCGAGTCCGAAACGGGCAAAATGCTGGGCCACCTCGTCAGCTGAAACGGCTGCTTCGTTGACCAGCAGATCATCGGCGTAGGGCCGCACCGCCTCAGCCAGCCTCGGGTTCTGCGCGAGCACCTCCCTGACCACCGACTTCATGATCAGAGGCGCTATGGAAAGCCCAAAGCCGACCCTCGTGAGGCAGTATCGTCGCCCCCGCACGATGACCGTCTGGTACGGCCACAGGGCCGGGTCCACACGGAGCTGAAGAAAAGCTTTCTTCAGGTCGAGGACCGCGACCCGGCGGCCGTGGCGTCGCCATCGTCGAAGCTCCTCCACGCAGACGTCCGCGTCAGCCGTGTGAGGCGTCAGGTGTTGATTAAGCTCTCGATAATCAAGCACCGGCCGCACCTTGTTCTTTGCCGCCTGAGTTACCGCCATTAACGGGAGCAGTCCCTGTGCCGGACCGCACACCGTCTCGTCATATTCACGTAGCCAGCCCTCACTTATCCACAATGACAGCTCGGCATCGAATTTCTCTCGCGCACCCCTCGGTATGCCGTACTGAGCCGTGGAGTTGCGAAGCGGTGGCGGGTCCACACCGCCCGCCCACTTCCAGCGAACCGTCCACACCCCGGCATCGAACACTGCCGTGAAGTCGGTCTCGTTGATCCTCAACTCTGGCCCCATGTCGACCGCTCGGCACGCCTCCCGCTCCGGTGGCGCCTCACGCTGCACGCCCGCAGCCGTGCCGACCGCTCGGCACGCCTCCCGCTCCGGCGGGGCCTCACGCTGCACGCCCGCAGCCGTGCCGACCGCTCGGCACACCTCCCGCTCCGGCGGAGCCTCACGCTGCACGCCCACAGCCGTGCCGACCGCTCGGCACACCTCCCGCTCCGGCGGGGCCTCACGCTGCACGCCTGCAGCCGTGCCGACCGCTCGGCACACCTCCCGCTCCGGCGGGGCCTCACGCTGCTCCGTAGCAGCCGGGTCTTCGCTCCCGAAGCGAACAGACCCCCCACTCACACTTACGCCACGCAGAGCGTCGATGCCTGTCATACCTAGCAACACGTCCACGCCTAACAACCGGGCCGGTACGACGACCGCCCGCACATTCACTGTCGTTCCGCGCACACCCAGGCTCACCGCAGCCTGCCCACAACACCGAACTGGGCTGTCGTTGACAGCCACCAAACTGGTGTCACTCTGCTCCCATTGGGACACCACGCCCTTCCACACCACTGTCTCACTACATCCCGTGTCGACCAGTGCTCGGCACCTGTGCCCATTCACGGTGATGGCGATGATGGGCGTTCCCGGGCTGTTGCGGCGGCTGGCGACGGCGGAGCCCGTGGCGCTGATGTAGCGCCGTCGCCACGTCCGTTTGGGCAGAGCCGGGCGATGTGGCCCATCTGGCCACAGGTCCAGCACCGCAACGGTGGCCGGCGAGCAGTTCCTCTGGTCGCCCGCTGTTGCTGTACCGATGGTGGCGGCAGTTGGACGGCAGCCACCGGTGCAGCCGCTCTCTCCCTGGCAGTTATCGCCAACGTCGACCGGGCGATGGCGACCGCTCGCTCCAGGGTGAGCGTGCCATCTCCAACGCTGTTTCGTACCGTCAGCCGCACTTCCGCTGGCAGGCCTTGTAGGAAATGAGCCGTCATGACCGTGCTGGACACATAGCCGATTAGAGACATCAGACGTTTGATGGAGCCCAGGTAAGCATCAACAGACTCACCCGGCTCCAGACGTCGACGATATAGCTCTGACATTGCGGCGTCCGGTCCCATGGCAAAGGCGCTGTGCAGCTTGTCACGGACGATCTCAGCGTCTCGTTGCTCGGTCTCGGAGAGGCTGGCCCAAACTTCGTACGCCTGGTCCCGCAGGCGCGTCGGCAAAACAGCGGCCAGGGAAACGCGTCTCAGGGCGCACAGCTGTTTCGCCTGCTCCAGCCATTTGACGACGTCACCGGTACCGTCGAACTCTGGTATTGCCCGCAGATCGAAAGCAGGTGCAGGAAGTTCGGGTTCCGCCGCATTGGTATCGACCACCGCGGCACCACTCTCCTCTTCCACGTCAGACATTGTCACAAGCACTGATTGTTCTGAGAATGGCCGAAATAGCTTGAAGCGATTTAGAACTCCTGCTTCCACGTAACCAAGAAAACTATATTCCGCTCTCCTCCGAGCCTCTCAGCCAACTGCCCAGGCAATCACACTCCCAACCAGACCATAGCTCTCACGCACACGTCATCGCGCATCATCATTAGCCAATCACATTGTCATACGTCATCCCCAGTGCAACTGATCAGGGGGCGTAACCCGGCCGCCCCGACGTCCGGCGGCGGCGGCGGATGACTCACACTGGGTCACCGGGTCACGTCCCGCAGCTCAGTCTCGCCGCGCGCCTGACTCATACGCTACTCACATTCCTTATTGTGTCTATCATGCTACACAGCAGTCCCTCCCACCGCTCTCCCCCACCTTGTAGATATAAGTGTAAGATGTATCCAGCTCAGACTATCCATCACTCCCCCTCTCTCTCCTCTCTCCCTCTCTCTCACCTGGTGATGTGTCCTGTCCGATTCTTCTCCGTCCCGCCGACGATCAGCTGCTCTGGCCAGTGCATGTGCCGGGTGGCGAACCCGTAGCACCCTCCGGTCAGCTCCGCGCCCACGTCCGGCGGCACGCCCGACGCCCGGTTCGAGGCCGTCTCCGGACATTCGGGGTCACTGGGATTGAGACATGGCCGGCGCTGGTAGCCACTCGTGATCCCCGCCTGCGGGAGGAAGATCAAAATCGTCAGCATTCGCTCCTATTAGGTAAGGATGGAGATATCAAGACAACGCATTCGTTCTATGCGTTGTCAGTATCTAACATCTGGCTAGGAACGTCAATGTCCCGTTAGTTTCCGTACATAAAGATGACTTCGCGCGTATTGAATCAATCTTCTTGGATTTACAAGATAGAATATCACCAGAATCCAGATGGTACACGTCATAAGTCCGCAATGCCGAGCATCTGGAGCGTCAATTTCGCAGACAAGCTCGGTGACACACCAACAAGAAAACTATCACATACGGGCTCGGGTTACGGAGTTGACGGCCTGAAAACACTGCGGGCGGCAGGGTGGGCGGCGCGGGTGGCCGCCGGGAGGGCGGGTCAGGGGCCGGGGAGGGAGTCGGCGCCCGGGGAGGGAGTCACACAGCGCCGGCAGATCAGACGCTCGCCGGCCGGCCGGTTTATTACCTGCTCGGCGGCGGGCCGGGCGGCCGACAAACATGACTCCACTCCACACCTGTCCCGGCCGGCGCAGCGGACCTCACAGACGGCTGCATTCCGACGGCCGGGACGGAAGGTGCGCCCATTCCGCCGGTCGGGGCCGGGGAGCCGACCCCAGTCCGACCCATGGGTCCCCCCCCCCCGGGCCCCCTCCCACCGCCCCCAGTCCGTCCCACTCCGTCCCCCACGGATCACCGTGGGGGACCCATGGGTCCTCCGCTGTTGACCGCGGTATTCCAGTTATGTGTCGGACGTGGCGGAAAGTGATGACCACCCTCCAGGCGGGCCACGCTCGTCCCCGCTGGTGACACCGCCGACACGACGACAGGCGACGGGCCGCGCGCCGGCACGCTAGCCGACTACGGTTGCCGACGGGGGCTCTACAAGCCTACAGTCCATGTCCAGCCGAGCCCGGCACAACAGAGCCGTCCGCTGCCCATCGGTTCCCACCGCAGCGCCCCGCGGCCCGAGTCCGACCAGCGGGGGTCGGCGCCGGGTCGGCCGGCCGGCCGGGCGCGCAGAATCGCCGTAATGAAGCCATTCGGCTCGCCGGCAGGTGCGATTAGCCGGCGGGGCGGCGCCGACGGCCTGTTATTGGCGGACGGCCCAGGCGGCGGCGGTCGGTGGCGGACGCGCCGCGCTGGGTGGTCCGCCGGCCGGCGGATATGTCGGTCCGCGGGTCACAGGTCAGCCGCGGCCGGGCGGCCGGCGTGGGACGGCAGCGCAGAGCGGGCCGTCCCCCTCAGACGTCCATCGGCGCTCAGTGACGCGTGCGTGACACGCCGACAGGTCCTCTGTGGCCGGTAAACGACACCGGCGCAGGTGCACAGTGCGCGGACCGACCTGTCACAGACCTGAGACGGTCTGTCCCGGTCACAATGCCGCCCTCTCAGAGACGCACCGTACCGTGAAGACGGTAACTACCACCGCACCGCCGACCGAGGGACCACTGGCTCACACTCACCCCTTTCATGTATTTGCGCAGCGAGTCGAACTGGAAGGAGGGCCCGAACTGGTTGCTCATCATGGTGAACACCTTCTCCGGGTCCAGGTTGGTCCACTGCAGCTTGCCAGGCATTTGTCTGTGGAGCGACAGCGCAACGAGCGTGACTGGGTGACCGGGGCGAGTGAGCAGGCTCGAGGTTGGACATTCGTAACTTGTTTTATGGAAAAAAGAACTTAGAACAAAACTTTTGCTTTAATACGCAAGCAATCAACAGCAACAGTAGCACATCACCCCGCTATACAATGAAATGGTCGGCGTAAAATTCTACGTTTTTCCAGCATAACTCGTTTGGTTATGACAAGCCCAAACCACAAGTTATTTCTGATCCTGCATTACAAATCGGATACTAATGAGGCGCCAACTTACGGTAACGAGACAGGAAAGTCGGGCCCGAGCAGCTTCGATCCTTCCCAAAAACAGTCGAGGGGCGTCACAAACGAACACGGAATCAGCTTCTCCATCACCTGTGAAAGGAACGCAACGTTAGCCCAGGCACTCGAGGCTGGCTAATTTTAGACACTGGCTTTAGAAGCTTCATTTTATAAGTGAGAACAAATTGAAATATCTGAAGCTAGCGCATTGACTGAACATCAAAATGCATTGAATTCATCTCTGACGTTTTCAAACAGGACATAATGTATGTGATGGATCACTACAACATGAATGTTTGGAATGGAAGACATTCAACCAGGCGCTTTCAGAGCACCAAACTAGCGAGCGTGATGAATTACACCACTCCACTGCCTCCCAGAATATCACAGCAGTCAGCCGCCACTCACTTTATCAACCAAATGCTCTTCATACGAGGGGAAGCTGGGCGCAAAACATAAATCTTTCAGCTTCCACGTTCTGAAACAGAGGACATCCATCAGTCGAGGCCGTGCTCCCGGGGAGGGCGGGGGAAGGGGGGCTGGCAGCTGGCCGGCGGACCGGGGGCGGGGAGGGGCGGCTGCAGCGGGGCGGCCGGCGGTGGCATCATCCCGCCCCTGGGTGGTCGTCCGTCGGCCGGCCGGCGCTGTCCGCCGTCACCCCGACACGGCCGCCGACCGCGACACCGGCCGACACCGCTGCAGCCGCCCGGCCGCCCACGTGATGCATCGTGTTTCGGCGGCGGACGGACAGGCAGCGGTGGCGGACAGATGTCGGACCGACTACCGGCCGCCACCCGGCCCGACAGCGCCGCGGCGGCCGCCGCTAATCACCGCCTAATGCCCAGTTATGACAGCAATCAGTTCGGAATGAAACCGGCGAGGTTTTTTGAATAATAGGTGCCAATTCTGGGCAGGCGTTGGTGCCAATCATTTCCCTGATGATCCCTGATTATCGCTCGCGCTGATAAACATCGCTAATGCAATTGGCAAAAGTGAGTTATAACGAGAAATATGTGGCCAATTTGGAGTAACAAATAATGACAGACCGGCGCAGAGGCCGCTGGATAATGATACTACGTGCAGGGCGGCGCATAGTAATTTGGCTGCGCGGAGGAAGAAGCCAGCAAGTCGACTCGGGTCAGCGGGTTCGTACAATGGACACCAACATAACACTGACAACTGAAAACCGCAGATCGAGACGGGCACGCTCAGAAGGAAAGAAATTAGTTCGCTCGTTCATGTGGGCATCTTTTTTACATTTGGCGCTAAGGCTATCCCGTCCGTCTGGGCCCAAACCCGGAAGATGCCTGATCTCTCGTCTACACTACAGGTCCCGGTGGTCTCATTTGACTCCGGACTAACGTTAGGTATCTGGACACTGATAATTAGCCAAATAACGCTATCGGCGGGATACACACTTGTCAATCCCGGGCAAATGTAACGGTACCCCAGCGGCATCACGTAATTCATGTGAAGGAAGTTCAGAAATGACGTTCACGGCCCGCGATCCGCAGTCTACACACTCCACACTCTACAATGAAGTGAGGCTTGTGACAAAAGCAGCGGCGTCCAACATCACCTGTCCGTACTTCTATCCTCAGGATACTGAAGTCCTTCTCCTCCACGCCACAACCCCCTTCCGGGCTGGGCAGGCAACTTTATCTCATGCGGGCTGCTCCCTTGGAGCGGCACCGCTGCTCCCGAGGGAGCGCACCCCGTAGCCGGGTGCAGTGAGTGCCTTGGGGCTGGGTGGCCTGTCCTCTGGACGGGCTCAGCCCCGGCGGCTCACTAGGGTGCCTGCCCAGACCAATGTCTCCCCCTAATTCCTATCGTCCTTCCGGCTCTGCAATGGTCTTGTCAGACCGAAAGGGCCTAACCCAACAAAACAAAAACAAAGCGTCCAACATATCAATATAGCGCGCTGAAGCGTACGAGTACTTTACCCTCTCTTAGTCAGCTTCCGTCGACGCGATTCGTCCGCTCGATACTCACATATCATACATATCGACGGTGACTTGACTAGCGGCCTGGATGACCTCAAGGTGCGCGAGCAGCGCGTCGGGCCGCAGCACGGAGCCCGGCGCGTCGCGCGGCGTTTGTACTACGATCTGGTGGAGAGAGCCGGAGCCGGCGCCCAGGCTGCTGCGCACGTACTCCAGCTCGCGCTGCAGCCGGCCGCCCTCTGTCGAACAAATAGGGGAGGTCAGGTCAGGTCAGGTCAGGTCAGGGCAGTTCAGGTCAGGTCGGGTCAGCTGGGGTGGGCAGTCGGGGAAGGTCGGCTAGACTCTTGGAGTGGACACAAGACCGGGGGAGGTCAGGGTCAGATCAAGCTAGGTCAGGTCAGGTCAGCGGTGGGAGTGTACCGGGGGGTTTGGCAGGGCAGGACAGGTCACCAGATTTAGGTCGACAGTTACACACTCACAGAGTAGTAAATAATGTTCTTAAGTTCCAGAGATCAGCACGAGAATGACACCACTCAGGTCGAGAAAATCACGACCGGGTCAGGTCATTCAGTAATGAGCAATGGTCATGGAACTGGAGGCAACGATATCGGGTCAGATCAGATAATAGATGACCATGTAATGACGATTCAGGTCAGATCATGCCACCTGCACCAATCGTACACGGCAATCGTTACCCTGCCATAGAAATAACTCGGCACGAACGAATATCACGTAGAGCCATGCCTATGTCATGTCGTACGGGTCAAACTTCGAGATCAATCAACGCAGATATCTTGACGAATGGTGCTTACGGCTACCAAAGATAAACAGTCGAGCTAAAGACGCATTAAAAAGTCCCACAGCTACTGCGCGTCATCGAACTGTTCATTGCGTGGCGTCAAACGGCGACACCTAACCAAACTATCCCCAAACCAAACACTGGGTACCTACCGATAAAAGTCACGGCCCGCCCAATATAACGGGCCAGCGGACCCCACGTCGGTACACGGGGGGGGGGGGCGATAACAAACCTTTGAGCGACCAGCAGCAGCAACACGCGTGAATCAAACGTCGCCCTGTTAAACGCCACTCGCCGAGAGTCGGACGGCGCTCAACGTCAACAAACAGTGGCCGTCGCAGACCGCGGTCAAAGACACTGAGGGCGTCGCGGGTGGCGCGACTCGGTACGGAGACAGACGACAGAGGTGGAGACAGAGACAGCGACGGAGACAGAGACAGACAGAGAGACAGGCGGCCGAGGCAGACGATGGAGGCAAAGACGGGGAGATACAAGCGGCCGAGACGACCCGTCCGCTATACGGAGGTCGACGGTCTGAAGATAGGTGCAGTAAACGAGTTGCTGTGAGACTCAGACGAGCTATAAGGAGAGAGATGTAATGAGACGGCATACGGCGGGACGGCCCAGGTAAAGCGTACTGATACGAGGCGTATGTGTCCATTTGGGACAATCTCCGGAGACGGGCGGAGACGGTCCGGGGAGTGCCGGCTATCTCCCGGTGTCGGCCCGACACTGACGCGCCCCGAACAGGCCGTCTCGGCTAATGGCCGGCATCCCTCTCCGTGACGGCCGGTCGACCCTTCCATCTGGGGCCGACGCCGACCGTTCCCTGACGGCGCCGGTGACCACCTGGTCTGACCATCGGTCAGCCGACCGACCGCCCGGGTAACGAGGCCTCGTTACCGCCGTCCCAGACGGTCCGCGCGCCAGTGAGAGCAGAGGAGAGCAGAGGATGGGGCAAAAACGGCCGGCGGCCGGACCTCAGCGCGCCGACCACCGGACTCGGGGCGGCGCCGAGCGGCCCGGTACGACAGGCCGGCCGACCCGCCCTGCGCGGCCCACCGTCCGTGCGCGCGCCGCGCCGCTCCGGATCCGCTCCGGTCGGCCGGCCTCCTCGGGCAGCCGTTTTTGTCGGGCCGGACCGGCGCGCGGCGACGGCTCCCACCCAGAATCTCGTTTAATGGGCCAGCGGCGGCCCGAGCGCGCAGCGGTTCACCCTTTAATGAGACGTAATGAACGATAAACGCCGTGGTTGAGACGGACGCCCGCGGTGCGCCGGCCCGGCGGCCCAGAGCCGCGCACGGCCGCGCGATCCTATCGGCGGCGCGCTGCTGCAGCGGCCGCCGCCGGCGGGGGGCGGGCACGCAGCTCCTCTCAGATTTATCTCCGGCCGGCGGACGGCCGTCGAACAGCGCGGCCTCGCAGGGGGTCCGAGCCGCCAGCGGCGCCGACCGCAGCGCCGCCGAGCGGACACCTGGGGAACCACCGGCCCGGGGAGCGGACACCCGACCTACAGATGAGAGCGCGGAACCGCGGGCAGTTCTGCTGCTCGAGATGTCTCACTCGGCCCAAACAATCGCCCCGCTGATGGACATCGTCACGTCTGCTTCACCCGCCTCCTCGGAAATCGGTCCTATCCGCCGGAGCAGCGGCCAGGGCCCGCTCGGCCGCCGCCGGCCGCGGTGCACAGATGAGAACGTGACGGCGCCGGCCGACACAAAGCGCCGGCGCCCGGCTCTGCGCCGAGCGTCGGACGTGATTCCATTGACGCCGGCCGAGCGGAGCCGCCGCTGCCGGCGGCCACACCACCGTGACAGATTGGGAACTAATCGCCGTTTAATGACGGCCCCCGGCAGTCGAATTGAGACTCACGGCTTCTCGGAGAGGCATGTTGCATGGATGCCGGAAGTCTACATTCAACAGCTCTAGACTTGCATCATCACATACCTACAGAACCAAGTGAGCAATTGACATCCGTGCCAGTGACCATATGACATGACCATATGAATTCCCACCTTGGTTCTGTAGTCTCGGCATCTCATGCCGAGCCCTCGTCGGCAGGCATCGCATATACGGCACGGCCGGCATCATCGGTCATGTCCAACACAATCAATGATCGGGACACAGCACAGAACACCCTCCCCCTGCGCCAGGTGCCGCCATGGTCCCCGAGCCTCTCCTCGGCATCGGCACGGGGCGTCAGAACCGCTGAGGGTGTCTTACATCCTACCGCGTGACATCCTGTACCCAGTGCCGTACCGAGTGCCTGTACCGCAGTACCCATGGTCCCGGTACCTCGGTAGTCGGTACCCATGGTCCCAGTGCCTCGGTACCCAGGCAGACAGAGGGCAGGTATGTACCGGCGGACTGTAACTTCACAGGTACCGGGTACCAGTACCGCCGTACCTACGATCCCGGGTCCCAGTACGTGTACCTTGGTTCCCGTGGCCCCGGCACCTCGCGGTACCGCGGTACTCTCAGGGCAGGTGCCGGCGCGGTGCGGCAGCACACAATGAACATGTTATCCGTGACGGCCCCAGCCCGGCAGGTAGGACCGGCCCCGGCGGGCGGGAGGCGGGGGAGCGGGCCGGCCGCGCTGCGGGGAGGCCTCCCCATTCAGCGCGTCTCAATAGAGTCGTCCACCGAGGGACCGCGGATGGAGGGAGGACGGCCGGAGCGCCGCCAGGTGCCAGGAAGATGCGAGGAGCAGCAGAGGAAGGGAGAGGAGGGAGGACTGCACTGGCCAGCTTGCTGCATGTGTCAGTTCGATGTGCTAGGTGAGCCATATAGCCGATCTCTTGTGACAACTTTGAAATTTACAGTGAAGGAACACGACTTGGCAAGAAAAAATCTCGTAAAGAGAGCTTTTGTTCAGAATTGTGACTTCTACAAGTCAGAAATGATTTATTATACAACGACGTTATAAAACAAATGCCCAGGAAACATGGGATAACCAAACAATAAAGATAACTCTTCCTGAAGAGTTATCCGCTTTAACTGGATATTATACAACAGAGCTTAGCTCGTCCAATGACACATAAACCCACAGAACTCCCGGTCCAGCCGGTAATCCGAGGGCTGATGTAACCCCAAATTCGCGTCTCTAGTGCCAGGTACGCTCAGTCCATTCAACACGTGGGAAAGAGCCGAGTGGGCCAGAGGATAACGCCGGCACCGCGGCGCCGCCAATCGTAATATCATTTTCTGCCCCGTCGCACATAATCTCCTGTCTCCACGAGGGTAGACAGGAAGGTTTAACTCTGAATAAAGGGTTCAAGGCCTCGACGTGTGCCGGATATTCATTCAACAAGGGATACAATCCAGATCCCAGCGAGAAACACAATATAACGTCGACCACGTTAAGCTGGACCTTATGAAAGCGTAACGTCAAAAATGTAGTCTGCATACACAAATCAACGCAAACGTGAACGGCATCGGTATCTTAGCACTGCGCCGAATTGTCCCAGGTAGGTGAACAAAGCAGCAATGTGCGCCTCATGCCCGGTAAACCAGCCGTCCTTTACGCCAGATCAGGCCGGTTTATGATTGATCACACGCGGTTTACCCGGGCGTGTAACTGCTCCGAGACACTGAGCCTGGTTTACTACCGGTTTTACTACGGCCGGTTCGCACGGGTGTATCATAACTCAGACCCCTGTGAGTGTACATCACAGACGAACAAGACTCGCCGCGTGTTCATGCAAATCAGCACATTCGGCCGGCGATATATTCACTGAGCTGGACAGTACCGTCCTGGGCTGCGGGGATCAACAATACGCTCTTCGATGTATTCCCATGTTCCACTTTAATGCTGGTCATAATAACGTTCCAGAAATGCAGAACGACACTGACACACAATGGCCTGCACTGTTCAGCCCACATATCTAAACAAAGCTTTGTTTTCATTGCGCTTGTCTACCTGTAACATTTTATGATGATTGGATAATCACAAACAATGAGGTCTCCGAAAAGGGTGACGTCACCACAATCAAGAACACCCATTCTGCTGTCAGTATTCACTTAGTGCCTTCAAGGAGGTCTAATAATGTTGGGCCATCGCCCCTTCTTCCTCGAACTAGCTAGCGCTGAAGCCAGCTGTTCCCAAGGGATCTAGGAAGAATCCAGCCGAGACCCTAACAGTCAACATCCCTTGAACTGTGCAGTGCGGTGGAGTTCGGCCCACGAGCCAGCTCGTCTGATCAGTCTGCCCCCACACGGATAGCCGTCCATTACTGGCAGACAGGTGCGCGGACCAACCCCGGGCCAGGCCGAACCCGGACCGACGTGGGTCTTTGATCCGCAGACAGTACCGAAAGACGCCCGGCCGACTGTCGGGCTCAGACAGCAGGATAGAGTCAGTCGATAGAGGTGGACAGAGATGGGTCAGAGGCGAATTTGGACAGCACGGAGGATGACAAAGGTCTGAGGCGGACACGAATAAGACAGAGGCAGCCAGGGTTAGGCTAAAGTAGACAGCGGATAGGCTGGAACGGATGGGAAGCGGGCCAGAGACGGCTCCAACAGTCAGCAGGTCAGGTTCTGACCCCGAGTCGGTGTCAGCAGCCGCGCTGTTGCGATAGACAACCTTGCGACCGACCCACTCTCACATGTTGTGAGATAGCACATGACGCGAGCACATCGGAAATGAATGCGCCGGTCATAGCTTGACTATGCAGTATGCAGGAATGGTAAGGTAAACGTCTGTCTGTGCGAACAGAATTGACGCCCCATGGCGTGTGTCTGAGGTCCTTTTTTGTTCGGGAATATCTTCTTTGGTAGAGCGCCAAACATCATCATCAAAGTCATGGAAGAAAAACTGACGGCGACACCCCGGCCGACAGATGATCTGACAAATAAAAACACAGCCGGCATCGATCAGCTGGCTCCGTTACATTAGTGAGAAGTCAGCATGGGAGCATTAACATAAGACAAAGAAGTTCAGTTCTTGTGAGACTCATGATCGCACTACCTCGCTCACAGAGAGAAAAACCAAGATACGCCGGTCTATCGACCTCTCCACAATGGTCGGGCGTACACCGTACCTTCAAGCAACACACCGGTCCGGGATCCCGCGCTCCCGGGTCACAATCTGAGCCGGCCCAGACCCGACTCAGATCACCGCACCGTCGCCAAACAGGGCCGGGTCAACAAACAGACCCCCACCCCCAGCCCCACCGCCGCCGCCAGTACATCGTCGGCGCCGACGACCCAAACGACGGCGACGACGCGGCGGCGCGCCACCGCAAAAACAGACGCGCGGCACGCGACCAGCTCCGCAAAACCGTCGCGCAGACACCGGAGACGACTCTGGCGCCGCGCGCAAAAACAGCGGCGGCGGCGAGCGGAGGAGGGTGGAGGCGACCTGGAGATAGAGGGAGACACAGAGAGGAGACTGGGGACGGCCGAGGGCTGACTGAAGTAGGAGGGACTAGGAAAGGGACTCAGGAGAGGTTGAGAGCGGCCACGGCACGTCAGAACGTCCGGCAGCAGACGGATGACGCCGGAAACGGACGAACGCGCGAATGGAGAGAGTGAAGAGGGGAGCAGAAAGACAGAAAACATGCGTGAAAAAGTACGGAGAGAACAAAGGGAGACCGGAGAGGGAAGAGTAACAACAGGATGTGCCGCCGGATGAAAAAGTGCACCTGGATACACTGATGTAACTATCTGACGATGTAATTGCGACGTGGCATGGGTCGTCCAAGAACGGAATCTCAAACAAAGAAAAAGAAAAGAAAATAATTCAAATAAAAAACACCGAATGTAATAACCCTTAGCTCTCCCTGCACCCCATTGTTCACCCCGTTGGGATCCCGTCTCTGTACTGGATGGGTGGTCTCCCCCGCCGTCACGCCTGCTCGTTCACTGACCCAGCCCCCCCCCCCCTCACCTCCGGCTGTCCAGGAGCACCGCTGAGCCGACTTGACCCCCTCCCAGGTGTTACAGAGGTTCGTCCATCAGCGCTGGAGCAGCTCACGGTCTCCTAAATCCGCCCACCGCCACCGGACCGTGCAGCGGACACCGGGGCAGGCGGTGGTTTGGACAGACCCGACAGCTGCAGTGTCCGTTTTGACGTGAGCAAACCGCATGGTGAACGGTTGTGACGCCGGGTGATTAGCGAGAAGATTGATAAGGTTCTGTTTTATAATCAACGACAGCGGCGATATTTCTCCTCATATACACATTTCTCAAATGTGAAAGCTTAATCAAGAAACGTTTTATACAGGAGACACATTGAGACCAAGCGTTAACATTGTTCAAATGCGCAATCATTAGGAAAATTAAAATACATTCCATTTTAAATAAATAACTTATAAGTACAACAACGCAAACGAATGCATGCCGATCTGTTTGCCAGGCAGTCGATTTACACAGCCCCGTGAAAAAGGTGCGAGGCGCGGCGCAGCTGTTTTTTCTGCCTCCCGGCGGCGTCGACATTGAGCGATCGGAGGCCGGCGAAAAACACCGTCCGACGCGTACCGAGCACGGCGCCAATTAACATTAATTCATCACCGGGGCAGACACCTCAATTCTGCGCCGGGGGCACACGCGCCGGGGCCGAGCTGAGCCGCCGACGCTACCGCCGCCGACGCTATACCAACAACAGCGGCAGCGGCGGGATGAGGCAGCCGTCCGGCTCTCAGAATGGTGTGTCTCTGCGTTTATATGTGGAGCTAGCGTGGACACTGCGTTAGTTGAGTCACGAGTCTTTACGTCTGGAAACCTCTCGTCCGGTCTCACCTTAAATATGTCCGATATTTCTCAAAACGATCGCCATCAATTAATTTGTACCGATGATAACCCGCGCCCAGATGGGGTCTGCCGAGCAACGCGGTCTGATGGGGGGGGGGGCCATTTTGGCCCCCCCCCCCTCAGATCTCGAGAACCACGCAACATAGCGACAAGCGGTAAACGGTGTTGGATAGTCCCAACGGGGAACTACCTTGTGAGCCAATTTCATTGACCTCGGTCAAACCGATGACGTCACAGGTCAGGTCAAAGGTCGAATTTTCACCGTTTACAGGCATTTCAAGAAATGCGTTGTAAAATCGAGTAAAATGCATTTCATTGAAAATCATCGATGGGGAAATGTTCTTCAAACACATATTTTGCTATTTGAGGTCACTGATACCAGGTCAGGTCACAGAGGTCAGGTCACTGGGGGGTCACAATATGAAAGTGTCGTGTGATACATGTTTTATGGTCCATTTTACATGACAAATGCGATTATGTGGGTCAGACAGACTTTAGGGCCAGCTTAGGTCACGTTTTGGTCAAGGTCAGGTCAAGGTCAGGTCAAGGTCAGGTCAAATTAGGTCAAATTTCAAAGTTGATATTTTTGCATAAAATGAGTATCGATTCGATGCAGCTTGTCACGGGGAGTTCAATGGTGGTCTCCGTTTTGCGCTACGAGGTCTAGAATTGCTAAAAATTGAGTTCAAAAATTTGACGTCATCAATTTTTAACAGTTTTTTCGCTATAACTTGGCCAAAAAAAGAGGTATCGATCTAAAATTTGGTATGTATATCGAAGAGCGCAGGGACTATCACATATATTTCGGTTTTTTCGAAATTCGAAAAATTTTTGGAAATTTTTTGAGTTTTTCTAAAAAAATCAATTTTTTTGAATTTTTGGGGTCAAAATCCCAAAATTTCGAAAATCCGAGATAGCAGTTTTGTAGCGCCGTCTTTTCTCTACACAACCACATAAAGAACTTTAAAATTACTTGTTAACTGTAGAATTTGTGAGCGTTTAAAGATGTCATGTTTTTTGCTCATTTTTACTCGAACATGACCTCAGTTTGACCTCAATAACTCCTGACCTGAGGTGACCTGTGACTTGAAATTTTGTGTGAAGGTGTCAAATTGATGCCCGGTAAGGTACCCAAAATTTGGCGCCGCCGTTTTCTCGCTATTTAAGAAAAACCACAGGGGGGGGGGCCAAAATGGCCCCCCCCCCCCCATCAGGGCGCGGGATAACTCAAGTTACGAAAACGCTTGGGGACCTCCGTGTTTCCGACCCAAGTTTCCTTTGATCTACATCATAAATACACAGATCATCACGTGAGCAGGATGACCGTGCAAACTGGCGACACTGCCAAATTGCTCAATGTTTGGCGCACCGTGCACAAACACCACACATCACCACGTCAGGCCGCCTACAGTCTGCGGTACTTACCCTCCACCCAGAGATCCTCCACATCGGTCTGAAGAGGAATGTTTTTCAGTCCTATGCAGAGGGTGGCCAGCAGCAGGACGCCCACAAACAGAATCTTGCCGGCGTGGCTCTGCACCAGCCGTCCCGTGTGGAACAGGTAGCTCTGTGTGTGGGCGCGCACCCACAGCGCCGCCCGGTTCCCCTCGGCGTGACCCTGCAACAAAGGGGGGGGGTCAGAGGGAGGTCAGGGGAGGCAGGGGAAGGCGATTCAACCGGGCTGCTCGAAGAATGGGGCTCGTGGGTGAACAACACGTTTCTCAGCATAAGAACGACCATCGCACCATTTCTGAGTTCTTCGTGTGGCTGTTGGTGGTGTAGCGGTACAACTTTAACAATAAAGACCGCTCTTGCCTATTTAAAACACATAAAATCGGTTATTTATGACGTACCCCACGGTGGTACGGTCAGTCCAGTGTGTGTAACTTGTTTTGAACACGGGGCAAACAATGAGTCGGCCGCTGCACCATCGGAATACCGAGCAGCCTCTGCGGCACCTCCCAGCCGCGGCCCGGTGCAATTAATAGCGGCCATCCGAGCGGAGCAGTGCGCTGAGACGGGCGGCCACCCTCGCCGCCGCGGCGCCTCAGACGCCGGCTGATGCCTTATTCATTCACCGTGTCACCCGGGCTGGCCGGCCATGTCGCTCGTCGACTAATCGCCAGTGTCGGCCCAGAGGTCCGGCGATAAATACACGGTCCGGGACGCTCCGCGACCGACTCGGCCGTGCACGTGGGCCCAGGGCTGATTCACAGCGAGTTACCCGTCTCGGGGGTCATACCCCGGGCTCGGGACAGACCGCAGCCATTCGTGTCGTGTGTGGGTAGGAAAGGAGTTCAGTGTCGGAATGCGGGTCTAATGTTTCCGGCCAAAGCGTGGAAGAGCCCGCGGGGGTCGTGATTTGGATTTTACCGATCTCACGGACACACAGTCCAAGAAGGCTGAACTTCTGTATTACCTACCCTGTTATATTTATTAGCAAGCACCAGGCAGAGACAGATGCTCGCACTGAATTCCGTCCGAGACGCATACTACACTTGCGCTAGCCCAATTAGTTCAACGTTTTTCAACGGCGCCTTTGCCTAGGACAGGACAGGATCTCCCTGGGCCTCTCTGCACAGTCTGGGTTCTAACCGTCCTATCCTGGTCAAGCTATCCTGTCCTGGGCGTTTACGGCTCGTCCGGCCCCCGTACAGGCCCCGTCGTCTGTCGGGCTCGGCAGGGCGGTGCCGGTCGGCCGTCAGTGGTCGCCGGGGCCGGAGGACCACCCAGCGGCCGCCGGTGTCACTATTTCCGGGCGGCAGCTTTGATGGCCGGTCGGCGGCGGCCGGCGCCGGGCCCTCTGAGGCGGCCGGACGGCGGCCGCTCCCCGCCCAGCCGCTATGATGGATGCAGCCGACACACACCCGGCGGAATGTTTAACTTGGAAGGCGGATGGTTATTGTTTGAGCGCGGCCAGCGCGCCGCTCCCGGATCGGCGGCCCGTGCCTGTGTCACTCCGCCAGCGGCCAGGGCCTGGGACGGGTCAGAGTGGTGTTTCAACAGCCGGGCTAAAAGCTAGGATGAAGTCTTACAAGCACCATCCACCCTTCCCTTCCGGCGGTCGGTGGGTGGCCAGACAGCTGGCTCGTATCAGAACATCTGCAATTTGCGACCGCGCTTATTTGGACCGATGCAAGAAAAAGATAAGCCGAATCTGACGTCTGATCGCGCCACCCACCACGGGAACCACGGGCGGCAGCCGAGCGTGCAGCCCGGGGGGTTCCCGGAAACCACCGGTGGCGGGTGTCGCAGTCGAGCCGTGACCGAGCCGGGTTACGGCTCAGCATCCCGGTGTCAGTCACGTAATCCAAAACCTAAAAATACCGTATCACATCAGTGACATCACCAAATCAATGAATGAAAGTTGAATGACATCACGAGCCAATGAATGACTTAATGGCAGATATGTGTCTGCCTTTAGATTTCAGCTGCGCAGTAGGTGTTAAAAGCCCATCGTATCTCAGTTTCCAGCACATCCGTTGGTCAGACTCGGACGCCCCTCCCAGGCGACCTTCCCCACTCCGGCGGGGGGACCGTCTCCCCTAATATAGCCGTGACTCGGGTAAAAATAGCCCCTGCGAAGTGCTGTCAGCGGGACCGGAGGGGCGGGCACGGCTGAGGGCCCGGCCCGGGCGCGGGGTCACCGTCTCCCTCCCATTCGTGGGTGGTCTCCCGGCGCGAGGCGTCAGAGGCCGGACGGACGGGCCAGCCGCCAACGGCCGCGCCGCCCGACTGTTACGTTATTGAGGAGCGCCCCCAGTCGCGTGCTCGGGACCAGCCTCAATGGAAAATGGCTAGATTGAGCGAAGATGGGAATTTGAGACTGACCAACTCATTTGCACTAATTTGAGGAATTGAGCACGCCAATCTTCTCTCATAAAAATAACCGGCATTGTCAATCGCGGTGTTCGTGAGGAATGCGGTAGGTACCTATGAAAGGTAGACGAACGCTACACTGTTACTCTAGCCACGACCCCGCCAGGGATCAGAAAATAAAACGAAATGTTTCCTATTTTGCCAAAGCAATGACTGAAATAATACTCCCGAAAAGCGAAAACCATTCACATGAAGAGGAAGACAGACAGCGGATTGCGTTTGCTAATTGTTCCACGAACTGAGGCCGTTTCGATCGGTGCCTAGCTCACCGACCTTGATCCGCCGGCGTGTCACTGACCTTGTTGACCTGTCGGAGCGCCAGACGGGCGTCCGTCCAGCTGGGCCGCAGCAGGAACTCATCGCTGCAGCTCACTGAGTCCGGCGGAGGCGGCTCGAGCTGCTTTTCCGCGTCCACGTGCGTTCCGCCGCCGCTGCCCTTCACTGTCATATCACTGACACCGGCCGCGCCGGCTAGGTCACCGCCCGCGGGCGCATCGGAGGTCACCGCCACCAGCACACCGTCACCTCCGTCACCTCTCCGCGGAACGATCCCTCACCCTCACACACGCGCAGCACGCGCTCGACTGGCGCGCGCGCGGCGCTCTCGGCGCACGGCGGCGGCCACACCGCGCCGTCCGGCTCGCTCATTGGTCGAGCGGCGAACCGTCTCCTAGCAACGGCCGGCGGACCACACACGCGGTCAGCCGCTCGGCCTCCCAGCCCCCCATAATAAACAACACATGGCGGCCGGCACGGCGGCCGGCGAGTGCGTTTACTGGCGTGGTGCGGTGGCCCCGCGTCAGCCGCGGGGGGGGAGGGGCTGCCCCCTCCCCGACTGATGCGTCAAATTCACACGGGAAGATCTCGCGGAATGTGGGGGGTGGGGGTGGAAGCGGTCATTGGTAACAATAGCCCCCGGCTCGCACGCATTTGCGAAATTTAGGACGCTTCGAAAATGAAGACGATCATTTCTTTGAAGAACACGATAAAATTTGGCTCTCGGAATCGGGTGATCGGATGGTACCTATTACCTAACCATGGGGTTGGAACTTAACTTAGGGCAAATGCCTCCCTATAGCTCCCGAAAACGTTGAAAATTTGGCGGCTTTTTAATAGAATGAAAACTTCGCAACTATTGTCAAACAAGTTTGCTTTTAACTGCACAACAAAGACCACCAGCAAACCACAAACGGACTACAGGCGACGGGGCCAGTGGCCACTTTTGGCCTCTGGAGGAAACACCCTCAGGAAGACGCCCCCTGGATCATGGGCGGCGCCACCGGGGGGGACGGGGGGGACAGGTCCCCCGCTATCGAAAGTTAGGGGGGTACAGTACCCCCCTATCGGCGAGGTCCGTTCAATAGTTGATAATAATGCATTGTAGAGTTATCCGTCGCATTTAATGCATCGTTGGTTAATCAAGACAGGTTCTGAATAAAGATTGCTGTTGGGATGTATCGCAGGGGGTCCTGGCCATCTGCAAAAGGTGTGGAGCTGTGATGCCTGTAGTCATAAGGTGATCGGCAGGGCCTCGGGGATCGTGCCCCCCCTTTTTGGGGCGCCAGACAGGGTTTATTACCTCCCCCACCCCACTGCCAGACCACATTGCCGACAAAACCAAGTTTACTGAAATTCCATAGATTTCCGTTACTATATGGATATTTTCCATTCCTAATTAGTCAAATTCAAGCATGGCAGCTCTACCACAGGAACCATTTGAAATATATGCCATTTAACCCAGCACTTGTGGGCAGAAGTGTTCGGATAGATCACAGGCAGGACCAAAAAAGCACGCCGTAGCCCAAGATCTTATAATTGGGTAGCATCGGCACCCTCTCGTCAAGGGGTTCGATAGCACTCGTTTTTTTTTCTGCAAAACTAAGTTCGGTCGGCGGCCGAACGGCTGGGGGTCTAATCAAGCCCCCTTCCCTCCCCTTCTTACGTCAGCGGCTGTGAAAATGCCATTACCAGCTGTTGAAACATGGCAGTTGCTTTTGCATGAGTGCACGAAAGGGTTTTAGGTACGTGATACGTGAAAGGTTCTACATGAAATTGAGATACACCAGCTTATCAAATTGTGCTCACTGTGGTGCGCTCGGTTTTACCTTGACTAGTCTTTGAATTCTGGGGTGAAACAGACCAGTCAAGAAACCTGTTCCATAAGGAGAGCCACTGATGCTAAAGAGATGAGGGATGAGGTTTCAAGAGACCTTCATTACCTCCCAAAGGGGTGCCACGCCATTTGCCAATCCCTGCTGTAGTTGTTACGATTGGAGGGTGAATATGAGAACGATGCAGGTCGTGACAGCTCGATCATGACGAACACAATGGTGCCGACATCACAGCTCTATGTACCGCAATTTTTGACGAAGTTAATCAACAAGGACCGGAATCCTACCCTGGGGCACTTCACCTGCAGAGGTCGCCGGACCTGAGACCCTTTCACTCAATTTTTTCAACGGTGCATGCGGCATGCGCTCGTTTTTCCCTTGAAGCTCTTGGTAAGTAAAATCCATCAGAAAGTGTGATCAAATAACGGCTGGTGACCTTCCATGACCTAGCATGACCTTTTGAGTGACCACCGATGACATGACCACTGACGGCTAGCCATTAGCTGCACCCTGCCCGTTGCATATGGATCAGGTGGTGATGTCATGATTCTGAAATTATATTGCAGTTTTGGCGCACTTGTCAGAGCAGAAAACATTCCCACTTTTCCTCCATGACTATATGATGATGAAGCCATGAAGCTGACCAGACGCAAGATCGAAAATTTGAAAGTACGAAACGTAAGTAGTTGGCACTGCTACTCATACCTAAGCAATTCGCAGCTTGTAGGAAACCAGCTTTGAGTTGGCAAGACTGCAAATTTTGATTTAGAGGCAAGGATGCTTGAAAAGGTGATCGATCTTATAGTTGTCCTATGATAAGTTTGGAAACGGGATGCACCATTCGATGTGTTTTGGGCTTTGCCAAGTTTCGCGGCGTTACGTGCCTCGTTTTTTTTTTTGCATACACGATCAGTATCTACTTTTGGGATTCTCAGTTAGGCAAGCCCCCGTCCCCGTCCCCCCCTATCGAAAACCCGTGGCGCCGCCCCTGCCCTGGATCTACTAGCGTTCGACCTGTTTGGTTAGACCCGAGGCTATAAACGTTAGACCCCACCCCGTTCCACTCCCGTCACAGGTTTGCCGTTCGGTGTTCCCGTTCTGTGGTCCGCTGCAGTCTCCCGAGTGGTAGGTATCGGAGACAGCCGCTCACCGGTCCCAATCGACACGGGCTGACGGCTGGAACCGTATGTGCTCGACTGCGGCCTGTGTGTCGTGAAGTGTTTACCGGGGCTGTCATACACGATGCCTGAAGTTCATGGTATTTAGTTCGCTGGCATGTGCAACATGGGTGAGTGGATTTGGGAGGATTAAAATAGCTGTGATTTCAATCATTTGAGTCATATGTGTAATATATTTTTTGTAGCTGGCCAACTGGCACATGCAGGGTGAGGCGACAGTTGCTTTTTAGTTTTTTGTTCGAATGGTCAAATAGCTAAATGAGCTGCTATCGACTCGGGATGCAGCATACCTATTCAGGGATGAAGCAGACCGAATCCCCAAATTCAACCGTCTACGGATCGACGGTAACTATAAATCATTGATCAGCCGACCGTTCGATTTTACTCGACAGGACTCCGATCCACATGTGCTTAGCGTAGCAACTTTATTTCCAGTAAGATTTTAACTATATTAATAATGTTCTGTACATTTATGTTTTTTAGGTGAAAAGAGACGTTAAACGGTTTGTCGTGCAACTTATATGCATTATCATCTCTGGGATGATCTTTCAGAAGGTAAAGTGTGCGTTATAAAAGGAGTATATTTATAACAACATAATTATCTCACACCGTAGACAGTGTTTATAATTGCTTCACGTTCAAAGAGAGAGAATTATCAGATGTCGTTTAACTGATTTGTTAAACGTCTAGACGATTAACAAACTTATCCCGCACCGTAGACAGTGTTTACAATTGCTTCACGTGCAAAGAGAGAAAATTATCAGATGTCGTTTAACTGATTTGTTAAGCGTCTAAACGTTTAACAAACTGTTAAACGTCTAGTAGACATTTCGTCTAGTCTGAAACATGTATTTTTTACATAAAATGTATTTTTTACCTTTAAGTGCCCGAAAGATACCGGCGGTACGGGATAAAATCATTAAACCCCTCGTAGGTAGAAAAATCTTTTAAACGTTTCGCCTATCTGCTCGACGTTTAAAAGATTTGTTCTACCTACTCGCGGTTTAATATATATTAAACGTCTAGAAGACATTTTGTCTAGTCTGAAATATGGCGTATTTTTTATATAAAATGTAGTTTTACCTTTAAGCGCCCGAAACATATCGGCAGTACGGGATAAAATCATTAAACCACTCGTAGGTAGAAAAATTTGTTAAACGTCTCGTCGTCTCGCCTATCGGCTCGACGTTTAAAAGATTTGTTCTACCTACTCGCGGTTTAATATATACTCTACACAACGTTTTGACGTCCTCAGTTCTCTGGATGACCTCTGGCACCGGGCACGGGGATATCGTCGTGCCTCGCGAGTCGCGAATTTCACTCGACGCAACGATGGTATTAATGAAGCTTTGGGCTCACCTCTATAATTAAAAGCTAGATCGACTATTAGACAACCACAGTCCAAAACAATATAAGACACCCGTCAAATGGCTAGCTAGGTACCTACTCTGATATTAATTGTCTCGCATCGACGCCTACCGGAGAACCCTTTCGCGAGAGGACGGGTGTCTGCTCCTTGTTCGCTTTACACCTCTTCATTCCATTATACAGTATCTATCCATGAAATCCTGGGGTTTACGTTCCAGATACCGTCCCACATCACCTTCTGTCCCACTCTCAGACCCGGCAGCCACCACGGGTCGGACGGTGATGGGCGGCCCGGCTCGGCGGCGGGCGCCGGCTCGGCCGCCCGGCTCCGTTTATTTGTTTAGTTAGTGTGGCGTCAGTCGGTATATTTATGCCCGCCGCTCACCTTCCCTGCTGGTCGTGTAGGATGTCAGTCCGCGAACAACGGAACACGGTAGAGGCCGCACCAGCCGGCCCAGACCGAGACGGCTGGTGTGGGGAGGTATGGAGAGCAGAAGACGGATAGGTATGTTTCGTCTCTAACCTATCACCAGCCGGCAGCCCGTTTACCTTATGCGTTTATTACAAGAGAGTCCAGCTGCCAGAACAGTGAACACTGAGGCATCCCGAAACAAAATGAAAGCATCCCATTGGACTCGAATTCCGTCGCCGACCTGCGCATCCAGTCTGGGACGGTGCTCGCTCCACGGCTCCAGACCAACCCACCGCAGCGCCTCCAGACCCAGCCGCGTCCCAGGTGTCCCACGGTCCAGGACCACAGAACAGGGCTGCGGAGTCGGAGTCGGAGTCGGAGTCGATTTTGGAAACCCGAGCCGGAGTCGGCGTCGGAGTTACCGAAAATCCGTCGACTCCGCAGCCCTGCCAGGTGTGCGGAGCCGGAGTCGGAGTCGGAGTCGGAGTCGCCGAAAATCCATCGACTCCGCAGCCCCCCGCAGCCCCGGGACTTCACTAATTCTACTTTTGTTAACTGATCGGCTCCCATTACAGGCATCTACCTATCTCATTTTAGCGTTCCAGCCTCAGAACCGTACCGTTTTGGCCCGTTCAGCTGGAGCAGGCCGGTCCGGCAGACTGCTGCCGGCTCTGGCAGTACTCTTTAGTGCCCCGCCCAGGCCAATTAGCGCTACTCAAAGCGGGTGGGCACATTTCAGTGGCCAGGCGGGCCGTCTGGACGGTGCAGTGCTGTCGTCCTCCCGCAGCTGGCCCACGACTAAGAACACCACGCTGATTGGCCACTCATGGACCACGGTGTTCGGCTGGCTGCCCTGCTGCCTGCCACTCACATAAAGACAAAGTCAGCCGGGTGATTTGAGAGAGGATTAAGTGTATTTTCACCGGGGCCGACCAGTCTTCAGAAAAAGTAAGCTGGAATCTGGATGGATTATATTTTTCAATATTTCTAATGCACTCGGGAGCAGGAGATAAAATGCAATTGAGTTTGACACAGGCTCTATTTTGCTACTAGTAGTTTATATTGGTGACGTAAATCCTTAAAATTGTCAAAATATTATGAAAACCATAGATGAAGTCACTTGTCTGCTATGTTTACGCGTTTCTTTGTAATAAAGTCGCAGACGATTACCACTGACTGAGTGAAGGTATAAATTAGCTGTCGCTTTCGATTAAGAGATTCAGGATTACGAAACAAGTGCGCCATTAATGAATACTTCGCGATGTTGTGGTGGGCGGCCCGCGCTGTGCTCATTCGTAATTAAGCCGGATTTGTGTTGTAAAATACTTTAATTTCTTAATAATTAAGGGGATATAGTATATACTGGCAATTTTACTATACTTCACAATGGTCAATCACATGGTTAGCTGTCGCAATCTATTTTTAACTTAAGTACCGTTTTGTCCAGATGCTAGATTTGTCAATTGTCTGAAATCCTGAATTTGGTGTTGATGTGTACTTCGTTAAATGTTAATTGTGAATTAATTGTGCGGTTAGTATAATTGTACTTTTTATTTTATTTTCAGATGAGTTGGCATAGGAGAAGACGCAAAGTTGTGCCACCTCAAGAGTGGTCAGAAGCGTGAGCTGCAAACATTGATTTTGGCTGTGATCCTGCTCCAACTCGGCAGTCTTGATTTTGGCTTCCTAGAAGCATCCTGTATAAAATTTAATCCAGAAAAATGGTAAGCTGTTCAAAATGCTAAGCTGATCAATAAGATACTTTTGACGTATCATAACGTATATAGATACCACAGATATTATCACTTTATTTGACAGGATTTCAGCACTGATGGAACCATGATGGATCATCCGACAAGGATGGATGATCAGAGTCAGTTTTCTGTTTATCATTTTATTATGCTAGAGCCATTGCAATGGCCCATTTAATTTTATTGGTTATTCTAGATATAAGAAAAACATTTAACTGCAAGGCACAAGCATGTGTTAAGTCATATCCGCTGTTGTCACAGGTGCATTGGTACTGTGACATGGTCTCCTTTGATTTTAATATGAGTAACAGTTAATCCTTCATTAGCTTTTAAGTGATGATAGGTTAAGATGTTGATGGTAATTATTAAGTTAATAAGTTTCACTTTGTCCCATGCTGTACAGGATAGCATGTATGGCTGTCACAAGGTGTCATTCTAATTTGTTAATTTGTCATGCAAATGATTCTTCAGTAGGTATATTAAGGGAATGCCTGTCATGATCCAACTGATTAAGTAGAGAACACAAAGAATGAAACCTCATGATATCTATGAATGTCTTACATACTGCACAAGCACTTCTCTCTGGATGATTTTCTTAAATCTCAGCATTCCACTGACTTTTTCTGATTGTGATTTGGACTTACTTATACCTACCGTGTACCTGCCTTGTACCATGTAGAATACAAGTTACTTGAGGTGTTCTACACCTTTCTTGCCTGCTCTTTACTCTTTGCAGCATTTATTTTGTTGACTGGTCATGATCTTTTTAATTTTACTCTTATACAACATTTATTTTTGTTGACTGATCATGATAATTTTAATTCTGTAGGTAGTATGTACCTACTGCTAGTTTTCATTCATGCGTTTCATTTGGTGAGGTCAACTGGTAGATGATGGCTGCATTTGAATGCAAACCTTTATTCAGAAAAGTATATTGAACTTATTCTATTGGTACATGATTTGATGAAATAAGATATTGATTCCAACATTGCAACCATCAAGATAATAACCCATAATTTCAATGCAAACTTGGCCTGCTAAAGCTGACAAGACGAATAGACAAGTCTGTCTATTCGTCTTTTATGACAAGAACAAATTTTAGGTCATTCTGGGCTTCAACTTGTGACAGTGGCTGGAGGCTGTTTTGATAAGTCTCAACAAAAGTTTCATAGATGGAGGTAATTGAAATGTTTATTGATCATTGTTGGCACAGCACAGTGTAGAATAATACTGTGCCAGGCCCGGCACAAAAAAATATATCTCTGTGTCCGGCGGAATTGTCCCATGTGTACGCGTACGGTGCTGCTCGCCTGTAGTATCGACCGCTTACCGTCCGCCCTCTTATTGTCGGGAGGAAATGCCACTTGTGGCCGTTAAGGGGAGGCTCCGCGGGGTGGGAGGGCGACCGGTGCCGCGCGGAGAGTCGCGCGTGCTCTCCAGCGCTAGTTGGCAGATGACGTGAGATTTTCGGTTGACGATATTCAGTGTGAACCAGTTGGATGGATTGGATATTGATTGATGTTGTTTGATAGTTGATCCATTTGAGTGAGTGAATACTTAAAGCCATTACCGTCATTTGGTTTTATCGTTACATATGCTGAAATACCTAATTAGTTACGACAATGTACGATAAAAACATTTAACACGTTAGCTTGGCACAACGTCCGCGTTGCAGTTTTCTCCACTAAACTCTGTCTTCACCGCCTTAACTCTCTCCTATTTTACCCCTTTCTGCAGAGCTTTTTCGGGTTTGGTCAGAGTGCCGAGATCGACATCGTACTCGATGGCGCCGACACCCGGAAAATGGCCGACGTCAAGTCGGAGGACGGCAAGAAGGACCGCTACTACCTGTTCTACGACGGCGAGACCGTCGCCGGGAAGGTGCGGAGGGGTGTGGAATGGAGTAGGTTTGGGGGGAGGGGGAGGTGGGGGTGATAATGGGACGGAAATAGGGTGAAGCTGGGAGTACGGAGTATATGAAGCCGATCGCTTCTGCGGCAGCTTAGGATTTTTCATGGATGTGCGTACATTTTCGAGTCATGAACGGCTGGCCGTGATGCTTCTGTAATCCCACTGGGCTACATTATCACAGTGACCAAGTACGTTTGAAATATGCTCACTCCGCCTTGTCTTAAACAGTTACGGTTTATATATGAATATGTATGTGATGTGTCATTCCTTCACATCAGTACTGACTACTGACTCACCATATTACTAAAACCCGCCATTTTCACCCCGCAGGTCAACATCACACTAAAAAAGGCCGGCTCGAAGCTCGAACACCACGGCATCAAGATTGAGTTTATCGGTCAGATCGAGATGTACTACGACCGGGGCAACCACCACGAGTTCCTCTCACTGGTGAAGGAGCTGGCACGGCCTGGCGAGCTGCAGCAAAACGCCAGCTACCCGTTCGATTTTAACCAGGTGGAAAAGCCATACGAGAGCTACACGGGCTCCAACGTGCGGCTCAGGTGAGACAGAGCAGGGAGCGGTGGGTAGAGGGGATGACTGCGGGGAAAGCGGAGGATGGTGGTAGGAAGTGCTCCCTGGGACTGGGAGGGATGGGCCGCTGGTAGTAGGACCGTGGGTTCAACTTCAGGTGACTGCGCGCGTGTGTATGGTATGGGACGGGGCTTCTTTCCGTGACGGCAAAGGAGAAAGAAAGGATTGGCCGTATTCGCAAGGAAAGATCCTTGATATTGGGCATGGTGATGTTTGTTGAATTATGGCCAAGTCTTGCAAAATGAACATCAGATGTTCATTCAGAGGTTCCACAGATTCTGGGAGCAAACATAACATGGTGTATTACACATATTCATTTACACATAACCATAATTAAAGTAACGACCAGCAACGAGCCGGTCCAATATGGACAGACGCTCCGTCGATTCGAAACGGGCACGCCATAGCGGCTGCTGCAGTGCAGATAAGATTGTGGCGTGCTTTGTACACTGAGACTAGCCGCACCCAACGCCGATCATTCAACTACCTGTAAATATTCGGATTATACCGTGCTATCTTGTTTACACGTACAGATTGCAATAGGGAACGCTGTGATAGAGTTGAACTGTACCGCTCCTTGTGCGCCAACCGGGCTCCTTGGAGCATCTAGAAAAGTATTTTTCTTATCTCGATTCGGTTTCAACTGAAATAATTCGGTGATTGAACGATGCCATTAATCTGGATATATTGGGCCGTGGGTGGTATTAGATATTTGACAGAGGTTCTGTGGTTTGAGTTCGGGATTGTGTCGCTTTGTCAGTGACGGCCGACGGGTCCGGTTGGGATGCATCCCGGTTCGGGAGCGACTGCCATATCGTGGATGGGCTCGATTCGTTGACCATGTTCCGATCGCGTGGCATCGGAACACGACATAACCATAAAAGTGGCGCTCGTAAAACTGAATGTCACCATCGACCGGCAGCGCCCGGCCGACCCCACCCGCTCTGGAAACGGCCGTCGGCCCTGACCTTTCGTGCGTATCTCGTGGCAATGAGTTACGGAGGGTGGGGGGGGGGGGGGGGGCTGGAGGGTGATCAGTGACAACTCTTGACTGTATCCCATATTGGGGTAGCGTGCTGCACTGTATTTGATTGTTTTCATTCGACATGTAGTAATTATTGTAAATGTAGCCAATAATATCAGTAATTCATTCGAGCGAAAATAGCGCCAAAATATTTCTATAAATTAGGTGTGCCTCTATGCCTGTCTCCATCGTGTCCCACCGGTTTTCTGACGCCACCCCGCCCCCTGTTTTCAGGTACTTTTTGCGCGTGACGATCGTCCGACGACTCTCTGACCTGGTGCGGGAGATGGACATCGCGGTACACACGCTCTCACAGTACCCGGACATGAACACCAGCATCAAAATGGAGGTCGGCATCGAGGACTGCCTGCACATCGAGTTCGAGTACAACAAGTCCAAGTGAGTACGCCCGCAGGACGAGCTAGGAGAGCTGTGAAGAGGACAGAGCTGGGATGGGATACAGCTGTCTGTAGAAGGAAACTTTTGCTGAACTAGCTGCGGGGCTCCCGTCAGAATATGAATGATTTACGCTTCTTCGATAGGCCGCTCTTTTAGGAGCTCAGGTTCGAACGAGATCGATATTGGCTGTTGATTTGTAGCTCTAGCCCGTCTAGGTATTGAGATGCTTCGATATCTATATTACTATTTGAGGAGGGTGCGTCTGTCCGTTACCGAGGTCCCGACTTGGTGGTGCTTTGCGTGGACTACAGGCCAGACCGTTGCACCTAGCCCGGTGAAATTTGCACAACTTATAGATCAAAGATGCGCGACGTGCCTTTGAGGGGTCTCAGCTCGATCGGGTCGTTAGTGAGCGCGTGACGCGTGCCCAAAAAGTGCAAATTCGCGTCATAGACTTTACATGTATAAATCGGCGTGCGAAATCGGGCGAAAACGGCTAATTTTGGCCGACACGGGTCCAGTCCCCGTGCAATATCTTGGTGACCAGGGATCCGACCGGCACGGGGAAAACAGCATCGTGTACAGAATTGAACGGGCTATTGAATGGTGTGCAATGCAGAGGATAGCACGCGCCACGTGCACCGGAGAGGGCACTTTTATTTGAAAAATTGCGATCTTTGAGGGATTTTGGAATTAATTTTATTTTTAGGTGACCGTTAAATGGAGCGAGTTGAATCAACGCCTATTTGCAAGAGAAAGGTACCGCCTCTCATATAAAAATTGTGAAAAGCTGATTGATCCAAATCAAGGTGGTGCAAATCACAGGAGAAAATGGTGTTTGTCAATTTTTTGTGCCACTTTATTAATCACACGGGGTTTGCTGCATAACCTGATACCTTTGGCAATTGAATATGGTACCATTGGATAGAGCATTCAATTCTGTCCAATATTCACTCTTCATTTTTGCATGATTAGCAACAGTATCCTTAAAAATGTAAATGTTCCAAACCATTACATTGTCATTTTTAGCGAAATTCATCGATGGCCCTCAAAAGACTTCACGCCAGTTTTCGAATCATTCTAAAGTAGAACGCATGATAATACGACACGGGCACCTCGATGCGATGTATCTTTTTTTTTTTGTTTTATTACAAAGTGCTTGGCCGTCGAAAAGCAATCGAACCAAATGGATACCAGCCAAATCGACACAGACCAACCCAATACCCACGGGTCAAAAATAACCCTTCTTCGCGTTGCGGAGCACGCGGGTAATCCTAGTTTTCCCTATTTTTAACTGCTCTGTCGCTGTTTTACCGTTACTGTTGTCTGTTTGCAGATATCACTTAAAAGACGTTATTGTTGGGAAAATATATTTCCTGCTGGTACGGATAAAGATAAAACACATGGAGGTGGCCATCATCAAACGAGAAACCACCGGATCGGGTGAGTGAGGACGCGACAACGTCATCGACAAAGTCGGCTCGAGAAACTCGGCAGCGAGCTACGCTTCACGACGCTGCTGGTGTAGCTGTAATTCGTATTAGTAGCCGACGAACGTGCTATACGATGACGTGATTTAATCAAGCTGATCAGATATTCAAGCATATTGCCCGATACTGTTGTGTACTGCTCACAACTAAAGTAAATTATTCAATAAATATCCCCCAGTGTTCCACGTCAACCACCTGCCCCTCGACAAAATCATTTAGCCCAGTACACAGTACACACCCCTCACCCCCTTCCGCCCCCCTTCCCATTGTCGACAGGTCCAAACACATTCAACGAGAACGAGACGATCGCCAAGTACGAGATCATGGACGGCGCGCCGGTGCGGGGCGAGAGCATCCCGATCCGCGTCTTCCTGGCCGGCTACGACCTCACGCCTACCATGCGTGACATCAACAAGAAGTTCTCGGTGCGCTACTACCTGAACTTGGTGCTGGTAGATGAGGAGGACAGGAGGTACTTCAAACAGCAGGTGCGTGCGCGGCGGCCGGCTGGGATAGTGGGATACGGGACTGGGGAGGGGGAGGGTTGACGTGGGAGGGAGCTAACAGGAGTGGGCGCCGGGGTGGTCCGAATGCTATGTAACATTGAATCGAAAGATATGTCGATGGAATTTGAATTTCATCAGCGCGGTTGTTCAGCTGCTGTTCAGCGAGATATTAATGGGTGTTTTTTATATTATGTTAACCGAAATAACGAACCACGCTACCATTTGCATTGCCGTGCTCTTTACGCTCCCGATCTCTCAATGATCAGAATATGGCCGTGTTTGCACGTCACAGTATCCCGCGTGACCAAACATTGGAGCTGCCGCGCTGAGATCTGCCATGTTGCATAACCCAAGTAATCATAACAATTGGGCAATGTGGTGTCTCGTGACTGCGTGCTCGGAGGAGCCAGCCCTGGTCATCTGTGTGGTAACGTGGTGTGATATCATCACTGTTAGAACGTAAAGTAATTATCTTTGCGGGGAGCGGGTGACTGTGTGTGCTAACTCCTAGTCTGTTCCCCTGTGAAGGGCGAGCGGGCCACGGTGTACTCACCCCTCCGTTCCTCCCCACAGGAGATCACGCTATGGCGGAAGGGTGAGCGGGCGGCTGTGTACTGACCCCCCGTCCCTCCCCACAGGAGATAACCCTCTGGCGGAAGGGCGAGCGGGCGCGGCGCGTGCAGACCGACCAGCCGGCCACGGACGAGCCGCACACACCGCTCACCATCAACACGATCCAGAAACAGCTGGCCGAGGGCAACATCCAGACGCGGCCCAACACACTGCCCACGGTACGTGACGGCGCGGGGGGAGTCTAATCGACTGTGCATCGGTCAGGGACCAGGCGGCGGGCAGTGCGAAATATACGTGCTGTCCCGCAGGAACATGCCAGAATAAGACGTACACTGCAGCAACACCGCCTAAGTTGTAGTTTTTTTTTTGCCGTTACAATCTGAGATTAACGGAGGGCCCATCACTTATGAAACACTCAATTCCTTCGGTTAGGGCAGTGGTCGTTGACCGTTGTAGACTCGTGGCTCCCTTCTTTGAAGTTGGACCACGGATCACCAATCCATGGTTGGACATAGCACGAGCATTGACGGTCTCGAGGACCGATATGGTATCGTCTGAGCGGTATTGGATATTATGCGACGATTTCATCTACCAGTAATGTGACAGTGCTCTCTTCTCAATAGTCCATTAGTCTGGTCAGGAAGCTGAACTCACTGAGCCCGGTCGCGACGCGACAGCTGTGCACCAGTGATCGCCCAAGCGAAGTCGATTTGACCCGAGGTGGCGCTGGTGCCCTTCATTCCCACCTACTATACCTGCCTATCGCTGGCGTGCCTGGTGCTGCAGCAGTCGCAGGGACATTCAGCAATTGAGACTAGATGTTTACGGTTCGGTTTGGTAAAAAGGGATGTTTACGAGCGAGCGAGCGCAGCGAGCGAGCGAGTTCATACTGAATTAAGGGAAAATCCTGAGTATGAGCGGCCGGCCGGCCGGCCGTGGGGACGCTCTTCAAAAGCTAATATCTTAGGAACGGGACATCCGATTGACAAGCGGTCTTCTTTACTGAATGTCACTTGGACGTAAAAGTTCTGTGGTGTGATGGCCACCATGTGTTCTTGCCAACCACCGCACGTGGCGCGTGGTAAAGTTGGACATTTTTTAAGAACCCCCAAAATTGCAACCTCAATAACGGCACAACGGTTGGGCCGATTGAATTGAAACTCGGTACACAGTTAGGTCTCCATCAGATAATTCATCTGCATGTGTTAAGGTGGGGGTGCTACAGCACGTGCGCACGTGCAGGGGGCGCTCCCAGATCTCGAGAACGGCTGGGCCGATTGCGCTCAACTTTGGTACACGGTTGGGGACCAGAACAGTAGGGTGCCGTGCAAAAGTCAGTTTGGACCCCGCTTGCACGTGCGCACGTGCAGAATGCCGCTTCCAGATCTCAGGAACGGCTGGGCCGATTGCGTTCAAATTTGGCACACCGCTAGCGACCGGTTAGAAGGGTGCTTTGCACAAGCCCGTTGGAAGTACCCTCTCGCCCTTGCGCACGTGCAGGGCTCACTATCTCGCTCGCTCGTTCTTCGCCCAAAAGGCGTTTTACTGGTTACTGTGTAGCTTGGCATACCTGCTCACGACTAGAACACTGCTCCAACGCCCAGCCATAATACCCATTATACCCGCGGCAAGGGCCGATCTCTCGGCATTGTTCCACGAAATTTAAGCCATATTCCACGAAATGTGAGCCATAAGCTGCATTTCAGCTTAGTTGACGGGCGACTCGCGGACTCACCACATTTTTTCGACTGCGTCTCAACCACAGCTCATTGTTTGTGATAACTGAAAGGTCCATGTGGGCTCAGGCTACTTGTTTTCGGGACGATAGGGCATATTCAAAAGTATTTGTGTTTGAAAACTTGAGCCTCACATTCAGTTACGATGGGTTACCATGTCAAGTTTATCTCCGTCGTCCCCTCCTCTCGCACTAACGGCACTCATTTTCTGTCCGCCAGAGCCCTCAGACTCCCTCGGAGGCGGGCGAGGGCGGCGGCGGCGGCGCGGCGCCCGTGCCGCCCGGCGGCGCCGACACCGACCTCACCTCGCCCACTGACTCCACCGACGGCGGCGCCAGGAGCGAGGGGAACGACTAGACGGCCGCCGCCGCCACTCGGTGGCGCACATTCCCCTCGCCCTGGCTGTGGTCAGCGGCGGCGCGCGCGGCAGACGGACTGGAGGCCCGCCGCCCGCCGGCCGACGGCCCGCCAGGGTTTTGTATCGTGCTAGCTCAGAGCGTGCCCTGGCAGGTAGTGAGCTCCCGACTGGAACCGTTCTCACGGCGCCGAGGGAGGCCGGACCGCCGCGCGGCCAGACAGCGCCCTCAGAGCGTTATTGTTTGTTTTGTTTGGTAGTGCGCATTTACCTGCGAAATTGTAACATCGGCCTGGGCGGTGCGTTGATTTGGCGGAATACCACTTTATTTGTTTATCGTGAAGAGCTATTTTGAGGTATAGAGGATGGTGTGCATGCCGTACTGAGTGCTGAGGACATGTATGACGCTCGTGACTGCCGGTGCGGGGCGCCGCTGCTGCCCTGCTGCGGACTGTGCCGGCCGCGGCTGCCCCGCTGTGGACTGCCTCTGCGGAGACCGGGTCGGACCGGGTCAGACCGCCGTCGGCAGTGGTGCCGTCTGGCGGTCTGAGGTCTCCCAGTCCCGGCCGGTCGGGATACCCTGCTCGGGCCGGCCCGATGGGTGTATTCAGCCGGCCCGGCCCGGCGGGTGTATTCAGCCCGGTCCGGCGGATGTATTCAGCGCGGCCCGGTGGGTGTATTCAGCTGGCCCGGCGGGTGTATTCAGCCGGCCTGGCCCGGTGGGTGTATTCAGCCGGCCTGGCCCGGTGGGTGTATTCAGCCGGTCCGGTCCGGTGGGTGTATTCAGCCGGCCCGGTCCGGCCCACGGTAACCCCACGTGCCGCCTCGCGGGACTCAGTCGGCCTGTTGGCGTACGAGTGCGTGACGTAATGAACTATTCAATAAACTGCAGTATCCACGGTTGTGAGTGTTGTGTTTGTAGTCGTTAGTTTTAATGAGTGGCTCGTATTGCAATGCTTCCCTCGAACCATGGTGGATTGCGTACTGGTCGAGATATGCTATGCTACGCAATGATGGGAGGACGAGCAGATCATTGCGTAACCAAACAGTTTCATGCGTAGATTCGTGACGATGGACCTTCGGTTTATCTGCGCGTGCGAAAACTGGAGATGCTGATTTTCATAGGATATGACTGCTGTCTGGCTGGTTAATCGTTGTGAAACGGTGCACCACTAGCAACTTATTTTATGTTCACGGTGATCACTGATGTTGGGTGATAGGTTTCTAATGTCACCTATATTTGTTATCTGACGAAGGTCGGTGAAACTTTGCGTCAGCCGGTGTCCGTGATCCTCCGCGGCGCCACCCGGCGGACGAACAGGGAACTGACTGCTGACGGGTCTCGCCGGGTAGATCGGCGAACTATTTTTGTGCGCGACTGCCGACGGTCCATCAGTCTACATTAGTTACACTCGTTAATGCATTAGCGCATTAGCGAAACACATCCGTTGTATTCCGTTAACTTTCTGCATTCTGTTATTTTTACCGGTGATGATTGTAAAAAGCGACCGCCTCGCTCAAATCGGATCGATCACTGGTAATCCTGAGCCTGTGGCAAACCTGAATAATGAATATGGTACTGCGTCTTTTATTTCTATGGGTAGTACATGGAACTCGGAAACTGCGATGATTGTTCGAGCAATTATCGTAGTTTCCGAAAGGATCCTTTCAAATTGCGCGGTCAATGCTTGCCGATGCGATATTCACCATTCGACCAGCGAACATCGCTGCTGTCCATCTACCGATGTCTCCTATACCTTAATTTTACCCTTATGGTCCGCGCAATCAGCATTGGTGGATGGTGGCCGCATGCCTAATGCCTATACGTTTGCCGCCGCGCCCGCGGTACAGCTTCGGAGGTGCTATTGGGATTTATGGTAGCCTACTGTATAGCTATGACACGCCCCGAAACATATTTTCCACTGTGTATAAATAACTGCTTTAAATTTTCATAAAATAGTTCGACAATTCATCTAATTTATCTTATTAATAGCCAAAAACGAAAAACTTTGCCTAAACTTGCTATTGTTGACTAATTCAACTAGCCCTGAACTGCTCAATTTCATTGCGTAAGTAGTGGTACTTTCTAGTTACACAAAATTTTTGTTGTAAATAATACACTTGATCATTGATTTACAGATACATATCTTTAGTCACTTTAGTTTATAAATTATTTAAGGGATCAAGCTTGCGTTAGTTTAAAAAATGTAAAAATAATTTGTCAAGAAAACATTTAATAGATTTCATCCTAGAGGTGGACAGAGTAACTTTATACCGATTATATTTCGTAAAAAGTTGATATATTTCGAGTTTTCTCGAAGAAAAAACATTTCTTTTCACATAAATTTTAATATGAAGATTATTTAAAGCCTTAAATGTAGCATGACACCTTGTATTACTACATCGTCACTCTTTCAGTTCTTCATGTGGTAGAATGTCTAATGCAATCCTGCTAAAAAAAATCCTGAAATTCAACGTAATCCATCGGTTGCCTATTTATTTTGGATGGAAGTCCCTGATTCATTTGTTGCAACGATTTTGTTTGCACGACGAACAATAAACACTTTTTACTGCAAATACGGTGACTGATTCCTTTCCTGCCCCATCACTAACTACAGTCATCGTGGTGTCATGGTTGCCTTTGTGAGGTTGTGTTGTTGACGCCCCTCCGATTTTCATTCAAAAATGTGTTTTAAGGTATGTCGATTCGGCCAGAGAAGTTTCTCATGCTAGATAGAGTTCGTGTTGATCAGGTTCAGCTGTTTTTAGCTTGTTGAGGTCTACCGTTTGGCTAGAATTTGCCGTCTTATGTGTGGATACAGTCGGATCCCGTCATAGTCGGCGCCATCTCTCGTCACGTGGCGTGGCTTGCCGGCGTCTGAATGTCTGGCATGGATGGGCGGGATTTTGTTGATACTTGGGACAAACATTGCATTGTCTGTGGTAGGATGCTTATTTGCTTACAGGAACTTCAATTAATTGTATTGGAATTGATGGTTTAAGAGATAAATGATGATTCAAATACCTATTGTTGGGGTGTTGAACTGAAATAGCTTGCGAGATCCACATGTGTTGGGTTGTATTTGCTTTGTGAAGTACCTTCTAAATGCAGAATACTTCTGTCGCATATCACCTTATCACATTAATATTGTTCACAGCCTGCCAGTTTACTGATACATGTAACTTATATTGATAGTTTAATGTAATGGTTGTTAGTGTTTTTGTAAGTGTCTATATAATACCCTCTACCCAAGCTATCTAAGTCCCTAGATATGCTAACACTTAATACCTAGGGAGGTGTCTCACTGGGAGATTACATGTGGGGAGGTGCTTACCTTACTGAGATGTTGTGCTTTTTAGTTAAACGTCAAGTGTTGTACACAAGTAGTTTAATTTATGTCTATAAAATGTTGTGTTGCATGTGTATTACTTCTATGTATCATAATTTTTATCACGCTTTGGTCAACTTACATCTATGTATCTGTATCATTGTGAAAACTTTATTGCTAGTAGTCATTTTGTAAAAGTTTCTCTATGATTCTTCATGCTAGGAAGGAGAGAGAAGTCATATCTACCCTAGAGTTGTTTATATTCATTATTAATCTGGCTCTTGAAGCTGGATTACCAGTAGGTGCTAGCAGCACTGACCAGGGGCGGATCCAGAAAATCTCCAAGGGAGGGGCCATTAGAAACCAGGAGGCCCCCCCCCATAATCCCACCTGTTGGAGGCCCCATCTTCCCACTTGTTGGCCCCCCCCCCAAAAAAAAAAAACTGCGTCTATTGAGCTTATCTAGCTGTTCAGGCAACATCTCAACATCTGTGCAGGCTTGGAGGCCCTCTGTGCAGGTTAGGAGGCCCTGTAAAAGTGGTCATCTCTGTGAGTATAAGAGACCTCCAAGTTATGAAAAGCTTTACCAATCTTCTAACAAAGAAGTCTTCTCAGCTAGTCTTCTAAGAAATAACTAAGTGGGTAGGTAAAAAAAAAAACTCATCGGATTTCGGCCACTTTATTTTCAGGAGGCCCCCTTTTCAGCTTTTTAACTTTTTAACTTTTTATTTTATTTTTGAAAAAAATCGGCCAAGGGGGGGGCCATGGCCCCCATGGCCCCCCCCTTGTATCCGCGCCTGGCACTCACCTGGTTTATGGTTATTATATAATTAGTAATGATAAGATGCATGAGCAGTTGATGAGAATGAGGGGCTATTGAGTTAAATGCTTGTGCCTTCTGTTGTTAAATTACATTTTTGATTGAAACTGATTCCAATAGATATCACCCTGATTAATGATATCTTCTGACATAGCAAATCAGCTCTAGTGAATCTAGAGGCAGCAGCTTTGTAACTAGTGTACGATCATAGCTAATGATCGTACACTATAGGTGCCCTCTGGTCCAAATTACTAAATGCTATGGGCAAGGTCAGGTGGCCTTCTGCATTCAAAATAGCATCCAGCATGCCTTATTTTTTGCACTCACGCAAAATTATGGGAAGTGCATTTTGTGAGGGAATGACCATCCAATTCTATGATTGTGAATGGTCAGTGCTCAGTGGTCGTGGTTGAAGAGCAATTTTTTCCAATATACCCTTAGATTCAAAAGCTCCTACAAAACCTTTCAGTGGATGATGAGATAGTGGGAATGATCGACTGAGATGAAAACAGATGCTTATATACTGTAAATACCAAGTTAAGTTTCTCTGCAATGGCATTTATAAAGCATCTTTTGTAGCAAGGTTTCATTATCTGGTAGATCTCTGAATACTACTCAGTACTTATGCTATCATGGATGTTGTGTGACAAATTTTCAGCAACTGTTTCCCACTGTCGACGGGCTACCGTCACGCCTGCTTCCTGTGGCTGACCCAGTGATGTCTGTGTTGCAGCGGCCGCAATGAGGTGCTGACACTGCCGGGGTGGGCGTCCCATGTGCCGGCGGCCGGCGCGGCCGGACCGTGTTTGCCGCTCGATGCGTGTGGGGGCGCGCGCCGCAGCCGCCCGGTGATGGCACCCGTGCTGACCGAGCCCGACAAGGACCCGGAGACGCCGGCGGAGCACGGCGCCGCGCCGCCGCCGCTGCCGCGCCACCCGCGCCGCCTCGGCAGACACCTGCACGCGCTGCTCAAGAGCAACCTGAAGAACCTGCTGGCCGACTGCGGCGCGCAGCTGGGAGTGTGCGCCGCCGGCGGACTGCACAGCTTTTCACCGCCCGACGTGGGGGCGATGAAAAATGTGCTGAGTGAGCACTGCAAGTCCGCAAACGGTAGCATGGACAGGGGTGATAAACTGGAGAAAGAAGACGTCATGGGTCTACACAGTGCGAATAGTTCGAATTTGCAGGAGCTGCTGAACAACAAGAAGCAGTTTGCCGGCTCTCTGGTGGCCCGTTCGCCGCCGTCCGACCTGGCGGACATGATCCACGAGTTCGAGACGCTGGCAGAGTCGGCGCCGCTCACCAGCGGCAACGGCCACGTGCCGCCCGAGGAGATGCAGATGATCACCCAGCTGGTGACCAGCATGGACGAGCACCCGCCGGTGACGGCCGCCGTGGTGGCCGCGCCGCCGCCACCGCCGCCCGTCACCGCCGCGCCGCCGCCGGCGCCCGTCACCACGCCGGCGCCGGCGCCGCTGACTGTGGAGTCGATGCAGACGCGTCAGAAGCAGCTGGTGGGCCGCTCGGCGCGGCTGCTGCGGCGGCTCCGCGCGCTGCAGGTGCACGCGGCGCGCCAGCAGACCACCTCGCAGACGGCGGCGCTGCTGGAGCGGCTGAGCGCGGCGCCGGCGGCGGCTACCACCTCCTCCTCCAGCGCGCCTCCGCCGGCGGGCGCCACCGCTACCTCGTTACCGTCGCCGGCCGCCGCCGGGGCCGGGGCCGCCTCCGGAGCCCCGCCGGCCGCCGGAGACATCACAGAGATGCTGCGCAGTCCGAACGTAAAACATTTTTCGACCACGCAGCTAGTGAACCTAGTGCTAAACAATAAATCGGCGTCTGCCGCGGCGTCGGCGGTGGCGGCGCCTCCGCAGCCGCCGCCGGCCCCTGCGGAGGGGGCGCCGTGTGGCCGGCCGGAGCGCGAGGTGGCGGCGGCGGCGGCGCTGCCGGCCGGCGTGGCGCGCCGTCAGCTGGAGCGGCTGACGGCCGCCGCCGACTCGGACGCCACGGAGAGCAGCTCGGGAGGCGAGAGCGCCGACGAGTTCGAGCCCGGCTGGGACGACGAGGCGCACGAGCGCGCCGCACCCATGTAAGACCGCACTGCCTCTCGCCGGCTGTCCGGGCGGCGCCGGAGCGCGAACTCTAATTGCTCTGCCTGTGTCTGTGATAAAGTCAAATGCATTTACTGTGATATCAAATAACGCCAAAGACTTGCTCCATCTTTTAAACACTTACTGTAACACTTACTGTGTTGAAGTCATCTCTCCATGAGCTTGTTTAATTGCTCTCATTAACTTTGCCATATTGTCTTCCAGTTGACCAATGAATGTGTGTTGTAAAAATGGTTTTTGCCAAGCATTTGGTGAATGTAATTGTACCTAATTTTTTATTCAAAATTTATTTTTATCTGAATAATGCCAAAACTGGCACTCAACTGAAATTTGTAACTGTGTCTATTTGAGCATAAATACATAGGCTTTGTCCTACCAAAGTTGCTTATTGTGTGTTGTATAAATTCATCATTTCTCATTCCGAGCTATCGATGACGCTGAACTGTCGCTGGAGGACTGTCCGGTGCTCCATGCCGTGCCGCTCCCTCCGATGGGGCCGTCGGCTGACCCCGTGCCGTGCCGTGCTGTCGCTGACGATGCTGGCCGTCCGCTGACCCCGTGGCGCCCCCGCTGGCCGTCCGCTGACCGCGCTGGTCCGCTGTGCCGACAGTCGGAAGCGGGCGCTGTGGCGCTGGTCGTCGGAGCGGTCGGCGCTGGCGTGCCGCTGGTCCTGGCTGACGGCCCAGGTGACCGACCTCGAGTTCCGCGTCCGCCAGCTGCGCCAGCTGCACAGGTCGGTCCGCCCCCGCCCCCGCCCCCGCCACTGCCGACACACCACTCACACACTCAGCCCCTGGGAGGTGCGTACGAGGGCCCCAGGGGTCGTATCCTACGTGCGGCTAACGCTAAGCAGGTCATGCACTGTGGTGTGACCGTACTATACGTCATGGTCAAGTGTTTACGCTCCGGTTATAATCCACGGTACAAAGTACGCCTTGAGATCCGGTGATTTCGACATTAGGCACTTTGATCCGATTCTCATTACGGGACTGCGATTATGACGCACTAGATTTGAACTGTTGCTTTCAATGTAAGGGAAATGATGCAAATCGCAATCCTATTGTTGGGGTTTACTGCTCCAATTCGGCCCATACTGTATAAGTGTGTACTGGTTGGCTGAGCGGTCTCCAGGCTAATGTACCAGCTCAACAAAATGTATTTGCGCTAGATGAGTTTCTTGAAGCAGGATATGCCCTTGGCGGATGCTTGCTGCTCTTTGATTTTTTTTATTTATTAATGAATCCAGTTGAGTTCTGCATTTCTGTGTACTAGTTACTAGAATCTTGGCGGTGAATGTAGAAGGTGCTGCTGAGTAGTTCCGAGGAAGGTCTATTTTATGCAGTTTTGAATTGATGTATCGATTCCACGTCACTGTTCGGTTGGTTATTTGTTCATGCTTGGACGCTTTTTTATTGATCCACGTATTTCCTGATCGGTCAGTGTTTTCACTCATCCATACCCGTAGTCTGACATTCTGGGTTTTCCCGGCCCGACCCTATGGGAAGCTTGAGCTGTAAATCCTAAGCAACACCGGTTTCACATTCTTCCTGTTTGTTCCGATTGGGCCGTTGTGATTTTCAATCGTTAGTTTTAAGTTGTTCGTTGTAAATTTCATTTCGGGATTGAGGGACTATGCTTGTGCGCCCTTACCATCGATATTAACATTTGGGCCTTATGGTATGTGCCTTCAGGGTTCCTTGTCTGGAGGGGACCTCAGTGACTCATCGGTACACGCTCACTACAGGCCGAACAGTTGTTTTTCCGACCAAAGCATGTGCCGCCCGGCCGTCCGTCCTTTGATAGATCTCAGATCGGAAACGAAATAACAAAATGAGCTAGATGTAAAGACAGTGCGCAGATCCAATTGTGCTCTATCTTACTATTCAGTTATTAATATGTTGTTTACACAGTTCTAAAATTACTCTAGATGTACAATTTGGGGTTTACGTAACCACCATCCCTTGTCTGTGTGTGTGAAGTTTTGTGTTCATTTATTTGTGGGACGGACATGCATTTCCCTTTGGTGTGTTTCTGATGCGGCTGACCGCTACTGGCATGGGTCTGATTGACCAGCACCGGATGCTTCGTCTGGATTTAGATCACTCCGAAATTAGATATCCTATATCGGAACCTGGAGGCAGCGAAGTCTGTAATGTTACCCGAAGATGATGATCGTGACCCAAATGATGTTGTTTATGTTGTAAGAAATAGCCATCCTTGCTTCTATCCATCGACGGCAAGAAGGTGGTCAAAATTCGTCAGCGGGATGGTTCTCAGCCGGCATTGAAAATCACTCAGATGACCTCAGCCGAGTCCCACTCCCATGGTCGGGGTGGCGACCCGGCCGAGGTAGCCGGGTTGCGTCAGTTGGCCATGGCGGCTCCCTTTCGGCGTCCGCCGCTCCGGGCGTCCGATTGTATCGATCACACGATTACGCGAACTCGTGTGTACACACGATAGACTCGGCACCACGGCGTGCAAACCCTCCGCGCTGCTTCCATCGTCGGCCTGCTATCTGGCGACTCTTCTCTCTGTGAAACGGACGGCCTGATGTGTTCAATCGCTAACGGTCTGGTAATTCTGGCGGGCGGGTGATGAGCAGCCGATGGTTTTGGCGCGAGAGCAGCTGACTGCGTCGTGCCGCGGCCGACGCACGAGACCGGAGGCGCACCCTATCTGTCAGTGAGCTGGCAGCAGCGGGCGCTGAGAGCACGCCGAATGCCGATAGTCGGCCGGCGATAGAGGTCGGGGTTCCGCTGGAGAGGCCGACCCGGCGTCCCGCGTCCTGCGCTGGCGGATGTCGGCCGGTCGCCGGGGGATGTGTGCGGCTCGTCACAGTGATCTGGGCTCCAGATGTACCGCAAGTGGAGCGGCCCCGCCTGGGCTGGTGGCGGCCCGGGGATCGGACTACTTGCTGTGACGTGAAGGTTTTGATTGGTTTATTGTTTCTTTGCTCACGCGGCCTATTGGTGCAGCGTACTCAGCCTGAAGTCTATATATCAAATCCCTGCTTAACTTGTTAGCAGGGTTGGCATTTTTGCCGGCAAAAACTAGTTTATGCCATTTGCCGGTTTAAACCGGTTTTAACCGGCAAAAAGTGGCAAAAACTGGCAAAAACTAAGAAATATCACAATGCTATGCTTGGACATGAATTTGAACATGAAGCATTTTAAGGAGAATTCGGTGAAAGCTTTATGCTTTCAAACAGAAGTGACATTGACCATTGAAATGCTTCATGAGATGATGTTTTTCGTACTCCAGCGTAGATGGGTAGCCATACGGCTTCCCATCGTACCCATCTACGCTGGAGTACGAAAAACATCATCTCACGCTCTCAGTCCCAGCGGATAAAAACAACACCTAAGAATGAAATGCTTCATAACTCAAACATTTTCATGGGCTTTCCATAAGGAGCTAGTAAGATGCCTTTTGGGGTGACAAATGAGCCAGTGCAAGGGTGACTGGGTGAGTCATGCACAATCAGAAGTGCGAAGGGGCATCTGCCACTGATATGCGCACGGCACCGCATGGCACCTTACTTACCGTGGCTGTCTTGCCCCACTCTCCCCTACATGGAAATATGTTCCGTTGTGGATGTCTACCGATATGCATAGACATTTTAAGCAGGGATAAGTAGTGAGGCAGCTTTAGAATGTTTAGTGCATCTATATAACTACCAGAAATGCATTTGTACATTTCAAATCCATTCCTAACTACAGGGTGTCTCAAAAGTTCGTTCACACATTTCCCATGCCAATAAAGCATATAAGAACCGGCCAAAAGTATAAGGTTTTGGTGTCTGTGTGTACACCAGACAAATATGCATGCTTTGACAACTGATTAAGAAGGTTGGAAACCAACCCCTTTGCTGTATCTCCAAAAATATTTGCTCATACCGATTTTTGTTGCTCCGTCAGCTGCCGGAGGCTGATAAAAGGTTACCAGCTTTCAAGCTCTTGCAGGGGAATCCCCTGCAGTTTCTGCGTCGGATTTAGTTTTGACTAGCTCCCCGGCAACATCTGATTTTCCCTGAAAGCCGACAGCTTGCATCGACACCATTCTTGAGTATTTTGTAGGCATTCTCTGGCGCTAACTCCTTCATGAATGACTGGCGCCGACATCCCAAGCGCCATTTTCCTTTTCAAAACAACCCCAGTCCTGAACAAACGGGAAGTGCCAGGAGTAAATTTTTCGCATCATATGGTAGCAGAATGTGTCGGACGTCTGTTTCTCAGACACATTGTGCAAATTTTGCAAATTCCAAGCGCTCGTCATTCCCCATGCCAAGACCTTCGCTCGGTTGCGGAGTGTTTTCCTCGGGAGATGTTCTGCTTTGTAAACGGCCCAAACCAGTCCATCGTGTGGTTTTATCGAGATTTTGTGTTTAAAAGAAAATTATTCGCTGCAGATCTGCCTCTTGAAACTTCGTTAGATAAAATTTTACAATAACTGACACTTTTGGAGGGTCAGGTGTCCTTGGCATTGACGATTTTTGGGTTATTGTCCCCAAAAATTAGCGTTATAGATATAATAAACAATTTTAAATTATAATTTGTCTTTATTTTACGATGACCTGCACTTTTTGAAAATGGGTAACCTCTGTCTGTGACCGTCTTGCCAGTTTTCAATAGTTATGACCGCATTTTCAGCTGCTTTCCGGAACACGAGTCTGCTGTCGTGCGAGGGTCGTTCAAAACGCCGTTAGTCTCGCATGGTTTCGTCCTTCAAAAATTTTAGCCATCGTTTTTATGAGATGATCATCATGTTGCACTCATCCTCGCCGACACTTAGCCATGTGTCATTTCCGACTTAACCATTCCCATTACTCCTGAAACAGAGAGTTTCACAACATACCCGACTTTGCAACCTACATTTTCGTGCCTGACCCATGGTCAGAGGTGAACCCTTTTTGTGAGCTCATGAAGGGTCGAATGCACTTGAAAACAATGAGACTGCTTGAGGAAGGTTGTCACCAATGCCCATGCAAAATTTCGACTGTTGAATTTCTTGTTGATTCAGAATTATTGACAAAAAAGCATGGCTGGTACCTGTGAACGAACTTTTGAGACACCCTGTAGAAAAGTTGTAGGTTTGGCCATCTGAGTTTTAGCCAGTTTTTGCCAGTTCTTGCCACCAGGGTTTCTGCCAGCCGGTTTAAACCGGTTAAAACCACTGGCAAAAACCAGTTTTTGCCACCCCCTGCCAACCCTGCTTGTTAGAATATCCCGAAGGGTCGCAATACGCGCTTCAGTCCATTCGCCGTACCTATGCAATATGCATACCGAGTGGTGCAGCGACTCCGCCTCGAGCGGCGCCGATTGAATCCCCGCCGGCCGGTTTCGTGGCGCGACCGGTTCACTCTGCCTGTTGTGAATACCTGCGATGTTGCTCTGTGCGCGTCGCTGGGTCGATACGTCCCCGTGTTGCCTAGTGACCGGTGGACGGGTGATCGCAAACGGCGGCACAAAAACGACGCTTTAATTAACCGATACCATTTCGATGCTGCACTGATCCTTTTCTTACACACTGCCTTCGTAGAGCCGGGTGAAAAGGATACGCGTCCGTCGCTGTGTTCGCGCAATGGGCCGCGTTATGAGCTGGTCACTCGGCTCGGCTCGGCCGGCCATCCTCGGCCGGTTATCCGATCCGGCCGGGCGCCGCCACGGCGTCGTTTGTTGTGTGGTATCGATCATTTCGTCTGTGCAGTCTCACCGAGGGTCGGCAGACGCTGACAGAGTCGGAGTCGTGTACTGTTCACGGCCAGTGTGAGTAGAACAGGGACAGAGCTCAAACTCGACTGTGATTGCTCCACTGCTGCTCCGCCGCTGCAGGGCCCGGCTGTAGTGCAGTTCACGTAGTTCCCACATGAAGTTAGTGCTGCTCTGACGAGCCGTAATGGTCCCTGCGCCTTGTGACTGCGTTGTACTAAGTTTGGAAGTTGGGCTGCGTTGCGTATTCATTTTTAATGCGTTTTAGTTGTTGAGACGTAGGCGGAGGGACGGCACTGTTTTAGTTTGCTGGACTGGCTTGGTTCGCTGATTTGTATCCGGCGGTCACTGAGTGGTTATTGTCCACCTCCGGTTTCACCCCACTCCACTCCACCCCGCCCCCGTCACCGTCAGCCGGCTGACCTCTGTTGCAGTTCACTCTCCGGGTCTGTCGGCAGTGTAAACATTGCTCTCCGTGACGGAAACGGGGTCGCACCACTCTGTGAGGGGGACGGGGAGTTGTGTCCTCTTACTCCCGTGACGGAGGCGCTGTGGACTCGGTGTAGAGACGACCTGTGGTAGTGGGTATGTTCGCTGCTGCGCTGCGGAAATGATACGGGTATCCGTGCGGGGAACTCGTCCGCTGCAGGTCAACTCGTACGACCGGCCGGCGGCTCAGTTGCCGTCGACGTCCCCAAACGTTTTCATTCACCGTGTTTCTGTGTTTCTTCGTGCTCCACGTGGACACGTCCCGACCCGCTCCGCTCTCTCCGGGTCGGTGGAACGTTTCGACTGGCCCCACGGCGGCGCCGTGGGCCGTTTGGCGCCGTCCATCGGCGGCCCGTTGTCCTCGCTCGCCGGCCGGGGGGACTCGGGACGTGTCGACGCCTGTCTCCGGGTGGCCGGCGCGGCGCTCCCACAGCCGCCAGCTCCCCGACCTTGGCGGCGTAGCCCCGATTGCGTAACGGTTCCGCTCCCGCGCGCGCCGTCCGTCGGTCCGTCGGTCGGTCCGTCTGCCGGTCCGCACCGCGCTGCCCCGTGACGCGGCGCGGCGCGGCGTGGCCAGGTGGCGCCGGCCACGGGCCAAACCGGACCGGACCGGGCCGGCCGGGCCGGCCGGGCGCGGCACCCATTGTGACGTGGCTGCGCGGTGCGCCGCTCCGATGTGGCCCACAAACGGCGGCTGTGGTGACGGCCAGGTTACCGCGGCTCACGCCAGGCTGGTACTGTCGCTATGAGCGCGGTAACCAGCCCCTCCCACCAGGTGACGTGTTCACGGCACGGGGCGCCACCGTCGGCCGGCCGTGAGTGCGCGCTGGATCGGCCGATAACGACACACCTGCGCCCCGTATCACCGGCCGCGCGGCGATACGCTGTGGCGAGAGGCGTACGACGTACAACGCCCCCCCCCCCCTCCCCAGTCCGGCCGGCGGCCTGGTGTGGGGGTGATATCGGCGAGTCGACAGGTTTTGCGGCAGGTTGGATGATGTTTCGTGAATTGGTCTGCCTCCCCCTGTATGGCTCTCAAAGTTGTGTTGATGTTTCATCTATTAGGCGACCAGTTAAAGTCGACTGGTGCACTCAGCAGGTGTTCATTTCACTTGGTTAGCTGCTGTTTTGCCAGCTGGTAGCAGCACCTCCCCTCTGCCATCCGCTCTCCGCCGTACCTACCGTCTCGGTGGCATGGTTACCTTCCGACCGATCGGGTACCCAGAGGTGCCGACGTGAAGCTGCACGCTCCGCGCCGGGCGTCGATCGATGGCCGGCGCAGATGTCCCCGACGGACGGCCGCTGAATGGACCGGACCGCTGGCACAGAGAGGGAGTCGCGCGCCGCGGCCGGCCACCGGAGCTGGCTGGACGCCGCTCGGACCGCGCTGTTCCGGCCCGCCGCCGGCTCCGACACTCGCCTCACTTCCGGGAGACGAGCCGACTCGTCTGTAAGCTGTGTAGGCAGGCGAAGTGCGATTGCGTGATTGATACACCATTATGGGCAATCCAGCGATTTTGTGGCATGTCTCGCTTAGGCAGTATTTTTACCATCATATGAGATCATATGAGATCTTGATAGTGAACGGCACCAGTTCAACAGGGATCAGTCGGCACGTGAGTCGAATTTCGTGATACCTTTGACCCGTTACTGCGTTTTCCCTGATCGTATCGGCACATGCGCTGGCTATTGTCGTTCTGAGGCCGCACCTTATGAACTATTGACCGTTGACCTGGGCGCATTCGTGGCCGGGTGCCGACTAGTCGATATCTGTGGCCGGGGCTCCTCGCCGTGTGCCGTCCGGCCAACCCCTTGCTCCTCGGTATGGTCGCTACCACCGCCCGACCTGAGCCGGGGTGACGTGTTCGCACGGGCGGGGCTCGGCGGTACCGCCCATACTAACAGGGCGGTAGACAGCACCCCACCCGGGTCAATTACCCCTTTACCAGTCGCGTACAGCCAGGTCATGGCTAATTAACTTAATTCATTTGCTCGTGTTTTTGGCTCATACATGCTATGTTTATGTTAACGCTGCTTTCAGTCATCATGGACGCAAACTGCTCTATTTAGTTAACGCTGATGGTAGCCCTATTGAGTCTTGCATCGTTCTTTGCCTTGCTGATTGCTGGTCTGAGCCATGCAGTATTCTCCGAAATTTTCGTCATGCCGCTGTCCCCCTGACGTCTGCGCCGTACTGTTGTCTAATGAAATACTCGTTCTGCCTTGGTGTGTCACCGGCTGAGTCAGCCCCCTGCTGTCTGTGTGCGGATGGCGCGATGTCTGGCTCGGTCTGACGTGAGCTCTGTTTGCGCTCGTTACAGGCAGCTGCGCGCCTCCAACCCGCGGCCGGTGCCGGGCCGGCCGACCCGCGCTGCCGCCACGCCCTCTCCCTCTCCGGAGCTGGGAGGAGCCGGCGACGCCAGCAGCGCCGCCCTCGCCGACCGCCAGAAGGCTAGTGAAGCGATCGAGGCCGGTGCCGAGGACGGTGACGGCCAGTGCGCGCGCTCGCGGCCGCGGCCGTCGGCGCCGCGCCGCCGGGTGTTCACGGTGGGCCGCGCGGCGCGGCGGTCGGTGGGCGGCGCGCCGGCGCGCTGCCGCTGCGACCCCGGCGTGGACTCGTGCCCGATCTGCGCCGGCCGGCCCGACTGCGGCGGCCGCGTGCGGCCCGAGGTGCAGCCGGTGCGCGAGCGGCGCGCACTCCTCTCGGCCGGCCATCACCCGGTGCTCTCGCTCCCCGCCGAGGCGGCGCTCTCGCTCGGCTATGACACGCTGCTGCGCTCGTCGCGCTGGCAGCAGAACCACCTGCATGCGCGGCCGCGCGGCCCCCGGCTGGTCACCAAGGAGCCGACGGGCGCTGCCACGGGCGGCGGTCCGCCGGCAGCGACCCCGTCCGTGACGGCTCCACCGTGCAGCCGACCCTCCTTCCACCGGCGAAAGTCAGGTACGGAACCCGGCTGCTGTAGTTGTGAGTGGTTACGGGTGTAGCCGAGGTGCGAAACATGTCAACCTTGACTGGGGTGGCTGGGTATTGATAAAGCACAGGCGACTGACTGTCGGCTGGTTAGAAGATTTTTGATTCTAGACAGCATGTGATGACTTGTAGCTTCTGTGATCGATAATGCTGAGTCAGCTGACAATCAATGCTAGGCTGGTTTAGGATGAACATCCTGCTGACGTGACATGTTCTAGGGGAAACTCTTCTCTTCATTCATTACTTGTACCGAGATAAGATAGGTTTACAGATAATGATGTGTTGTGATGCTTTTCATCGATTTTATAAGCAGCGTGCACGCTTCACACAATATGTCGTTGAATGCAACGAAAGGTCGTTTGTGTCATACTAACCCCCTTTTGTGTTTCGGCAGGCGTGTATAAGCGGTTCTACGATCTAGACGGCAGCGAGGGCACGCCGAGGAGTAGTAACGGCCGGGTCGGCCGGCCGCCAAAGCTGAGCCGGCGCAGTCGCTCGGCGTCCGTGTGCGACGCACGGCCGGCGGCCGGCGCCGGCTGCGCGCCGCTCGCGGCCGACGACGAGTCGCCCTGGTCGTCGGGCCGACAGTCGCCGGAGCGGCGCGAGAGCCGGGACCGGTCGGCGGCGGCGTATCGCGCCGCGCGCCACCGGCAGAACTCGTACGACATCGACAACATCGTCATACCGGCCAGCATGGCGTCCACCACCAAAATCGAAAAACCCAAGTACAAAGAGATCGTGACGCCAGGGTGAGTCGGATGAGAACGCCAGCTGGGCTTCGGGAACGGGTGGTTGTGCCGCAGTGGGCAAAGCAGTGGGCTGCTGAGTGCAGAACTGCCGTAAGAGGTCGGCTGTGCCGCGATTTACTGGCAAGGACTGAACAGCAAAGTTGGCACAGACCGCAGACTGGGCTTAGCGTTTGCTCCATCAATGATGGCAATCGATAGCATCAAATGGCCATCTTTCCGTCGCAGTACAGCTGCTTGAACCTTCCGATACGCCAACAGCTTGCGGGTATCAGGGTTGTGTCTGATCATGGAAACGTTATTATTGGGCCTTGATGCGAAGCAGGACGAGCGGCCCGGCTCCGACGCACGAAGTCTGACCCCCCCCCCCCCCGCTGTCCGTCCGCTGCAGGTGGCGCTCCGTGGAGCTGCGTGTGCCGGCGCTGAACGGTGAGCCGGCCGCGGACGGCCTGCGCGCGTCCTCCGGCTCTGCCGAGGCGCCGGAGCCGCTGGACGACTCCGTGTTCGAGCGGCGCCACCTGCCGGCCGAGCTGGCGGAGCGGCGCCGGCTGTATCAGGCGGCTGGGAAGCCGCCGGGCGGCGCGGCCGGCTCGGCCGGCGGCGGCACCGGCCCCGGCCGCGGCCGGCGCGCGCACACACCCGACACGCCGCGCGCCGCCGAGCCGAGCCCGGCCGACCCCGCCCGGCCGCGCATCCTCCGCTACCAGTACTTGCTTGAGGTGAGTACTGAGAATGGACTGTGAGAGGGACAGGGGCACCGAAACTGCGTAGCATTATGTTCTTGTGTTGGTGTATGCTGACGGATGTTCAGCGACTGTTCGGTTACCCGAGATGCTGTGTCGGCTCATGCGCTGTTTCACCTTCAATTCCTTCCACAGAATGTACATTCATTAGCGCTCTTTGCTTAATGTGGCCCAGGCTGTATCATTCGGCCGTGTGGCCGTCTTGTGTTATTTTCAGATTATTTCAGATTTCAGATTTGGTTTCAATGTCGTCAGTGCCTGTTGCAGTCCTAAGGGTTCCCGAGATACGACTCCTTCTGGTGGTGGCTGTGCCTGTTCCCCCAGCCCTGTGGGTCCCCCGGATGCTGGTTCCCGCTGACCAGTGTTTGTCTGTCTCCGTTACAGCCCTGTGGGTTCCCGCTGACCAGTGTTTGTCTGTCTCCGTTACAGCCCTGTGGGTTCCCGCTGACCAGTGTTTGTCTGTGCCCGTTACAGCCCTGTGGGTTCCCTGCCCGTCTGTTCCCGCTCACCAGTGTTTGTATGTCTCCGTTACAGCCCTGTGGGTTCCCTGCCCGTCGGCTCCCGCTGACCAGTGTTTGTCTCCGTTACAGCCCTGTGGGTTCCCGCTGACCAGTGTTTGTCTGTCTCCGTTACAGCCCTGTGGGTTCCCGCTGACCAGTGTTTGTATGTCTCCGTTACAGCCCTGTGGGTTCCCTGCCCGTCGGCTCCCGCTGACCAGTGTTTGTATGTCTCCGTTACAGCCCTGTGGGTTCCCTGCCCGTCGGCTCCCGCTGACCAGTGTTTGTCTGTCTCCGTTACAGCCCTGTGGGTTCCCGGCGCGTCTGTTCCCGCTGATCAGTGTTTGTATGTCTCCGTTACAGCCCTGTGGGTTCCCTGCCCGTCGGCTCCCGCTGACCAGTGTTTGTCTGTCTCCGTTACAGCCCTGTGGGTTCCCGCTGACCAGTGTTTGTCTGTCTCCGTTACAGCCCTGTGGGTTCCCGGCGCGTCTGTTCCCGCTGACCAGTGTTTGTATGTCTCCGTTACAGCCCTGTGGGTTCCCGCTGACCAGTGTTTGTCTGTCTCCGTTACAGCCCTGTGGGTTCCCGGCGCGTCGGTTCCTGCTGACAAGTGTTTGTATGTCTCCGTTACAGCCCTGTGGGTTCCCGGCGCGTCGGTTCCTGCTGACAAGTGTTTGTATGTCTCTATTTCAGCCCTGTGGGTTCCCTGCCCGTCGGTTCCCGCTGCCCGACCGAGTGTGGAAGGAGTTGTTAGCCTCTGCACAGGAGGAGGACGACAGCCCGTCACAACCGGTGAGTGCACAGTGACGTGGATGGTATTGATATATTTTTCTTATCAGTTCCGGCGTTAAAGTTAACTAACAAGCGAGGCGAGTAAGTCATCAAATGTAGAAAGAGGCGAAACGCTATGATTTTGATGATCAGGCAGAATATTTGCTAAATAGAATACGCCAGTTCTCTTCTCGTTGAGCCATAGAAAGGTCAAGTTGGACCGTTCCGTATTTCCGATCAGTCGGCCATCGTGTGCGGCCCGTCCGTGTTTGTGTGCCGGTGTTGTCCGTGTATCAGCCGGTGTTTTGACTGACGGCCGTGTCCTGTTTCAGTGGAGGTCGCCCCGGCCGCGGTCGTCCAGCGGCGCAGAGCCAGTGCCGTGGGCCGACGACCAGCGCTGCGGCAAGTAGCGCCGCGCTCATCCATCGCGTCATCATCTCACTGAAATCACCATCCACACCACACACACTCCTTCAGTACCTGTATCGGACCGCGCCGCCGCCCCCGAGCGAGTGTACAGACCGGCGCGGACCGGCCCCGCAGCGAGAGCGACCCAGACCGAGAGAGAGAGCGAGCGAGAGGCGGAGGGTGTGAGTGAGCGCGTGCGTGCGCCGCGCGCGCGCGCGCCTTTTTATTCATCTAGTTCACTGCTGCGATAGCGCCAGGCGCGGCGCCCTGTGTCTGAGTGTTTGTGTGTCTGACTGCGCGCGTGTATGTGTGTCTGTCGGCGCGTCCTGTGCGCGCAGTGGCGCTGGCGGCGGCGGCGCGCGGGCCGGCCGGCACGTGACGCACCTGTCCGGCCGCGCCGGCCCGCCGCCGCTCCCCGCGCGCGCGCGCCTCTCTGTGCTGCGTGCCGGCCCGTCCCGGCTTTGAGCGCGGAAGGACATTAATAAACGTTACAAGATTGCAGCGCTTGTTTGTGTAAGAAGGTGATAAAGGACTGTGACATGTAGTATGTATTAAGGACGACATAGTCAAATCAAGTGTAAATAAACGTCTAAAGCAGTGATTAATCCGAATTTAGGGGATAGCCGAAAGTCTCAGGGGAGGGGGGGGGGGTGCAGCGGATCATCACAGGGAGGGACAACCAGCCAACGCATCAGCGACTGAAGCTGTAAATGAGGGCGAACGGATTGAAGACGCAGTTTTTACTTATTCACTAGACGTCTGAGGTTACTGGTTCCCAACTCCCCTTAGCTCATACCAACGGCCTCCCTCCTAATCAGACCGACAAAGCAGGACACAAAAAAAAAACCTGAACGCTCCTCAATCGGTGTCTACCATGTTCCATCTATATTCCACAAAATTCACGCCGACTTGGCCACATTATATTTAACAAACCAGCCCACGTGGATCACTGAACTCTGCCCTCACCCCCGCTCGGCTACAACTTCCAGTCGGTGCTGAGTCGGTCCTCCTTCCAGGAGAGCAGCCCCTCGGGCCGGTGGAAGGTGAGCGCCACGTCCGCGCAGCTGCGCTCCAGCTCGGCCTCCATCAGATCGTCGTAGGTCGTCTCCAGCAGCTCGTCCAGCGGGTGCTCCAGCTGCGGCAGCTCGCGCTCCACGAACGAGGCGGCGCGGCCCACCTGCGGCACGAGGTGGCCGCGCAGCGACTTGATCTCCCAGAGGGAGGAGTCGGCGGCGCCGCAGCGCGCCGGGTCGGCCTCCTCCGCGCGGAACGGGTCGGCGGGGAGAGTGGTGGCGCCGCGCGGGTCATCAGTCATCCGCTGCAGGCCGCGGTGCCGCACCATCAGACTGCACACCAGACGGATCAGCATCGTCTGCGCGGGCGCCGGCGCCGTCAGCGCCAGCCGCGAGAGGCGCTTCACAAACGCCGCCACCAGGTACTCTGGGAGGTAGCCAGAGCTGAGGAACACGTCCACCAGGTGGAAGAAGCGCGCCCGCTGCGGCGAGCGCAGAGCGTTCGGCTCCAGCAGCGAGTACAGCTTGCTGTAGAAGTCTGGGTACTCTAGGTTGTGGTGCTGCATCAGGTAGAAGACGCCCTGCAGCGAGAGGACGCTGACCACGCCGCCGATCTGGTAGGAGCTGAGCAGGAAGTCGGTGAGCCGCAGTGGGTTCTGCAGGTGGGGCAGCACCCTCTCCGGCAGCAGGATCAGCACGCGGCGGTACAGCGCCGGCGTCAGCGGCAGCGACAGCAGCCGCAGCCACAGCGAGTCAAAGTGCTCGCCGGCCTCCACGGCCACACCGGCGCCAGCGTCATCGCCGGCCTTCCGCTTCTTTTTCTTCTTTATCCGGAAAAGTTTAAGGACGGAGAACAGGTTCATGGCCAGCGTTTCTGACGGCTCTGGAGCGGCGGCGGTGAGCGCGGTGGATAGATTCTCCAGGCCCGCCCGCCGCACGTCCTCGTGATCGATATGCTGGGAGAACTGGCCGATGAAGTCGCGCCGGTCCTCGGTCGAGGACAGCATGAAGGTAAACATCTTCTGCAGCTTCTCGGCGGGGAACTGGGTCTCCTCGGCGCCGCTGCCATCGTCCGACCCACCGTCTGAGTCGGGATCGTCTCCGACGGGCAGCTGCAGGATGTCCTCCGCCTCTCCGGCGTCCGCTCCGTCATCATCAGCACCGGAGTCCTCCGGCGAGCGGTCAGCGCCGTTTGTGTGGTCGCCGTTCTGCAGGCCGTTCACCCTCGCCTGCTTCTTCGTCACCTTCCTCTTCTTCCTTGCTGGAGGCATTTTGTCTGGAAAGAAGTAAAACGTTCAGACTACAGCACTCACATCCAAGCTGCTGGTTTTGTTTGTCGTTGCCCACAAAATGTGTTCAACGACATGTAGGTGGGATCCGATGTAGTCATGTACGGGTCATCAAGTAGGAGAGCTTGATCGTGATCTCTTACATATGTTGGAGAACAATTTCCCCTTGCAATTTCTCTTAGCATGCTGTTCCAAAGAAGTGGTACCCATGAGTGATGTGACATACGCTATTCACGTCCAGAGCGGCGTAGCAACTTGGCTGTTGGTACTTTTTGAGCGAATTATGGTCAGCTAGAAATGAACTACTCTACGGTTCACAGACATCTGATTTAAATGATACTTGGAAGAGCATGATAAACACAAGTAACAAGTGAGTATTATATATTTGTTATCACTACATGCAAACGATCAGCTCCATTGCGAAAGTAAAGTCGCCTTACAGCACAGGCGTACTAAGGCTTTTTCCCCTTTAGGTTTAACTCGTAGTTAATCGTTATCAAATGTTATCTACGCTTCAGTAAATATATGAACGAGCATTATCGATAAGATAATTGAACATTATTCACTTCATTCACATGAAGTCAAATTATTGTAATAGGTAATAATTCAAAACTGTTAGTCCCAAGTTTAAGTACTGGCATATTGAGCATCCTGCATCACGTATCCAAAAGCATCCCGCATTGCAGAGTAAACGCCACGGCTCACTTATGGGGACAATTGGCTGGAAGCGCAACATCTCAACTGTCTCCGAACAGCGTCGGCACTAGTATTTTCCCCAGGTTTTCCCAGTCAGTTTTTGCCGTCCCGTCTACTACAACACGCAAGCCCACACAGGCCACCCGCCACAGCCGCACCCACTCTCAGAATCTATATCACACCCTGTCCTCCCGTATGGCCCCGGCCACCGCTGCGAGCCACACGCTGACCGCCTGGGCGCCCGGGTCGGGCCGCGTCAGCTGGTCGCTGCTTACGTAGCTGGCCCGGCCGGCGCGCGCCGCCATACCCGCCGTCCGCAGCGCGCCCTGCTCCGCCGCGGCGGCCAGCGCTGCCGCCACCACTGCCGGCGGCTGACCGGCGGCGGCCGCCTCCTCGGCGGCCCGCAGCGCCGGCTCGGCCGCGTCCAGCAGCGTGCGGTCGCCGAGCTGCGCGCCGCCGTACCGCCGCACCGCGTCCAGACCGCGGCCGAGCGCCGCCAGCCAGGGCTGCTGCTCCTCGGAGCTCCATCCGGCGGCCGCCGCCGCCATCGCCAGCGCATACAGCACCCCAGACGTGCCGCCGATCGTCTCACACGAGTCGGCGAGCTGGGTGAGCAGACGGCGCGGCCGGCCGGCGGCGAGCGTCGGCAGACGCTCCAGCAGCAGGCGGCCCAGCGAGGCCAGCGTGCTGCCGCAGTCGCCGTCCCCCGCGCCGCGGTCCAGCTCGTCCAGCCGGCCGGCGGCGGCCACCAGCGCCTGGGAGGCGCGCTCCACACAACGCGTCACCAGCAGCGCATCCCGGTCGGAGAGCAGCGGCTCCCCGGCGGCCGGGCCGGCGGAGGTGTCCTCTGGTGGCGGAGCGGCCGGCTCCATCAGCTGCGGCTCTGAGTAGGCACCGGGCGGCATGGCGTCCGGCCACCCGGGCGCCGCGGCAGGCTGACCTAGCCAGTGTAGCAGCAGCTGGCCCGGTACATGACCATCCGCCAGAGACAGGACCGTCACCGAGACGGCCCGGCGCGCGCGCCACGAGCACAGGGAGCCGGTGAGGAGGCGTGCCACGCGCACACCGCGGTCCGTCAGCTGCCGCTGGGCGTCCCGCGCCGCCACCAGCAGCTCGATCTCAGACAGACCGCCCAGGCTGTTCACCAGCAGCACACACTCGGCAGGGAGACTGAACGGTGTGGGCGCGTCGGCGCGCGTCAGGTGATCGTACATCAGCTTCACAGCCTCTGCTGAGGTGCAGGCCGGCACGGTGCGGGCGCCGGGCTCCCCACGCACACCAACTCCGAGCTCCATTGTGGCGGGGTCCGCGTCACCGCCGCCAGCTGACTCGGAGGCCGAGGGCAGGCCGAGCGCCACCGTACCGAGACCATCAGTCACCTGGCGGGCGATGGCCACCAGATCTTGCAGCGAGCGGCCCGGGGTCTGCGCCGCCTCGCCGAGCACCTTACAGAGCAGCACGATACCGGCGTGCCCGCGCCGGGTCTCTGCCGCGCCGCAGTCGTCTGCGACCAGCAGCAGTTGGACGGTGACTCCGGCGGCTCGGGCGCGCTCCGCCGCCAGGCCGCAGCGCTGCCGGTCGGCGGGCAGGTCCATCGCCACCAGCAGTACCCCGCCGGCCGTGGCGGCGGCGCGCACGGCGGCGGTGACTGTGTCGGCCGCGGGCGGCGTCTCCAGGTCGCCCAGAGCGGCGGCCGTCAGGAGGCCGGCGCCCACCAGGCCGGCCGGCCAGGGCCCGTGCGCGGCGGCGGCGACAGCGACCAGCGCCGGCTGTCCGAGCGAGCGCCACTGCTCCAGGCCGCGGCGCACCACCACCCGGTGCCCCTGCAGCCGGGCCAGGCTCGGCTCCGCCGACAGCAGGCCCGCCAGCGCCTCGTCCGGAGCCTGCTCGGGCTCATTGAGCAGCTGGGACGGCATCACAGCAGCCACTGGTGGCCCCTTGAAACCAGCAGCGCAATATTTAGAGTGGACCATAGTGGAGCCTCTATCATATAATCAGCTTCCATGTTGTTCTTTAGTCCATAAATTCAATGTCCACAGAACCTCTATGAAGGTTCTGACCCTATAGCCTATGGGTTCAAAAAATTCAAACCATATAGGTAGTTTGTAAAACTGAGCTCACATGTAGTAAATACAAGGTGAGTGGTATGTAGGTTGGTAGGTTGTAGGTTGAAGGCTGGTAGGTTCAAGGTTGTAGGTTGGCAGGTTCAAGGTTGTAGGTTGGTAGGTTCAAGGTTGTAGGCTGGTAGGTTCAAGGTGGTAGGTTGGTAGGTTGTAGGTATTTAGGTTGGTAGGTTTAAGGTTAGCAGGTAAGGTTAGGCCAGCTTAGATCATTTTTATCTACTTGACTTTGTCTTCACATCAACCGATACAATTCAACTATTTCAATTTCCATTTTAAAACTTGTGCTAGCAACAGCATGGAGGTTTGCACTTCAAGCACTAAAAATTGAGTGTATCCTTTCATGTGATGCCCTTATTTTTTTCAATTTGGTGCAGCATTCATGATGTGATAATTGAAAACATGACTGAGCTATAATCTGAACATAAAAAGAGCCAACTACAATTTACAATCCTTTATTGTGTGAATTGTGAAACCAAAATGGCTAAGACGTTTCTCAGGCTGAAACGGCTAAAAATGGGAGATAAAATGAGTACTTAACATGCTCTACTCTATTGACTGCTTTCTACATATTAAATTAAGAGATTTAGTAGAAAGACTTAAAGTTACAAATTAAATGTGTGTAAGTCAGCAAAACTGGTGTCAGAGTAGACTCCACTGACCACTCAGTATGACCCCACAGCCCACTCTCAGTCTCAGTAGTGGCGGAACACCTTCAATTAAGGGGGGGGGGGCACTGCCGACTTTTGGACCCATTCTTTCCATGCAAAGCCCATAGGGCTCATGTTAAAATGGCAAAATCGAGGGAGAATCAAGGTGTCCCGATGCCCGCGGCCCCCGTTACGACCCCTATGTCACTCATGCAACAACTGTAAAAACACTCAGGATAAGCAAACAATTAAGAAACAAGGCAACAGCGCTATCGCTCCAGTAGGTATTAAACATAAATGATGAATTATATAAAATTCAGACGCACCTATTTTTACTTCCCAAAGCACACACGAAAGTAATCTTGCTCACACGTGTTGTTTTCAACATCTGTCAAGGTGTAGCATATTCAAAAAACAATGATAATCCAATGATCATTGGTTTTATGACGTCACAGGACAGCGGGCGATCACATACGCGGGCACCGCTTGAGCATTTTCTGATGTCGTTTGCCAACTGAGATCTTTATAAGAAAATCATTTCGACAAAATTCTAAAAGAAAAATATTTTGTTTTCATTCGTGTGAAACAAAGTAAGCGACAAGGCCAATAATGCCTCCTTTAGGCACTAGGAATAACTGAAGCTCGAAAGTCACTTAGGCAGAACAGTGAACACAGACCAATCTATATCAAAAGGCCTTCGTTGTATTATAAACGTGAGCCTGGTCAAACCGGCTCAACCATCAATAATTGTCCAGACCTCAGTACGCACAAATCATCCTTCGAACAACGCACGGCACTGCCAGAGCCGCTGGGCCGATTCGCTGTAATGCCTGCGTCCAGCACTGCCACTCTACACACGTTTGAAGCACGTGCCGGTCTCATAGGACTCTTCACCGTCACCAAGCGCGAACAAATAACAAGGCACGCCGCACGAATCTCGCGACAGGCAGGGTCCAATATCACTGAAACGACGCGGGGGCGGCGCCGGCCGGTCCACGCCGCAGCTAGAACTGACATCACCCAACTTCCGATCCACTGAGCAGTAACAAAGTTCTTCACACGCCGCAGGCCCTTGAAGACACGCTGTAATATCATAGCGCAAAACGGCTACGGAAACACATGTCAACAATCGAACGGACAAGTGTCCTTTAGGCGTCACAGGAGCCAGTAGGCGTCTCGCACTTCAGGACCCAAGAACGTGATAAACAGGAGCAGGGCGGAATAGCTCCTACAATAAACAACAGATATGACAGCTAGATATCGAGTTCAATAATGAAACTACGCACTAAATGGGGAGTAATGACACTGACGTGAAGCAAAGAACTAGCTATGAATAAATAATCTCTATCTCGTAATTCACAAACATTTGCGACTCTAACTAAAACCTAGAAGCCATGGACGGAACACAGGAAGATATCTTACAAAGGGCAATATTGGGAGAACATTCTACACTGCTTGCATACCAGCTTTAATCCGTCGAAATACACATTACTATACTGAGTCGCGGACACTAGGAGACTGGCACCCTAACCACAGTTCAGTGATACAGATCTGTAGAAAGATGGAGGAGAGAGCGATAAAATCAGATGAGTCCCACATCCAACATTTAACACAAACACAATAAACCATTATATAGGAGACTGAGAGGATCGGAAGCATTTTCCGTATACCACATCACTTGTCAGCCCATACAACACTGCAGGACGCAGAGACACTTCAAATGTCGCATCACAGATATTCCTGATTTCTGACCAATCACCGACCACCGCCGCCGGTTCGGTCAGCGGAGTAATGCCCAACCACCACCACCACTACACTGTCGTACGCCACAGGGCAGCGTAACAGAGTAAGACCGATATCTTCAGTTACACAACCCGTGCGCGCTGGTTCCCCGAGCCACGGTACGTTTCACCACTAGAGCTTCAGAAGGCTGGTCCAGGACGTCACGTTTGCGCGGCGGACTGAGCCGCTGCCGCGCGGCCCGCCGACGTCTTCGGGTGAGCCTTCGCCGACGGCGCCGGCTTCACGGAGTCACCGGACTTGCCGGCCGGTTTGGCGGCATCGACTGCCTTCCCCGAGTCCTCGGCCCTCCTGGCGGCGGCCTCCTGCTCGGCTGCCTGGCCGGAGCAGTCGCACCACGGCGTGCGCTCGTGGTCACACTCGAGACGCACGTTCAGCACCTCCACCTCGGCGCCGTCGATGGTCAGCTTGTTGGCCTTGAGGATCTTGTAGTCGACGCTGTGCACCCCTGTGATGCGGTCCCGCTTGTGTGTGACGGCCGCCTGGTTGAAGCACTTCTCCATGTCGCGCTTCCGCACGCGCCGGTCGTGGATGTGTCTGGGAACGCGGCGCCGTCAGCCGTCAGCGGTCGGAAACAAACTCACAGCGGGTTGGAAGGAAAGCACTACATTCGGTGAGTAGAAACGACATTGCATGCATCAACCGTAAAGCTGAGGCACAGGCAGGAAACAAAATGACAGAAAATAATGTACGAAAAAAAATAGTGAAAGGTTTCGCCTTCAGCGCATTTATAAATATACAAACGAGATTGTCGCAAAATTTAAGGCAATGAACAACAGAAGGGAGTCTCTGCCGTGCAGATGGCGCCTCGGCAGATCACACCTGCCTGCGTGCGGCGAATGCGCTCACCTGAACGTGTCCTTGACACCCGTGGTGAGGTTGGTCGGCCGCTCAATCTCCAGCTTGGCCCCGCGGATCCGGGTGTAGAACTCGTCATCCTCCAGTCCCCAGCCCCAGTAGTTGTTACTCATGCCGTTCACCTTCTGAAAGTGCTCCCTGTGGAGAACAGAGACGGTGATGTTATACTTCCACGATTACACGCTATCGTTCATGGCTGCGATGAACATCAGTCCTAGTCACATTACACATACCGTGACAGGCATGCATACAGTCAAAGGCATAAGTGGCAGTGGTTACAGTGGTAAGCTGATACAGGTTTATAGACGCCTACAAAATTACTCGGTACCTATCTAATTTCACGTTCTCTGCTGTGTCCGCCGGCCATGGAGTCACGGAGATTGAACCTTGGACAACCCCGCTGATTTATAACGCCGACTGGATAGACCGTTAGTACGGAAATCAGCACCCATCGCAATTGCCGTACCCGCGCTATCACACAAATATCTGTGGGACCGGGACACTAGTCGGCACGCCGGTCTTATCATCCGACCCATCCCCCCGCCCACCGCTCCGCTCCTCTCCCCATCACTCCCCGCTCTGCCCACAGCCACCCGCACTCACATGGTGACAATGAGGATTCCGCCGACGAACTTTGGGTAGTGGTAGCGCGGGTGGTACTCGGGCGAGGCCACGTGGAAGAGCCGCTCGCCCGGGAAGCGGTACGAGAGGTTCCTGTTGAGCGGCAGCAGGTCCACGTCGTGCATGGCCATGTAGTCGCAGTGCTCGCGCGCGCGCAGGTAGCCCACGTTGATGAGCGAGGCGCGGTTGAACCGGTACGCGTCAATCTGCCGACGGTAGAGAGCAATTCGTTGTAATGTGGCTACATACAGAACAATCACTAAGCATGCAAAATTACATAGTGCAGATTCTCCACTACGCATATGAATCACACGAAAAACTTCATGGACGAGACTTTAATATCATAGGAAATAACAAAACCCAGAACAATGCCCAAAACAAACAAGCATTAACATAAGACGGAAAATGCTGCAAATCAAAACAAGCAGGTACTTCACACTATTCTATCGCTAACACAATCAGGAAAGGCGGCTGAGGATGTGTAACAGCACAATGACCTCTAAAATTTATGTACGAGCGGGATTTTTCCGGCTAAGCTAGGTTTGACGACGCAGTTGATGCGTTTTAGATGTGACAACGTCGCAATTCATTCAGGCGACGAGCAGTTTCCCCATTTGCGAAACCTGACGGTGTGGACACTATGATCAAGTCTTCTGTTAGGAATATAGAGACAATTCACGGGAACGATAGTGTAGAAATACCCCGGTACGGTACAGTCCTTGAGATCTGTCGATTTCGATTGAGGCCACTAAGAAGTAAGAAAACTTACATGTTTAGCACGAATCTTAGGCGATATAGTCACAGTGGCACATTCTTTAGGCCTAAATTTTATCTCGACCCCTCTGTATCGCTTGGATTTTTATGCGGTTCAAATTGCATTTCAAGTTTAAAATTGGCTTTACAGAATACAGATATTGGGCACTTACGGACAAATTACATATTGAAACGGGTATTGTAAACTTGATCAAAATAGCATGAACTGCATAAACCAAACGAGACATTCTGGACACGATAGGGACACGCGAGACCTTGCACGCATAACGTCGTGGCACATTATCCACATCATGTCACAGGTGAAGGTCTATAAAACCATAAACGCAGCGCCAGCTGGGAACGACCATCCGACGTCGGAGAGCTCCGTAGATACGGCAGGCTTAGTGGAGCTCACCGCTATCGGCATGGAACTAGCGCTGCGATTACCGCCTTAGTAAGGCTGTGCTTAGTGAAACGCGGTCCATATATGATATATGCGAGCACATTCGCACCACGACTTCCAAAACTAGCACAAAAAACGACACGAAAAGGAAATCCACAAACTCATCCAGGAAATACGACCTACTCTAGGATTTCCTACTGAAATCCGATCCGAGGTGGTAGGCCGCTGAGATCGCCGAAAAACTGGCATGACAGAGCAGAATAACCGAGAAATAAGGAAAACGCGTTCGTAAAAACGCCGGTGAAGGGCAGGCTGACCATGTCATATCACCCTTTCACCTGTGCTAGAACATGAAAAGAAGTGAGCCGGTTATCACCTCCCGGGCGGCGCTGAGCAGCGCACATAGCCAGAGCTGAGCACTATACGCCAGCTCACCTGGTTGACGATGTAGATGCGGTGCTTCACTTTCTGGAAGTTGAGGAAGCGGTGCATGTAGGGGACGAAGATGAGCATCTCCTCGAAGCGGTCCCTGAACGGCACCACGACGGCCAGCGTGTGGTTGTCCCAGGAGGAGGTGTCCGGCTCCGGCGGCCGGCCCCCGGACGGCGCCGGTGCCGAGGGGGCGGGGGACGGCGTCACCTCGGCGGCCGGCTCCGGCGGGGACTGCTCGGCTGCCGCGGCCGGCGGCGGCGGACACACTGCTGCAGGAGAGAGGCAGCCAGTGGCAACTGAGGGGACATACTGCTGGCCTACTCTCAGAACTCATATGTCACAACATATCTGATAAAATCATATCACCTCAACATCTAGAAAATAAACAGATGCTTGAGACCTGTCATGCATGTCTTTTATTGCTACATGAGCCAATGGATATTGGCTGAAAACCATACAATGTTAAACAACTATGCCAAAGTAGGTAGATCATGTCCTAAAAATTTACATTAAGATATGCATGCATTTCCTTATATTGCTCCAGAACCTGACATTAACTTCATTATCAGCAGAGGTGCATTCCTTACCTTCATCTGATCTTGTTAATAGAACTGCAATAAAGAACAGCAAAACTACTATAACAATGGACAGAAACAGTCTTGATGATACAACTGTTGTTATCCTCATTTTTTTCTGTGCCTCTGCAAAGAGAAGTTACTCAGAAAAACCAGGATTTGCAAGTCTAACTCTAATGAAAAATGTTCTCCTGAGTAGGTCAGTTAAAGAAGTCCAACTTTTTACTTTATGGCTTTCGTTTTGAAAGATGAACTTTTAAGTCACACATTCATTTCATGTGCATAACAACTGACAAGCTATAAATCAGGCAAATACCCATTTTATTCAAAATGTAATGTTAAGGCTGTATTGCTCATGTGTGTGGACCTCAGACTCAGTAATACCTAGATATCTCTGTGGATTTCTATGAAATTTGAGCAATTATGGAATTTTTCCGCTTCCAGCCACCGATGACCCAATGCACCAATAAGTAGCATATTGCGATCCACGAGTGTTGATTTTTGCTGAGTTCAGTAGGCGGAACTATGGTCATGAGTACCCAAATATAGGAACGTTCCCATTTTTGGGAACGGAGTTCCCAAATATGGGAACGGGCGTTCCCATTTATGAGAACGGAAGGCAATTTTTCGGCCGTTCGCCCACTAAAACTCAAAAGTGCATCACGTCTCAAAAAAGTGCACGCTGATTTAAGTATCTACTAAATCTCCATAAAGTTATCTTTAATCTGACCGTGGAACAAGGAAATTGACCGTGGAATGATATTTTTAATGATTTTTTAAAAATGACAGAATGGTGGAAATATGGGTTATACGACATTTAACATGCAATTTTAAGGAAAATGAAGCATTTTTTACATTTTGAGGTCAAGTATAATAATTTTCGCCTGGTTATGAAGTTTCATTCTAGCGACACCAGATGCTGACATATGCAAGCGAACACGCGGACAGTCCCGAGGTAATATTGATATTGTTGACTTTTGGTGTCGGGGCGATCGACCGCGTGAAACGTCAGTGATTTTACCGAACTACTGTTGTAAACTCAGTTTCAGTGGTTTAAAATCATTCAGCTGTATTTTATCAGCCCTGAAAGACATATTTTATTTGGATGCTAGCTGTTTAGCGTTGTTTTATAAGCAGCGTCATGAGCGTGGTTTTTGTCTTCGGCGTTTCTAAGCATGATCGTTTGGGGGGAATTTCTCTGATATAGGTCGCTCTGTGTGGCTTATTTATAATTTTTATGCTGATTTCGATCATTCCTCGTGCCCATCCTACCAGGCCTTTTGCCACTTACACTCATTAAGAAAGGAAAAAACTAGATTTTCATTGGGACTAGGTGTTTTGAGGGTGTAACATATTCAGCGTTCCCATTTTTGGATACTTCTTGTGCTCGTCAACTCTCGGTGATTAGCAGACAGGTGCTTGACATGTCTCCACCCTCGGCACGGACGGTGGATATAGGTATGGAAGACCTTGTTGAACATCGCTGAGCGTTGTGGATTACGTAATCCTGCAGAGGGGGGCGTGCCCGCTGCGAGATTGACGGGAATAAAAGCGCAGAAGACCGGGCGAAACATGCAACGGTCTTGCCGGAAAGGTCATCTGATGATTGTTGCGTTAACAATAATTTGCGGCGTTGGACGTGATGCTTGTTAATGAAAAGAGCCCCTGAAAGGCGTCGGTGAAATCGTTCCCAATTTTGGGTACGCCGTTCCCATAATAAGGAACGCTTGCAGCGCCAGTGTACGAGAGCGTTCCCAAATTTGGGCTCGCGGCCCGGGTGATGGACTGCTTTAGAAATAGGGGAACGATTTGAAACTACGATGGGCCTTACAATATCAAACTCTTTCCCAACAATATTGAGACAACTATCAGGCGGTTCACGATCGTTTTATATTTTTTGGACGTCATTTAACGGTTCTTTTTCTTGTTTTAAATAATGCCTACATGGCGTTCCCATATTTGGGTTTATCGTTCCCAATTATGGGAACGAAAATGCGTTCCCGAAAATGGGTACGCTTGACCATAGTTCCGCCTACTGAGTTGCAGTTGCCCAAGCTGAAAGCTCTGCCAATTCCAAGCCAGATTGGCCATGAAACAGACAGGGCAGTTCTAGGGCACCCACAACTTAGCAGATATTGACACCAATGACCAATGTTGCCGTCCTTATTTTCATACTTTTTACTAAACTGCATTTACAGGCCTCACGTCAAACAATACCTACCACGTTGTTTGTTTCAGTTTGGGCCATGAAAGCCGACAGTTGTCAGCAAACAGCTTTAAATTCAAATTGGACACATGAAGAGTCTAAGGGCCTGTTCCAACGCCACCAAAAAAAAACACTGAAAATGAAAAAATCAAATGGATCTTAATTGAAATCACACCAAAGGCAACAATAAAATGACAAGGTAGGCACCTACCTCCTTCAACTTGGATTGTAAAATGAACGACTAGGCAAATAAATAATATGCATACTGATACTGTGAAGAGTTCCTGAAACGAATAAAAATGAAATAACATCAGCAAACACCTCAACTTACCACCTCAAGCTTGCTCAAGCCAAAGCCCTCAGAAACGAATAGGTATTTTCTTTTCCCACACGGTAGCGCATTTGTTTACGTGGCGACAAAAACAGTATCGCCACAAACGCGCCTCTTTCGCAGGTATAGAATTGCTACCAACTGCTAAGAAATGATACCATATTTTCACCCCGAAGTTTACCTTCGCGACGTTCAGCGCTGGTCTCGCACGCATCAGAGGTCAGGTCACGTTGACAATCTGCAAGAATCTTGGTGTTGACGTACTCAATTAGACTGAGATCGACTTCCGTTGACTGCGCATTGTCACGCGCACTTTAAAACAGGACATCTTTATCGTATTCGACGACAGGGCGATATCGTATTCCTCGGTTGCTCCGACGCTCGTTCCCGCAATGACCCCCACTCCAACATTTCCAGCGCGGCTGACAACACAAATGTACAAAATACCGCTAAACATGCAAAGCAATGTCGGCTTTATTGTACCACTGACAAACATGTGCTCTAAATGAAAATATTTATTGAGGCCTCAGCATGAGGGAATTGAGGCATGCGTATCCGCCAGCGAACACTACGTGACGACAAGAGAAATTGTACTGCGATGATTAGATAGTCATTATTAATGCCACTAACCTCTGATCTCTGTGAACTGAAGTGAATGAGGTTAACAGATTTTAAGCAAATAAGTGAACTGGATGACCAAAGATTGAAACACGGGACACAAACTCGCGCCACGAGTGGGAGAGCTTCACATTTTTATAGGATACAATCTCCATGTATCATTCTATGGCAACTTTGGCGTTCAAGATATCGCGAACACTGAGAAAAATTCAACCAAACTGAAAACGCCGGGCTACAACAGTCATCAGCATGGTTACAGGCACCACACAATAGAACACCGTACAAAACACTTCAGCACTCTCGATTAAGCAGCTGCTTCACCCGAGCCGGCGTCTCCAGAGACGACACTCACTACTACTAGAAGCTCATCATTTAACACCGGAGCGCAGGCACAACCTCTGCCACATGGCTAGCAGGCGGGGGACTCTGCCATTCTGCTGCCATTCAGGCTAGCCACAGGGATTTGTCTAAACTGTCTTCCCGCTGTTATCCGCTGACTACAGTCCCATCGAAAGGAGACTACTATGACTGTACTTTTGTTCATGGCCTGAGCGGTTGAAAACACGGCTGAGGGAAAGACGTCGCAGCCTGGCCGGCCGTGAGATAGCTGGGTCAGTCAAACAGCGGACACGGGTTCCCGTATCCATGACATCTGTACTAATCAGGTTAGCCATGTCACACTCAATGGACAACGGCCCGAAATATCACGCGTCAACCTTCATCCAGCACACTGCCGCAGACTAGAACAGCCTAACGCTCGTTGGAACCGGTAATGATCGTGTTCCAGTACCGGTGATTGTGTCTCAGCGCGGCCGCACCGGTCATCGCAAGCAGCTGACGGGCGGTCGACGGTACCTCAGCATATCGGTCGGTATACCCCTCTCATCGGCCGCAGCGCTCACCACCAGAGATCAGGCTCTGGGCGGACCGTCGCCGGTAGCTCAGAGGTTGGCGTGTCGGTCGGCACACCCCTCTCAGAGGTCCACCGCGTCCAGTGTGACGCCCGACTCGGAGCGGCCCTGTTCCTCCTCGTGCAGGTCGGACAGCTGCAGCAGTCCGATCGGGCGCACCTGACGCTGGGGGGAGGCGGGGCAGGCAGGCGGTCAGATGAGGTACAGTGCTGGCTCGGTGAGTGGAGGGGTTACAGGAGCAGTTCGGACGGAGTAGAGATCATAGCCAGTCCAGATGGAGGGTTGCGTAAAATAATATGGGGCGAAGGCCGAAGAACGTTCTATGTCGGTGAGGGACGAGGCAAAGCACACCAGCTAACAAAAAGCTGTCAGCATGGATGACAATGCCAAGATAAGAATGTCACGAATAAAAATGTTGGCACAAGAATGCCACAGATGCCCGCTAAGTGTATCAAAACCATAATCACATTCACAATATTACAACGCACGAAACCATAACCTCAGCACTGAAACCCCACACCGATGATAAAACACAGCCCATGGCACATAACTTGATGTCCCCATGCTGGTATCACCGACCGGCCGCCAAAGCTTCCCTTCCCGGCCCCGGCTCACCTCCTGCAGTTTACCCATCTCCTCGCGGAGTTTGTTGAGGATGGCGTAGTTGGGCGAGTTCACGGTGGCCTTGCTCTGCAGCAGCGTGATCTGCTGCTCCTCCTGCCGCTTCACCTTCAGCGACTTGCTCGAGTGGTTGCCGTACATCCGCAGCAGGGAGCCCCACGACGTCACGTGCGGGTGCAGTTGCTGAAACGACACACCGGGGAAAACGATGTTATTTGCATTATGAGCTTAACCGCTGTAGGGTGAATAAGTGATTCTTATCAAGTGCAAATAAAAAATGATCGCACCAGCACCTCAAACAAAACGACCGGCGGTCTGAATTTCTAGTATTCAAACCTTAACTTATCAAAATGACTTTAAAGTGACAACACCTCCCTCTCAGCCCAACAAGAAGCGACCACTATTCTCACCTGGAGCAGCGACTGGGCGGCCAGGTGTTTGCCGTCCTTTTTGTTCTTACACGGCACGCGCGCCGTGTGCTTGCCCACCGTCATCTCGAACTCGTTCTGTTTATGTTTGGTCGTGTGCAGCTTGCACGCCACCTGGTTGCTGGTGAGGCCGAAGTTTCGCTGCAGACAGACCAGCAGTATTGTGAAGGGGGACGGCTCGGCCGCCTTGCTGCAGAGGTCGGCCACGCGCGGGTCCTCCAGTCGGATCGAGTCGAAAAAGGACAGATCCATGTCGGCCGGCTTGGCGCTGCCCTGCACCGTCTTGTCCGCCTCGATCTGCTCCATCAGGTTGGGGATGAAGATCTGCAGCGTGGCCTTGGCCGCCTCGCTCTTGGCCTGCTTCTTGCTGGAGCCGTAGCCGCTGCCGTACTGGACAGAGTTCAGGGACACCGTGGCGCCGTACGGCGTGGCCGCGTTCTTCAGCTCCGAGTAGCTGTAGACGGGCTGTTCGCGCAGCACATGCTGCAGGTACTCGTGAAGGATACACACGTAACTCTTGCCGCCCGGGTTGAGCACCCACTCTCTGAGCCGCGTGCCGGGCACGGCGGCCGATTTGCGGCTGGGCCGGACTGGGAACGACAGCAGCTTGGTCTTACTGGACATCTGCGGTCGCTGGGTGCGCTTCTTGCGCAGGTAGTGACGCCTCTCTCGCCACGTGTTGAACTTCATCAGGTGGATCGTCTTGAACTGGAAGCGGCGCGCGCAGTACTTGTGCATCTCCTCCGGGGTGACGGAGGGGTCGACCATCGAGACACCGTCCACCGGTACCGGGCCCACGGGGACGCCGTTGGAGCCCGGCGCGGCGGGGCCCTCGCCCGCGGCGGCCGGGGCGGCGGGGCTGGGCGCCGCGGACGCCACTGGAGTCGGGGCCGCGGACTCGGCCGGGGTGGGTGCCGCGGACTCGGGCGGGGTGGGTGCCGCGGACTCGGGCGGGGAGGGTGCCGCGGACTCGGCCGGGGTGGGCGCAGCGGACTCGTCTCCCGCCTGGGTGGACTCTGACGGACTCGAGACGGCCGAGGCGGCTGGCGTGGCGACCGCCGTGTCGGTCTCCGCCGCACTGTCCTCCACAGCGGAGTCCTCCACGGCGTCCGACTCTGCCCGGCTCTCTGTGGCGGCCTCACCCGCGGCGACCGTCTCCGAATCCTGGGTGGCAGTGTTGTCCACAGCTGCCTCCACAGTCGCGCCGCCATTGGCGTCCGTGACCTCACCGTTGGTAGTTGCCGTATTTTCTATACCTTCCTCTGTGACCACGACTCCGTTGACCTGCGTCTGTGACTCCCCGGCAGAGGCCGGACAGGCTGACCTGTTCCCAGTGACCGGGCAGGTCGGGGCCGGGTCGGCGTCCGCCTTCTGTTCGCCCTCCTTCTCCAACTCCCGGAGATATTGCAGACAGGGCACCGAGTACAGCGGAATGTCGTGTTTCTGTGGCGGAAAACAATGTCAAACGATGCCAGAGGTGTGACGAGAGAATTGCTAAATAGACACGACAAGGGTGTGGTTAACGCAAACATTTAAACGAATGGCGACTCATGTTTCTTCATGCAATCATACTGTATACCAGTGAAATGTTATCGATCAAATCTTTCATTGGCGTTATGGCTAAGCGCATGCATTCAACTTGAGCTATCAAAATGACGACTCACGAGTCACGACTGTCAATTACCCGAAACAATGCAATCACAACTGAGTCAAGGTACGTGTGCATTTAATAAGCTGTAACGGAAGAGCGAAACAACACTAACTTTGTCTAACTCTGACCGACAAGCGCAACCACCATCCGACGCCGGCAGCCGCCCCATACTCACCGCACCCCACGCGCGGCGTCACTCACCCTGGCGGAGCCGGGTCCGAGGAAGTAGGGCCGCGAGAGTGTGACGACGCGCGACTGCCGGTGCAGGTAGATGGGCATGCCGCTCATGTGCGTCACCTGCACCCAGTCCTCGGGCAGCGGCTCCACCGGGTGGCGACCCAGCACTGCCGACACGGCCAGAAGGAGACGTCAGATCGGGTCACAGAGGGTAGAGAGGGGGGGGGGGGGGGAGGACAACACAGCACACAGCCGCCAGTCGGACAAACACGAACATACAGTGAGCATCGAAATATTTAAGGTATCTTATGCACGCTCACGATAAATGGTTGATAAAAGCAAATAGTGCTTTCGTTTTCATTAAAAAAAAAAAACAGCCGATTGAGTGTGATCACCGACACTCAAACGCTGCCAGGCACCGATAACTCGGTCTCCGTCACCGGTGTGATCTGATACCATCTCCACGACAGCTCATCCATCGCTCACCTTTCAGCACCACCTTGTCGCGGTGCTCGTAGTTTGAGTCGTCGTCAGGGTCCTCGGCAGCACCGGGCCCCCGCACGGGTCGCGTGCCTTTGAATTTCTCCGGCAGATCTGATGAAGGCGGTTGGATTAGACATTGAACGAATCAGAAAAAAGCGGCCAGAAAAGCGAGAATAGTGTGGAATACAACATCAACAATCAACATACAGCGATATATAAAGTATAAGGAACAATACAAGACTAAGTACTAAGTAGTTAACGAGGACACATTAACTAAATATTTCATAACGTATTTTCATTCCCACATGTTGAACTAAAGCAAGGATCATCACAGCATCAGCTAATAACGTATGCGCTCCCTTAGCGACCTAATACAAACACCAAACCTAAATCACCTCTTCTCGCCCCGCCCCCCCCAAACCGCCACACACACACACGCTTCACACGAGATCCGGCGGCGGGGCAGTGCCTTACCCGCATCGAGCATCTCCATCAGTTCGTCCTCGTCGAGTTCGTCCGAGTCGGAGGCGGCGCTCTCGGCGCCGCTGCCGTCGCCGCTGCCGGCCTCGTCGAGCACATGGTACTGGCCGGCTGACAGCTCGGCGGCGCGGAACCGGGCCTGGAACGGGTGGGAGATGGGCAGCGGGGTGGCCGCCGCGGCCGCCTCCTCCGCTGCGCACACATGGGGCGGTCAGAGACGGGCGCTGGCTGGTTACAGAGTGGGTGAGATTGTGGCCAATCTCGTGACATAAAGCCGCATGAATGCACAGCTTCTAAACAAGTTCTAAGCATCACATGGTAACAGCAAACAAAACACTTGTGCATAATGACTGATACGACTTCACAACATCAACATAAAAATAAACGTAATGACCGAACCGAAATGAAGGTCGAAGCCGTCGTCAAACAATAATCCAATTGTATGAGCAGGAAGAAAATCTTTTTCTGGCTCACACCGCGGCTGGGGCGGCGCGCCGGTACTTACCTCCATTGGTGCCGGTGGCGGGCGGCGGGTCGTCCCTCCGGGCCACCTTGGCGGGCCGCTCGTCCAGCTCTCCCTCCTCTGGTGGCTCGTCGCTGGCCGTCCGCTTGGTGGCCGACATGGTCTACTCGGCGCGGCACAACGGGGGCGGGTCAGACGTACTGGAAAGGCGGGTATAAACTGCTGCCCGAATCCGACGCTTGATTGGACTGTTGCACCGATCGGCACTGACGGCCTTTGAGTTCATAAGAGGTTTACAGGGAGAGGAAACTGAGGAATAAGCTAAATAAGTTTTAAGATGTAGAGCAATTGGAAAGACCACTTCGAAGAGTTGAAAATGAGAATGAGGGCAGTCCGGGCGCCAAAAACCCCCAATTCATCATCATCATCATCATCGAGAATGAGGCCATCATTCGTAATGTTACAAGAGAGTATTAGTTGATCGGCAGTCACGTAAGATAAAGTCAAAGATGCTTTAAACGAAAAAAGTGGGCAAACAATTATATGCTATATCCGAAGCTGCCTCTGAAGAATCTTCAGATTTCAGAGCACTGAGCATTGGCTCGGCTGGTCGCTCCAGAATGCCCAGTCGTCAAATGCCAAGCAGCACAGGTCAGCGGCCCCAAACTGTCCAACATCAGTTTGTTCACCACTGGCCGGGCGTAGTCGGCACTTTGGCATTCAGCGCGTGGAGCCGGTGGCGGCGCGGCGGGCGGCGCGGCGAGCTGTCAGCCGCCGCCACGGCAGGAGAGCGGGCGAGGTGCGCGCCAGCCCGCCCTCCCCCGTGGCCCGGCTTCCGACGTCCGTCACCCGGCAGGGCGCACCCAGCCTCAGCCGGCGAACGGCCCCGCGTGGACACAGCAGAGGCCGACTGGGGACCGCTCAGACCAGCCAGACTGGATGGATGACTGGTACAGCCATACAATGCCACTAACTGACACATCCTGATCCACATGATTGGTACAAGCAGGCAGGAGGCACAGGAGCACATTCATTGCATTAGCTTACACATGGCAGGAGATAAGGTGAAACCAAAAACTATCATGGAAACTTAGCTTCCATAGGCGGCGGAACGGGGAGGGCACCGGGGCACCGTGCCCCCCTTTGATTTTGGCATTTTAACACTAGCCCTATGGGCGTTGCATGGAAAGAATGGGACCAAAAGTTGACAGTGCCCCCCTTTAATTGAAGGTGCTCCGCCGCCACTGTTAGCTTCAAACAGAAAGCTATCTTGTTGAGGCATAAGCTGGGAGTAGGGACAACTATAAGTGCTATAGCATGTTTGGTGGTAGAATTTTACATGGCTTTATTCTTCATTTTACCCACATAAAAGTTAAAACTTGACCCCAGACACTGGCATTTGGCAATGGCAGGGCAGATCTGGGCAGGGGGGGGGGGGGGATTTATCCTAATGTCCCTATAAGGTGTTTTTAAGGTGAATATAAATTATTCTTCTGAAATGGGCAGTGTGGACTGTGGAATGTGAAAGGCCTCTGAGTCTGGGGCCTGGGCTCAGCATCCAGCCCCCTGGTCCCAACTAATAAGATTTCTGACAACTAAGAACACAAAACTACCTAGCAGCCTTTTATCATTACCTACTTTTAGGGTAAATGGTCAGTGATATTCACAGTATATAGAAGACTGTCCTATTTGTGAACATCCTGAATTCTGAAATGTCCATAAAATTCCCAGCAGCTGCACCACTAGACCTGATGGGTATTGATTGACAGGAAAGTCTTCAAATATCCAGCAATTTAAATTGTTGCATGCTCATTGCTCAAGGAATGACAATTTGACATAACGAATCACAAGGCTATAGCAACATGAGCTGCAAATTTCTTTCATTGATAAACAATGCATCGATGGTAGGTACTTATGTTTGTGATAACATAATCTGGCAGCCATTTCAAAGTCACAGCCTGTCACTGCACATTCAGCATTTGAAGTGTGATGCCTGCTTAGATACATAGTATATAGATAACTTAAATGCTTAGATGCCACCAGCCGGCAGCCACCCACTCCTACTTGCATGCATGCATGCATTACCATCATGGGCAATCCATTTCTGCCGCCCGGAGGTAAAGAAGTGTAACTCGATTTTGGGCGAATATGACTTTTTGATATCATTCGTTTCCGTGTAACGAAACGCATCTCTTGACATTGGCCTTAGGTGGCTATCACTAATATTGCACGAATTATGTGCAATAACTTTATTGTGCTGCGAGTGCATAGTTATTTAAAGTCATGCAACATCAGGCAAAAAGGCGTATAATGCATTTTTAATGGAATAAAAGCGTGTACATTCGATAAAGTGATCCAGCTTGCAGGCAAGGAAGCGTAAATGTGCTCACGCGCTTTTCTTCCTGCTACGAAGGACTAATAGCAATGATGAGCGGAAGCGTAACCTCCCGTTGGCAGCGGATTTGATGCAGGCAAAAAAGCGCAAAACATCCAGCACGCTTTTTTGGCTGCAATTAAAAATTGAGTCAAGTCAAGATACGCTTTTTTCGCTAAAATCTCCTTAACGGAGGCACCAAATAAGTGCAAATTTGCATTGCTGTTGGCACAATCTTGTACCAATATCTCGGCGGGCTCCTGCTTCTGGCCTAGCGGGGCGCACTTCTAGTGCCTACCCGCGTACGGATCCCGCACTTCCTCGGGCGGATGGGTCGAAGTCAGCCCAATACGCCCTCAACTTCGCAGCAATCCCTCGCAACTGCTGACACGCCCTCGCGGAACACCAGAAGCCACGTCGCTCGCCGGATACAATTCGACCTGGCTCACAGCCCGGCAGGCAGCCCGCCGGGCGCAGCTGCCCCCCAGCCGGTGCTTCTCGGAGACGACCAGCTGGACCAGCTTGCCCGTCGAGTGGCGGCGCTTTTGCAGCCGCCCCCTCCGGCTCGCCCAGCCGAGCCGTCGCAACCAGATTCGACACCGCGCCCGGGTTCGGCTAACCTACGCCTGATGGACGGGCCCCCACCACTGGTACTCCCCCGCCAGTGTTCAACCAACAGGAGCGGGACTACCTGGTAGTTCGACTCATCAACGACAACTACCAGACGCGGGACCGACAGGAGATCCGGGTGCTCCTACTGGCTACAGCCCAGGTCCCGGCCGACATCCAGGACTTCCAGTTTCTCCAAGACAGATTGAAACTGTTCGTCATAGTCGGTCACCGCGGCTGGGCGGCTGCCTTAACCGCACTTCCAGACCTGGAACTACTGCAGCTGGAAGTCCAGCTGCCGCCGCCCGCCCCAGTACTACACCTGCCACCAACCCCGGCCCCTCAGGTACAATATGCCGAGAGTGTGGCCCCCGGCCCTGCTGCCAGCCGTCGCCGCCGTCGCAAGAGGCAGGCAGCGGCTGCCGCGGGCGGTGCGCATTAATAGTATAATGGGCGCCTGGCACGCGACGGTGCGGGTTGTAGCAACGGTCCCTCCGGTCCTCTCCCGCGCCGACGGAGCTCGTGAGCCGGGTCCCCCAGGGCCCCCCGGCTTGGCAGCCGGTGGCCGGGCCCCTCTTCCAGAGGCTTTTCCCTCGTCGACGGCAGCCAGCGGTTCTCCTGCTCCAGCTCCCGGAGCGGCCGCGCTCAGCTGACGTCCCAGCAGATGAGGTACCACCTGCTCCGGACGAGCCTCTCCCCCGCGACGATGATACGCTCTCGTTTGCGGGGTCCCTCATCAGTGCAGAGTCCCAGCTGACCATCGACGAGATTGGGTCGCTCCCGGACCTCCACCAGCTGCTGACTCCCTCACCCGGCCGGTACCTGCCTCGCCCTCCCCTCCGCCCTAGCTGTCAGATCTCGACAGTCTGCTGGGCGGTAGCGGGACGGGCGACCCGCCGGAGGCCTCCACGCCGTCTGAGTCAGACTCCGACGATAGCTACCGGGGACCGACTACAGTGGACCTTTCGCAGCTGCAGCCCTCTCCACCCAGGCCGCAGCGCTTCATGGACCACTTCCGCCGTCTCACAGACGCCGAGATTAGGGAAATGGCCGGCCAAGCTCGAGCCTTGCAGAATCTGTCCGCCCAGGACGCCGAGTCAGATCCACAGCAGCCGCCCCTCCCTGCAGTCGCCTCTGGACCTCCAGACCAGGACGAGGACCAGAACCAAGAGGACAACGAACAGGAAGAGGAAGACGCCGACGATGACGACGAATCGCCCCTGCCGTTCATCGGCGGTCCACAGTCAACAGCAGCTTCGCCCAAACACGAGGTGGACATAGACGACCGACCCACAGTGAGTTCGGTGGTGGCCCAGGATCACCAGGTGGCCTCCATCCTGACCTCAGGTGCTCGGACCTTTATACCTCGGGAGGCCCGTGGCCAGTTCTACCCGACTCAAGACGGCCTGGTCACTCGGAAGCTAATAACTGCCTTTACCCAGCACGGCCACGTGCGGCCCGCGCGTGCCCGCTGTGCTTTCAGACTGTTCGCCCTAGCCAAGGACAATACGAGGGCTAGGGTCCTGTACGACCTCAGCCCCCTCACGGACCACTTGAACCCTCCGCCCTGTTACCGCCCAGGGCGCTGGATCTCCTTCAATGTGAGAGTCCCCAGTGAGCTATAAAAGTGGACGGACCTGAAACATGGGTTTTACCACATTCCCCTACACCAGGCCCTCCAGCCGTTCATGGGCGTTCGGCTCTCCACCGGTGAAGAGTACGTGTGGACCGTGCTGCCGATGAGCCTGGCGTCCGCTCCGGCCATAATGCAGTTGGTAATGCAGAGCGTGACCAAATATATGAGGAACAGGTTCCCACTCGTCAAGGCCAAGGTACGTGTATACGAGTATACCTGCACGAGTATACCTGCTCGTACCTGCACGACTTCCTGTTCTACGCGCCGCAGCCGGAACACCTACTCGGCATCCCGGCGCTGCTCACGGATATCGGGCTCCAGATCAACAAGAAAGAATCCATCGGATCCTACGCAGAGCCTCACCTACCTGGGCCTTCAAAACGATTTGAACCACCGACGGATCTCGATCCCAGACCGCCTACAACGCCGGATTCTGCGGGCCCTGGCTCAGATCAGCTCTCTCTCCGAGCACCAAGCGCAACAGTTGTCCGGATATCTCAACTTGGTTCGGTCCGTTGCAAAGCTGCCTCTCCAGCTCATCGTGGCTACCCTCCAAAGAGGCCCACGGTTGAAGCAGTGGGCTCACGACGGTGTGTGGAACCACCAGTGGTCCTTCGACTACAAGGACTACCACAACTGGTTCCGGGAACACGACCACCGCGTGGCGGTGGACGCCACGCCGTCCCAGCTCGGGTTTGCCGACAACTTGGCAGCCTTAGCGATCCCACTCGAGAGGCCCCTGCCAATCTACGCGGCAGAGTACCTGGCCGCCTTCATCGCGGCCCTGCAGGTGCCGCCCGAGACAACAGTCTACACCGACAACATGGCAGTGTTGCATAATATTCATAAGGGTCGGTGCCCTGCAGCCTGGCTCCCATTTGTTTCGCGTACCTACGTGTCAACAGTTTCCGATATATACCGTCCGCCTTGAACCCTACAGACGCCCCTAGCCGGTGCCCCCCCCCCCCCCTCCAGGGACAGGATGTATAGGGTCTGTTCCAGTCGCACTTCCTAACACCTCTAAACTCCTCCAAGATTGCTTCCCTGTTCCAGTGGCAGCTCTAGCCCCTACAAAGCCAAGGAGGGCCCTGCTCCAACCTCCTCTATCTTGCTCTTGGAGGAGTTTAGAGGTGTTAGGAAGTGCGACTGGAACAGACCCCTAGAGAGCCCAAGAGCGTGCCTCGGCCCTGTAACCCTCTGGTGTATGTCGCGCATGTACTCAGTGTTGCAAAAACGTGAGCAAAACCGCTCCTCAAAAGGAAGTAAATAAAAAATCGTGTTTATGAATATTTAAGAATACAAACATTCGTGTGTTAATGCAGATAAAGCATGGTTAAAAAGCGTGCTGTGCTCGATATATCTGAGGAAAGTCTGGTAAAAAAGCGTAAATCACATCTTACGCTTTTTTGGCTGACATACAGAGACAATGCGCTTTTTTGGTTACGGTGCTATTGGCCGGTTGTGCATTTCAGCGGACGGCAAAGAAGTTTGGGCCGTTATGCTGCTGTAATGGCCCGATTTATTATTTTTAAGTAACACTGTCTTGATGCTGGATCGAAATGCTTTCCAACGGTGCTATTTCGAAGTTTGTACGACAGAGAGAGCCCAAACAATTCCTAATAATCCATAACAACCTTAAATCGGCTCTCCTGAAAACTTGCTTCTTTTGCTTTACGCTTTTTTGCCACCGGGCGGCAGATTTGAGGAGTAGTGATTTACTTGCTGCCTGCTGATACTGTCAATCATTCACCATTTAGCAGCCTAATATTAAGTGTGCAAAAGGGGATTTCACCATACCATCCAATTTTGCACTGTTGCAGTTTTAAAGTACTTATTGCCCCACGGAAAGGGAATAGTTCGCTTTCCTGAAATAAGTTTTTTGCAACGGATTTGATTTTTTAGGCTTAAAATGATCAGAAAAGAAAAGAAAACTTATCTATAAAAATGATTACTAAAACTTTCTATATTTTAATATAGGAAGAACCATTCTTTATAAACCTACCAGCCTGCAACCTAAAACCTGCAAATCTACTACCCAGCCTAACCAACAACCTAAAATTTCTGCTGTTTCATATTCGTACAAACAGCACCACAAATGTAGATCGGACCTTATCTTGACAAATACCATAAAATGTTCGACACGGAAGCTTATTATGCATTGACCAATCATATTGAATCTAGGTCAAACCTACTAAGCTGCATTGACTGTTAGCAGCATGCTGAATAGCTGATGATGCAGATAACTTGGCTGCACTCCTCTACGAGGACCTCTTTTTGGAACGGGAGACAAAATATCTTCAGCCAGCTCACCTGTTGTAAAAGCCAGGGTGTAAAAGCTTCTGATTTGTGCTAGTCTAAGCTCAAGCTACAAAACTGCTATTCCAGTTCAAAACCCCATGTTTAAACTAAAAGTCATAGTTGCAGTGCAATAATATTTCCTTCAAGACAAAAGCGACGCGGCACGCTGATATTAACACCACAAAAGTCGTCACTCTGTAATATCTTAGAGGATGAAAAGGGTCAGTCTTAATTACCTCAATCAATCTCCAAAGTAGATTTTGTAAATGATAGCCTTAACTACAAAAAAAGATACAGAAATTCCAGTAAAACTGCGAAACCGCACGCGCAGTATTCTCAACATGCAATTTGCCAAGGAAAGCGCTAAAGCAGGGTCGTCAAACGAATTACAAATTTTGGTTGAGCTAATGACGTCATTCAAGACCTCCCGTTTATCTGCTAGAATCTTGCTTCTGGTTCACGACGTTCACCGCCGAGCGATGGAAATGACAGACATCGAAAGAAAAACATAATATCCAATCACTTAGGGTGTGCGGCGTTTTTTCTCGCCTGTATGCACTCCACCAAACTCGAAAGCTCAAACCAAACGAGTAATAACCAGTAGACAAGTGACGTTTGGGCTGTCGAGTGCCATCAGCCAGGGCTGCGGAGTCGGAGTCGGAGTCGATTTTAGAAACCCGAGCCGGAGTAGGGGTCGGAGTCACCGAAAATCTGTCGACTCCGCAGCCCTGCTAGGTCTGCGGAGTCGGAGTCGGGAGTTGGAGTCGGTCGGAGTCGACAATTCTGCCCGGAGTCGGAGTCGGAGTCGGAGTCGGAGTCGCCGAAAATCCATCGACTCCGCAGCCCTGCCATCAGCTGTCAATGATGGAGGGACGGAGCGACGTAAAATAATCCAAATATAGGACGTCTATCAAAGAACAATGTATTTTCAATGCAGTGCATTTGGAACATTGCTTGGCTAATCAATCTGCAACGCAGCTCAGCGCTGGTTCTCGACTTAAAACAGTTTGCACTTTGCGCCGCTACATGTTTACAAACGTCGGGAAGCATCGTGACAAAGTCGCGCTGGAAACACGAGGAATGGTTATGATTGCCCCCTCAAATCCCTCCCCATCCCACAAACACACACTTCCTGATTTCAGTCATAACACAACCAGCTCTCGTCCATCAAACCCAAAAGCACCGCCGACATCCGGGTCGGTAACTGGCACAGCCGTTGGCCGTCGCGCCCGGCCACCACCAGTTCCTCTGGTTGGCCGCGGCGGCACAGTGACGGCAGCCCCTCGCCACTGCGACGGCGAGCACCCGACATCCGGTCACGGCCGGCCCGGCTGCTTGGCGAACCGGTCAGCCAGCGTACCGGCCACCGTGGTGCGGCTGGTGGCGCGTCCGCGCCCGACGGCCGGCACTCGCACCTGGGCAGCCATCGGCCGCTCGCCCGGCACCCGCGTCCGCGTGGCAAGCGGCCGGCTGCGGCCCGCCAGACCGCCGCCGCCCGGCGCGCCCAGAGCCGGGAAGTCGGTCTCGGAGGGCGCGCCCAGCGCCGGGAAGTCGGCCTCGGAGCGCGCGGGCGGGGGCTGCTGCTGGCGGCCGGCGGTCCCCAGCGCCGGGAACTCCTGCTGGGAGACGCCCGTGGACATGGCGGCCGCCTGGCCGAGGGCGGCCGGGCGGCGCACCTTCGGCTGCTGCGCGGCCGCCGCGCCCCAGGCCGAGTCGTCCTCCGGCTCGGCGGCGCTCCAGCCGGAGAAGGGGCGCGCCTCGGGCACCGGTCCGATCGGAGTCTCCCAGTCGCCGCCGCGGAACGCCGAGCGGGTCGGCTGCAGCAATTTGTACTGGGTGGGCAGGTCGGGCTCCTTCTCCCGCGTCGGTTTGAACTGGATGCGGCCGCCGCCCTGCGCCATCGGCGTGTTCACCACCACGCCGGCGTCGTTCTTGGACTGCGGCACGTGCCGGCCGGGGATCAGCTCGACGCCGAACGGACCGGCCACCCGGTCCAGCACGGCGAACGCCTGCCGGCGCGCCTTGGCCAGCATGCAGTACATGGGGTTGTCGATGTCCTGGTGGAAGCCGCACGCCAGGTCGGTGAAGTAGTCAAAGTGTCCGCGCGAGATGAGGTCGCTGCAGTGCGTCTCCAGCTGCGGCTCGCCGGCCGCGTTGAACAGCTCGTAAACGAGCCGTTCCAGCGGGTAGACACGGAAGGGACTGGCGCGCCGGTCGGCCGAGCGCACGTGCAGCCAGTCGAGCGCGCCCTCCGTCTCGGGAAGGTCGGGGCCGCTCGTGAACACGGGCGGGTAGTCATCCAGCTCATCCTGCGGGTTGATGAAGTTCTTCAGCCGGATCCAGACACCGGGCATGCTGCGCTCCGAGTCTGGGTGGCCCAGCGGCACCTTGTGCGTCGCCTCCGATATGTCCAAACACCTGGAGCGATACCCAGTCGGGATGGCGTCCGGCTCGATGATGTAGGAGCACGAGCGCAGCACGCCGTCGGCGATCGTCCACTCGGCCAGAGCGACCTCGCACGGGATGTACTCGGCCTGCTTACCGTGGTCCGTGTAGCAGTGCAGCGAGATGTACAGGTTGTAGAACTTGACGTTCAGCAGCGGCACGCCGTTGCTGCGATCGTGCACGATACTGTGCACGTGACGGATCATGTTATCCTTTTTCATTCGTCGCTCGTCCTCCTCGGCGGCGATCTGGGACAGCGGAACGCCGCGGTCGTCAAACTTGCGCGTCAGGTCCAGCTTGGCCTTCTCCTTCTCAATCTTAGCCATATTTTTGTACTTTTGACGGTCAAACTCAGAGAGTGCATTGAAGTGGGGAAACAGGTAGTCAACTACTTCCTTCTTAGAGTTGAAGTGTATCCCCTGTCGTCGAAGGATTGGTTCTTGCTCACGCATGTACATGGAGAAGGGATTGATTTGAGGCTTTTTGGGAGGCATTTTCCTCTCTATGGCTTCTTGCCTTGGCAGCTCAGTGTCCCTGGTTACCTGCAACATATAAATAATGCAATTGTCACTTTAAGTACATGAAAGTGACGGCCACACAACAAGCATCTCTTGTGCAGGAGCACATTTAGTGTCAGAAATATAAACTACCGGAATGCCCTGCCATCAGACACTGTCACTGCTGAGTTGCTGTACTCATTCAAGGTGCGGACTGCGGGCGACTGGACCAGCACTGGTCGAGTGTCAGGTTTGACATCCATACCCTCCACTTTCTGATAATGCTTTTCACTCGATACGAGTGGGATCAATAGACCAATAGCCTCTTCTCCCGATGGCCAAATAACTAAATAAGGATCAATTCAATATTCCCTAAAAAATAGACATTAAATATTAAACTTTACCCCACTGCCACTGAGAAGTTAAAAGCCTGCAGGTCAGAGAAATGATCGAACCGAACGAATCGCATAAAAATTGTGTACCTCACCAAAGTATATCAAGGCAAGTATATGAAAACTTTACTTCCCAACGGCACCATCCGATCCCAAGCAAACACGAAACACAAACACGCGCTGGTATATGTCAAGTTTAGGTCCTAACTACAATTGTGACACTGTTGATACGAATATGAAACAGCAAAATTTTTAGGTTTTAGGTTAGGTTAGGTTGTAGGTTTGTAGGTTTTAGGTTGTAGGTAGGTAGGTTTGTAGGTTAGGTTAGGTTAGGGTAGGTTTGTAGGTTGTAGGTTGGTAGGTTACAGGTAAGTAGGTAAGGTTAGGTCAGGTTTGATTATGTTTTTTTCTTTTATTTGCGAGACATATGGGTATCATTTTTGGATTCAGGATGTCAAATAATGTTATAATATGAAAAATTTATCAATGAAATCTTCTTAGGACTTAAACTTGCACTTTTACCCATGCGCTGCGGTATCACGCTTATTTTATTATTATTATTTTTTTTTTTTGATGATGGAATCAAGCAAAGAATCAAGATGGAATCAAGGCAAAGATATGGGCTCATATTAGCATCCTACTCGAATGATTATTTAGTGACGTCAATGATACAGAGTGTCCTTCCGTAAAACGGTTCTTTTCATTGGCTTACGATTGTAAGCTGACTAATTACTTTAGAAAACCTATTACGTCATTGGAACCCAATAATTTTCAGACGAAAGTAGCGCTGCAAAGGACTTAGAATGAAACTGCTATTCGTGTTCATTTTCCTCATGAGCAAATAAAGAGGATGAAAGGTGCTAATCAATGCTAAGTGCTAAGAAGGATTCTAGGTTTAGACCGCCCTGCAAATTAAAATTCACTGCTCTTACTTGTAATTTAATTTCCCTTTGTAAGTTAGTATGTATAATTCTGCTGTTGAGGCGCTCAAAATTTTATTTATCTGGTTTACATAAAAGTCGATTAACAGTTATTTATGAGTTTGCACCTTTTCTTTCCTAGCCAAGTAAGCTGCTCCAGGACCAATTGAACACACTCTTGTAACCTTCCTGTGACCGTGATGTTTGTTGAGAGGTGTTGAGCAATTGCTCTGCTGTTGTGTAATCGAGTGTCCGATAAGATAAGTTAGGAGAAGGGGGATTTACCTTGCGTTCGATTCAAAGTGCCTTTACTGACTATAAGCTAAACTCAAAGGGGTTTTGATCCGTTATAAAGCTATGACTGTCAAAGGACTTCCCTTCTTTGCGGTTGGAAAGGTCGTGAAAGGTTTTGGAAGAGGATCAAAAGAGCTGGGCATACCGACAGGTAGGCGGCTACAAAGTACCAGGCTATTTGTTGGAAAGTTTATAGGCCATTAGGCATGCATTTAGCGAGATAAATATATTGGTTCATGCTTCAGCTGATCTGTTCAAAACAGAAGACCAAATTAAGCAGCTGAAGTTCGGGCAGGTATTTTTGTACGTGCCCAGGTAACCAGAATAAGAACTGCACTATAATCACTGTATCAGTATGCCATTGGATGCTAGTGTTAACTTAAACTTCATATTTGTTTCAGCTAATTTCCCAGAAGCTGTTGTTGAACGGCTTCCAGCTGCAGTCGGCACTGGGGTATACTTTGGCTATGCCAGGGTTGACGAAGGGCCTGTGCACAACATGGTAATGAGCATTGGCTGGAACCCATTCTACAAGAATGATAAAAAATCCATGGTAAGGTGAAGGATACAAAACTTCTGCTCAGATGCTGTGTTGTAGCTTATTACAATGTTGATGTTGATAAAGGATTTTCACAAACTAACTATGGACTTTGAGTGTGTGCTGCGATTTGCCAATTGCTTAACATTTCTTATTATTTTCAGGAAACTCACATTTTGCACAAGTTTGACAAGGATTTTTATGGTTCTACGCTGCGGATCTGCATTGTGGGATTCATCAGGCCTGAGGAGAATTTCAAGTCACTTGGTAGGTTTAAAGCTTTTTTAATTCCCCCCATTTTTGCCATAAGAAGTAGGTTATCATATGTTATGCATGCTTGATAGAAGTTCATGTGTTGTTTTTGCTTCATTGTCTCCATTTTCCCACTCAATTTATTGTAGGATGCATATTCTGTTTTTCTTCCTCACAGGTCTCACACCTATTGACATTCCTTTGCAGAGCAATCAATGGTTGAGTGTGCCTAGCATTACCTATATCGTTTCTCAGTTATTTTCAATATTGATTGAAATGTCAAGGTTTTGACGTTTCAATCAATATTGAAAATAACTTTTGATTGTATTACATGGCACAGCTGTCTTGTATCAATTGTCACTGACATACATTTTTTTATTCTCAGCCATGTTCCTGGCCCCAGATTTCCTTCTTTCCATCTCCGCGCCCTCTGTGAGTGTGCCAGTCACCGTGACTGTATGCTCCGTGGGGCGCGATGACGCGGCACCCACTCCCTCCCCGTCCTACCCTCCACACTTGGTGACGGTGACGGCGCGTTTTCCAGAGGCGCTGATTCGCGCCATCAATGACGACATTGAGATGGCGCGCGAGCTCTGCGCGCGCCCCGAGCACGCGGCGCTGGCCAAGGCCGACTTCTTCTACCAGACCGGGGACGGCACGGAGGGCGACTCAGACGGGCCGGGCGGCAGCTCGGTGGGCCGAGTGGAGCGCAGCGGCAGCGACACCAGCATAGACCACTGACCCCCCGAGCAGCTGGCGCGCGCTAGACATGGAACATCGGCACGGCACGGGTAGCGGGTGAACGGCGCCCGGGGATGACTCGACTACGAGATGGGCCAACGACCAAAACAGAGCCGGCAATACGGAAACTCGTACGGATTGCGGTAGACTTTTGCTTTAAACCGAGCTGAGCTATTGCAGTATTAGGGCTGTAGTACATAGTCAATATTATTTATATGGGAACTGGTGACGTAGGTTTTCCCAGTTTGCCTTTTGGGGAGATAGCTAGTGGGCACTGAACTCATTAACGATTGTGAATTATCATGTCATATTAAACTATAGAGAGGATTGGTTCAAAGACGGCACATTACTTTCTGTAGTGCCCGCTGTCCATAGTTTGTACTTACGGCGTTCGGCAGTCATTCTCTGCCCAGTTCACACATATTTATCCAAAGTCCGGCATGTACTTCATTCGCTGTCACCTGTTGGCGACGGTGCCATTTCAGAAATTTGTTTACACCGCTCAATCAACAAACGGTGACTTTGTGCACTCTTACTGGTGCCCGTTGTCTGTGTCTTCACCCGAGAAGCTGTGCGGGTCTCATAACCCACCTGGGCCGCCATGTCGTATATGGCCGACGGTGCCTTGTCGGTGAGCCCACGGCGACCTCACACGGTGCACAAAGCGCACTCCAGACGCCTTCTCTCCGACGGACGTGGCACCATTTCGACTTCGGCCACTTCAGGGCGCTGCTTTCCGGTCTCCGGCAGACCAGATGTGATTGTTCAGACGCAACGACCCTGGCGGGGAGGCTGCTGACAGCCTGACCTGTCGAGGATATGGTGGAGAGATTATACTATGTACTTACGACTCACCAATGGCCGCCGACCCACTGAGAAGTGGCTGTCCGGTAGTTCGTGTTCAGATCGACTCTTTGCTGGTGACGCGTGTCGTAGGCAACTGAGGTGATCGAGTAGTGTCTTCAGTTCGAGGGTTTTATGTGCAGCACACAATTGACCAGAAATCATTGCATGCGAACAAAATCGTGACCTTCACCTGTTGACAAGGGTTGAGTGTATCGGTGCTGTTCTGCCGGTGAGTTCAGCGTTCAACCGCTCCGGGCTGACGTTCGGGCAGCGATCGCGTTCTGATCTTCAGTTAATGGCTGTAGTGTTTGCAATGGTGTGCAATAGATATACCATGGATGAAGTATTCCTGGATAGGACACTCCCTATTCCCCAACACTAGCGCCGGCGACCAAGCGGCCGCCCTGGTGGCGGAGCTCCGAAACATCGGCGGCGAGTGCGCCGGCGGCCGCCGCACCGTCTTGCGTGCTAAAAACGCGGTAATGGAGGGCGAAATTAGCGAACTTAAGCTCATAAGACACAATTTCAGACACTTTAAACACAATTTTTAGTCCTTTCTTATAATTATTATGGCTCCATTTAGTCACTATCACATACGGAATCATTACCTGATGCCCATAAACTGAGCCGGTATTCTTGACTTGCCGATGCAATTTATCATCAAATATCATCGTTCCTCGGCAGTCAAACAAGTTCCTATTGATGATTTAATACAAATATCAACTTATTTTCATGTTATCGCATAAAACTTAACTTTATTCCAACATTGGCTCTTCGGCTGTAATCACGAACCCTCACTTGTCAGCAGAATTTAAGCAACTTCTTAAATCAAAACTGGGAAAAGAATATTTCCATGACATTCCTCAATTCCTGTTCTACCTGGTTCACAAAAATTTTCATCAAAATCGGTTATAGGTAAGTAATAAACGACAAAAATATACAAAAAGACACGCTCCGCCCATAGCCCGCAATGCTAAAATGGCGCCAGCGCCCTCGCCGTCGGGAAATCCGGCGCCGCCGCCGGGTGGTCGGAAAATCGGCGGAGTGTCCGATCCAGGAATACCTAATCCATGGATATACAATGTTTACCCAAGGGCCGTCTTTACTGAGTGAACGACTGGACGCATGAGACTAGCTGTGCCGGGGCGAACCAAGGGCTGGCATGCTGGGCAGAGACCTGGATTTTCCTTCGATGGAGCGAATTATTCACAAAATTAAGCTGAACACCAGTCAAATAACTTCTCGCAAGCTAATGACACTCTTTGTATTGCTTTGATTCTTACTGCCATGGAAAGGAGTAGTAAAGTAATCTTGATGGAAAGGACGGAAGATACGAAACACATGCGCGGAAGATAACGCTGCTATGCGATTCGTTAATTATAGTGACGTCATAAGACCAAATGTCAAGCCTTTTGAAGCCTATCCTTGATGCTATTGTTTCTCACGCATATTTACGTCTGGACAACGAGTTGCGGGGAAAAGTGCTGATTTTGTTGCAGTTTTAGGAGCCGGTGATTAGGCTGGATTTTTGGGTTACTTTTTCGTTCCGATTAATGTATTTCATTGTGTTTGGCTTTTGAATATTTTAGTTCTTTCAGATAAATATTACTTGCCTTACAACTTTTGTAAAAACGTTTCATTTTTTATAAGCCGACGTTCAGAGTCCTAAAAATACATCAGCACTACAATCATTGTAAACAAACAGGAGCACCACTTGGCGCTGTTCCAAGGCCATTTTTTAGTGTATTTGGTGGTTTTCTTACTCTTGTACGTCGTTTTGTTGGATATTTTGAATATTGACTTATATCATATTTAAGAAGCATGTTGACTGAAAACAATCCGAAGTATCCAGGAGGCTGACAGAGCTCCTGACTCCTGAGCAATATCAATATCAAGTTGAACAAGTTATGAAATTTTGGTTGATAAACGCAAGGTGATCGGGCTCATATATCAGCAAGAAAAAGTAAAATTTAAAGAGCTTATTGGCCAAAAACAAGCTATAATATTGCAGACCTTGGAGCAATACCTACTGAAGAGCACGCTGAGCAGCTGATCATGCCAGAAAATGTTGACTGATGAGCGCATATTTATGTATTGGTATGGATATTGAATGATAACTTACAACAGCAAGATAAATTAGTGCTAACTTTCAAGTTAAAAATCTAGAATGAATGGACTTGGGCAGCTTAGATGTGTCATGCTATGCAGATTGTAATGTGCATCAGGTACTCAGTGTCTGGCAAATGAAACATGCGATCATTCCATTGCTACTGGAGGAGAAAGCTTGGATCACTAAATCCACTTTATGTTGATTTTGATGTTAATCATCACTGTATTTCTTGAAAAAAGATTGTAGTAGAATTGTCAATGTGACAATCCATGCAACGATGTGATCATATAATGTGTTCATAGTCATTCGTGATAGTGATTATTGGTCCAATATACAATGGCAAAGCTCTCAGTCTCAGCGTTTCTTCCTGTGGATGGCCAGCAGTGACTCAGAGCTTAGAAGTATTAGTTTTCTTCACAGGGCTGGGATAAAAAGTACTGAGGGTAATCTTCCACCAAGGAACTCTACTTTGACATGGTATGAGATGTAGGCACAAGTAGGTAGGTGCTTAGTTCTTATAGTCAGTAGTTGTGTATGTTTAGTCGGGTTAGCTTAGATTAGATTGTTAGTTTTTTAATTTGCCAAGTGTCCATAAAAATGTGACCTGAGCAATGAGCATACTCCTGACTAACCTGACAGCTGACCTAACCTCAATCATCACACATATTTGCAGCCTACCCAAGACCTGCATAGCAGTAGGCAGTAGCACCCAGTTATAGGTAGGTACTCACCCTAACTCAATCTTACCTGCTAACCTTCAACTTGCCAAAAGTTAGCTCACATTGCCAAGCTGCATCCAGGGAAACAGTCAACTGAGGAACTGGCTCATTGGGTGGCTGGTGTGAGTCTGTGCACTTAAAGTGTTTCTTCTCTGAAGCTGCTCTGCACTGCTGTATCATGTCATGTTAGATGCTCAGAAAATGTGGGAAATGATTACTAAGCTACTTTAGTGCTTTGTTAATGCTCGAGACATGAACAAGTACAGATCCTGCAGGGTACAGCTGTGAGTTAGGTGCTAGGTGAGTATGTTATGTGAATGTGCTGTTCCCTGTTTGACCATAGTAAGCATACAAACAAGCACAGGGTCACAGTTATATTCAATCTCCACATAAACATACAACAAAACGGCCATATGGCCTAACTCCGAACACACCACAGATAACTTAAGCCTTTGCAGGCACAAAAATGTTTTGATTAACAGGACAGGTATACAATATATCCTCTGCCCTTGGGGGATCTTGCTGCCAAGTTGAGGTACGATGACTTAACTTCTGGATTGATCAACCTTTTCTTAGCCACTGCTTATATACGAGAAAGACCAAATGCTTGTTTGTTTTGATTTACAGGACATGTATACAATATATCCTCTGTCCTTGGGGGATCTTGCTGCCAAGTTGAGGTACGATGACTGAACTTCAGGATTGATCAACCTTTTCTTAGCCACTGCTTATATACGAGAAAGACCAAATGCTTGTTTGTAAACTGCGTTGAAAATTTAATGATCCACCTTCAATTCTGACATGAAGACACAAGAAGAAATAGTTCCCTCTCCTTTTGGAATACACAAAGCAAAATATTTAATAAATTTTAGTGGATGGACAAGAGCAATTAGCATAACTTCCCCTCAAGTTAACTTCTGGCACTGATGAATTACACACTGACGCTTATTCGCTTCATATTTTGTAACAAACGCGCTAAAACTGCAATATAACAGCACTATATGCTTCTTGACAAAATACAATAGAAGTAAAAATTTAGCCCTGATGGCATTCATTCTTGGTGGAAACGTAATTACAAAATATTTTGTAGTAACTATTAAATTCCAGCCGAAAACAGTCCACGGTTTAAAAAAGAATCATTCCAATGACGGTCCATTCTTGCGGTCCTGAAATCGCCACTATTTCCGGCCTTTCCAACGCAACTCGTTGTCCAGACGTAAATATGCGTTTCTCACGGGCGAAATCGGCGCAGTGCGATTTTAAAAATTTATTGTGTTTGGTAGGTGCTTTTATTTTGAATTTGCGATTTTTGTACGCTCTACAAAAAACAACGGTGAAATAAAGTAATCTTGGGTGAAAGTGCTTGTGATATGTCATTGCTTTCATAGGGTTCCAATTACCGTGCACGGGAAACAAAGGCCGCAAAGGCCTTTCAGTTTGCGGTGGCCGGCGGCTACAACTTGAACTCGCCATTGCACGCCACGCAGTGGTATATTCAGCGTAAATTCATATTGGAAGGTAACTGCGGCAAGGCAAAATGTTCACTTGGCTCCACATACATTTTTCAGGTTTTGAATAGGTATTTCTCACATTTTGAGCTTAGAGGTTTCATTGTAATCATGTCTATTGTCATAGTTTTGATCTAACGTGCTGTATTTCAGGAACGTCGGGTCCTCACCATGTCTGTGATGTTTGCGCCGCCCGCCCCCGGGCAGCAGCAGAGGGGTGGCCGACCTCCACCCACTGCCCAGCAAATTCAGAAGGTGTGAGAAAGCATCAATTTCTGCCAATATCACCCGGGCTCTTTGATTTGCCAAATTTGAGACCTTATATTTGAAAGTATATTGCGCAATAATTATGATAAGCTTTTTAGATAAAATGCTTTTATCATGATCATTGTGAGCCAATGCTTCATTTCACAGTTTGTTGATGATTACTAGCATGTGGTTAATGACACCTATGATTTTCACAGCCTAATTTTCACTGATTCTTGGGCTGTATGTTTCAGCTGCTGGATGAGAACAGCCAGCTGATCCAGACAATCCAGGAGTGTCAGAACAAGGGGAAGATGCAGGAGGTGCATCAGTACCAGCAGCTGCTGCACCGCAACCTGGTCTACCTGGCCTCCATCGCTGACTCGTCACAGAACATCCAGAGCCTGCTACCCGTGAGTGGCCATTAACACAGGGTACATCTTCCTCTTCACAGCACTCTGTGGGTTCACTTGGCTTAAACTGTCCAGCCAGCCTTTACAGAAGATAGCCAGAGGGGACTGAAATCTGATTATGCACCAAACAGGAGCCCAGTTGGACATGAAATGTGCCTCAAGCTGGCTCCCATATGGTGCCCTAAACATATTACACAGACAGTGCTTTGATAGGGCAGTGTATGGGAAGTGCTAGAATATATTTGTATGCTCATGCAGTTGCAGCTGATTTTGAAAGTTTTGACCCATTTTTTGGATACAATGAAGCCTGAAGGAGAAACTTTTTGGCATTAACTTGTGTTTGTTTTACCTCAAAGCTATTTTGGCCCTCACTCCTTGCTGATTTAATGTTGAAGCATACTGAACATCAGCTGATAAAACTTAAACCTCAAATGATTATATGGATGGATTGACAAAGCTGGAGCTTACAGTTTGCACATTATTACGCAAAACACGCAAACCCGCAAAAAACGCACGCAGAAAACGCATAGTGTAGCCAGGCTGCCGAACCAAAGTGATGGACTGCGGGAAGTTTTTACCGCTGTGTCAGTGCGTTGTGCTTGAGGAGCTTGTGGTGCACCGTGCAAGGCTCAGAAAACCGGCGATTGTGACTTGTGAAATGACGTTGGGGGAGAGGGGGGGATTCGCTTAGTTTTGGGGTTTAGTGTTTTTGAGGAAATCGGGGACACGCATTCAGAGGCGGTATGCATATACCTTCTAGTGGGGGCATAGGTTCACGACGATACAGCATGTAAATTGTGAACGAGTTTCGGGAAAATTATAGATCGTGATTTTTTAACCAGTAACTTGTTTAAATCTAATGCACCTCCAATATGATTTAGATTGAGCCTGACTACGATCGATTTGGTTCCCGGTAGGCAGTGCTGTTCAATTCAAGTTTACAATCTCCATGTGTTCAGTTGTCGATCTTGTATGGGTCACTGTCCTCTAAGCTCCGCTCACAGCATTTCAGCGGCCGGTATAGACTGTCTCCCCAGCTGCTGTGCGTTCCCTGCCCTCCGTCCGTACGCTCACGGTGCTCTGTGTTGCAGCCGCCGCAGCCGCCGGGCGCCCAGCCGGGGGTGTCGCCGGCAGAGGGGGGCGGCCAGCGCGCGCCGCAGTACGCCGCCGGCTACCCGCCGCCGGCCGGCGGCATGATGGCCGGCCGACACCAGGGCCAGTACCGGCCGCAGCAGGCCGGCTACCCGCCGCAGGGGCAGCAGGCCTACCCGCCGCAGCAGGTCAGTACCGCTCCGGAACAAACGGGAACTATACTGACACAGGGACAGTACCGGCCCGGAACAAACGGGAACTCAGTACTGACACAGGGCCAGTACCCGCCGCAGCAGGTCAGTACCGCTCCGCAACAAACGGGAACTATACTGACACAGGGCCAGTACCGGCCGCAGGGACAGCAGGCCTACCCGCCGCAGCAGGTCAGTACCGCTCCGGAACAACGGGAACTGTACTGACACAGGGCCAGTACCCGCCGCAGCAGGTCAGTACCGCTCCGCAACAACGGGAACTGTACTGACACAGGGCCAGTACCGGCCGCAGGGACAGCAGGCCTACCCGCCGCAGCAGGTCAGTACCGCTCCGCAACAACGGGAACTGTACTGACACAGGGCCAGTACCGGCCGCAGCAGGTCAGTACCGCTCCGCAACAACGGGAACTGTACTGACACAGGGCCAGTACCGGCCGCAGCAGGTCAGTACCTACCGCTCCGGAACAAACGGGAACTGTAACGACACAGGGCCAGTACCGCTCCGAAACAACGGGAACTGTACTGACACAGGGCCAGTACCGGCCGCAGGGACAGCAGGCCTACCCGCCGCAGCAGGTCAGTACCGCGGCTCCGGATAGGACGGTACCGCTCCTGTGACTGCATTAGCCGCAGTAGCTTCAAATGCAGGTCGCAGCAGGACTTTGCCGATCTCGGATGGGCAGCAAAAGCTCAGTAGATCAGTACCGCTAAAAAAGAACATGGAAGCAGCCTGCGGGTCGGTGCAGACTTCAGCATCTGATGGGGGCGAACCAGCACACGACGCTGTCTGCGTCCAGCTTAGGCGGCGGTCGGATTTGTACTCGCCTCACTAATAGCAATGTAGTCAGCTTATATTGTATGTTTCCGGACCACGGTTATTTGTTAGTGGTCAACATGTACGTACATTCAGCATATTGTTGGGCGTCGCAATCGTAGCGTCTTCCAGTGGGTACACTTGGCGTGGTTTCTGACTGGCGGCTGCCCGGCAGGGCTACGGCTACGGTGGCCAGGCGGGCGGCTACGGCTCCGGCTACCAGGCCGGCTACCAGGGCCAGCAGATGTACGGCTACGGCCAGACGGCGCCGGCGGCCGGCCAGCAGCCGCCCGGCGCGCAGTACGGCCAGTACGGCCAGCAGCCGCCCGGCCAGCCGGCCGCCTACTACGGACAGCACGGCTACCAGCACCAGCCGGGCGGCGGCTACCAGTACCCGGCGGCCAGCGCGGCCGGCCGGCCCGACCAGGCGCGACACGCCGCGCCGCCGCAGCCGCAGCCGCAGGCTCAGCAGCCGCCGCAGCAGCAACAGCAACAGCAGCCTCAGTCTCAGCAGGCGCAGCAGCAGCAGCCGGGAGCCCAGCAGCACCCGCAGCAGCAACAGGGTCCGCAGCCGTCTCCTCAGCAGCAACAGCAGCAGCAGCAGCAGCAGCCAGGACAACATCCTCAGCAGCAACAGCCAGGGCAACACCCTCAACAGCAGCAGCAGCAGCATCCACAGCAGCAACAGCAACAACAGCCTGGACAACATCCTCAGCAACAGCAGCACCCACAACAGCAGCAGCCTGGACAGCACCCACAGCAACAGCAGCCAGGACAGCACCCACAGCAACAGCAGCAGCAGCAGCAGCCAGGGCAGCACCCACAGCAGCAACAGCAGCAGCCAGGACAGCACCCGCAGCAGCCGCCCCACTCTCAGGCTCAGCCCCCGCAGCAGCCGTCTCCCGCTGCGCAGCAGTCTCCACAGCAGCAGCAGCAGGCCCAGCCGCCCCAGCCGTCGCCGCAGCAGTCTCAGCCTCCGCAGCAAACCCCGCAGCAACACCAGCCTCCGCAGCAGCAGCAGCAGCAGCCCCCACCCCAGCAGCAGCAGCAGGCCCCGCCGCAGCAGCCGCCGGCACCGCCTCAGTCGGCTCCGCAGCAGGCGCAGCCGTCTCCGCAGCCGCCGCAGGCCGCCACCTCTCCCCACCCGCCGGTGCGCAGCCCGCAGCAGCCGCCGCCGCAGCCGAGTCCGCAGCCGGCCGCTCAGCAGCAGCCGCCGCAGCAGCAGGGCTCGCCGCAGTCTGCGCTGCCACCGGCGTCTACCCCACAGCCCCAGCCGCGCCCGGTGGCCACTCCGAGCCCGACAATGGCCTCTGCGCCGAGCCCGCATCTGCCGGCTCCCTACCCGCCCGGCCAGCGCTCTGCCTCGCCGTACCAGCAGGGTTACCCGGGCCCGTACCCGGGCCAGCCGGCGCCCGGACAGCACTACCCGGCGGCGGCGCACGGTGCGCCGGCTCCCTACCCGCCGGCCTCCCAGCCGCCGTACACGGCCACCAGCCAGCCGGCTCCGGCCGCCGGCGGGCCCGGCCCGGCGCCGTACCCGACCAGCTCACAGGCGGGTCACGCGGCCGGCTCCCCGTACCCGGCCAGCAGCCAGCCGGCGGCCCACTCGGCGCCGGCCGGCGGCCCGGCCGTCTCCAGCGCGGCGCCGGCGCCCTACCCTGCCGCCTCGGCGGCGCACGTGGCCGGCGCCGGCGGCCAGTACGCGGTCAGCGGCGGCCAGGCGCCCTACAGCGCCGCCGGCGGCGCCCACTACCAGCCGGCGTACGCGCCGCCGGTGGCGGCCGGCGGCCAGCCGGGCCAGGCATACCACTACTCGGGCCCGCCGCAGGGCCAGTACCCGCCGCACGCGCCGTACTCGTACCCGCCGGCGGCGCAGCAGTACCCGGGGTACCACCACCAGCAGTACCAGTACCGGCCGGCGGCCCCGGGCGCGCCGCCGGCCGGCCAGCCCGGCCAGTACGGCTACCCGCCGTACCAGCACTGAGCGGCGGCGGAGCAGACAGCGACCGACACCACCACTCGCCGTGAACAGGTGTGTACGGCCGGTTCATCCGCCGGGGAGTGGAGTGAGGGCTCTGTCTGAGGGTTTGAGAGCGGACAGTGGCGGTGGCGGCCGGGGACGCGCGCGGATGGTCGCTCAGTTGGGCGCGTCTCCCTGGTGGCCCGTCTCCAGCCGGGACTTGGCTCCTATGGAAGTCGGAGACCCCGCCTGTGAGCCGGCGATGCCAGAGGTGTGTAGGGATGAGTTTTGATAGCAGTCCAACGCGGACTTGCGTAGATGCATGGAATGATAGCGGTAATTTTAAGGTCTGTCTCACTTTTCATTCGGACGGTCTTCATTTGAGGTTTTTTTATGCCATGCTGGCGTGTGGCCGTTTTGGCGTGCCTGCTTTTGCTTTTTGTAAATGGCTGAATGTTTCGTACCTATTTTCGACGGATTTCTCGGTTGCTGGGTTGATGAGCTGTAGAGTTAGAGAGGGTCGGTGTCTGTGGAATCCATCGGTAAGGGCGTAGCGCGATCTATTTCACTCATTCTGAACACGTTTTCGGTAAGATGCAGTACCATGTTTGACAGCTCAGTGCAAGTGGTGTCCCGCAATGTCCGGTTCAAATTCTGGCAGCCTTCGGAAACTGGTATCCAAATTGTGCCGGCTGTCATCATTACTTGTCACCACGCAGTTTACACATAGATGTATTGTCCGTAATAAATAGAGGTCGAACACAATGTCTAGTCAGGCACTGAACAACATAACACGATATGGCCGTCAACAGCAATGATTGGCCAGTTCTAGCACTCTAGTTACAGAGCGGGGCTGTCCCCCGACGCTAAGCGGCAGCCCGCTCAGATCTATTGTCTCTCAATAATAACCAACATTCCTCTCACTTCTAATCTCAGTCGCACAATCTCACTGTTTGGCTCGCTGTGTACGACCGTACCTATGTGACATCTCGGAATTGTTCGCTGTGGCACGGCCGGGGATGACCCCAGGAAAGTGTCTCGGTGCGTCACTGGCTAAAATTCTCCTCACCAGCGTCACTCCGTCACATCACCGTCACATTAGCCAGCGTCATCGCTTGGCCGCGTCACTATCACTCGGTCACGTCACGGCGCGCGTTACGCCTCAGCCTCGACGGCCGGCAGCGGCTCAGTGTCTTTGAACGAGGCCATGCTGGTCTCCATCCAGTACTGGTTGGCAGCCAGCGTGTCGAAGGCGCGGGCGGGGGCGGGGGCGGCCGGCCGGGCGCACTGCTGCCGCCCGGAGACTCCGACCAGCCGCCAGACGCCCGATCCGGAGCGGCACAGCAGCGGGGCGCCGGGCAGCTCCGCCGACTGCGGGCACAGACAGTCGGGATAGGGTCAGTGCGGGGTTCAACGGCACAGCAGCGGGGCGCCGGGCAGCTCCGCCGACTGAGGGCACAGGGCGGGTCAGAACAGTGCAGCACGGGCTAGAGACAGGTCAGCCGAGGCACATAACGGTAAAACGCCGGGCACAGACAGGTCAGCACAGGGCACAGTTAACAGGACAAGGAAGCCATCTGCACAGAATACAAACTGAGATTACGTCGTACGAGGCTGAGCACGAAATGCTTGAGAGTGCATAACATTCTGAGTGATTTTGTTTGAGATGACTCGGCTGTATTCTCACCTGGCAGAGGTGGTCTGTGCGCGGTGAGACGGCGGTCACCGTGACCGGCTCCGTCTCGTTAGAGGAGTCCGGCCGGCTGAGGTTCACCGTCAGGGGAACGTACCGCAGCTGCCCGTCTGAGGAGGGTCAGAGGAGCGCGGTGTCAGTGGGCTGGCAGTGGGGGAGCTCAGAGGGATGAGACTCGTGGGAATGCCGTGCTATAAGTTCGCTGACTAAAAAATATTTCCAACTACAAACTTCCAACTACCAAAAGACTACCATTAAAAACAGCTACCATTCTGATTCTGATTCTGATTCTGATTCTACCAGTGTTATCCCGTAGTAACTCTACCCTATCCCTTTCCCCGTCCGTGCGGTGCGCCCAGCTAGTCCCAGTCTTTCCACCTCGTCCGTTGTCCGACGTTCTCGCCCAGTCTCAACCCTTCAGCCCCGTCCACGTGCGGCCCTCTCACCTGTGCTGTTCCAGCCGAGTGTGAAGCAGGGTCCGAGCGGTCCGCCCTCGGCCGCTCCTGTCTCGGCGGCACAGACCGGTCGCACCTGGTCAGAATCCTCTGTGGGCCGTGCCAGTCGCAGCAGCGTCACCCCGCTGCCCTTGACGGGAGAGCGCACCATGCCCGAGATGCGGCGACGCTGCAGGTGCGGCGGCGAGCTGCCGGAGCGGGCCGAGCCGAGCACGGCGCGCCACCGGGTCCGTGGCCGGCTGCGGGGGGAGGGGAGAGTCAGTGGGCAACAGGGCCACCAGGGAGGGAGCTGGTCAGTGGGCTCCCTCCCACCTACCTAGGAAGGACCCACCTACCAGGTCTGAGAGTTGAGACGGAGTAGTTGGGACTGCTCAGTCCTTACAGAGACATGTGGCCTGCGTAGAGTGTACTGACCCTTTGAAGCAGTCGGCGGCCAAGACCAACCACTGGTTGTGGATCAGGGGGGCCTGTGTAGAGTGTACTGACCCTTTGAAGCAGTCGGCGGCCGAGACCAGCCATTGGTTGTGGATCAGGGGGGCCTGTGTAGAGTGTACTGACCCTTTGAAGCAGTCGGCGGCCGAGACCAGCCACTGGTTGTGGATCAGGGTGGCCTGTGTGGAGTGTACTGACCCTTTGAAGCAGTCGGCGGCCGAGACCAGCCACTGGTTGTGGATCAGAGTGGCGTCACAGAGATGATGGCCGTCCCGCACCAGGCGCGCCTGCCACGGGAAGTCTGCGGCTGCAGCGGGCGCAGTGCGCTTCTTCTGCAGTGGAGTCTGACCGGGCGCCAGGCCGCACTCTGTCGACACACAGTCACAGTCACAGTCACAACTCACATTATCCTGTGATGGAGTCTGACCAGCCACATCTACTGGGTCTTATTTCGGGGACACGGCCATTCGGCCAATCGCAGACTTCAGTCACAATATGGCTCTCAGCATTTCCAGTCTTACTGGACAAACAAGTCGGCTCTGCGCGTGACACAATGCTGGACGTCAGAGTTAGATCGGTGCCATCAACTGGAAACGTGAGAAAGTGGGCCGGAAATACTACAGTTCTCGTAAACCTTCCGCGCATGTGACGTCAGAGATTGAACAAACCGATACCGTCTCCACATTACGCGAATCTGCTTTCCGGGATCGTGATAATATGTAGTCACGATTCGAGCCACATTCGAGCCCTTGTAAACAGGACAGCTGGCACGACTCCACTCTTACGATGGTCCAGTGATCACAATGGAAGGCCATCGTGGGCGTTTCACGGTCAGGGAGCAATCACAATCGAAGGTAGTATGGACTGGACAGATCAGGGGAAGGGGTGGGGGGAGGTGTCACGGCACGGTGCACCACGTGACTTCCTAGACGGTGAATGGAGGCTCCAGGAACTCGGTGAATTTACAGCAATGACCAATTATTGTTCCCTCGTGTAACCCACTGGTGCCATTTGGTCAAGCATGTGGGACGACAAATGCATCCAAAGGAAAAACGGGAAGTAGAACGAGTTCCCCACGAATCCAACAAAATATCCGTTCCCTGATGCCCCATTTTCTATCAAAATACGTAAGTCACGTTGGATTTATATGACTCAGTCAGAGTCGAGGCGAGCTACGGTGGGCTTTAACCGTGTGACAGGCCTGCAGAGGATGGCATTCCACAGACCTAGCTCGGAGCAGCGGACAAACACGCCCTGCTCGGAGGGACAGTCGGCCGGCTGGAACGTGCTGGCGCCCTGTGAGAGGCCGCGCAGCTGCACGAACGCGGCCGTCGAGTTGGCCGTCTCATCCTCTCCCTCCTCCTCCTCTGCCACCGGCCGCGACTCCACCAGCTCCGTCTTTCTGCGGACGCGGAACAGAGGGAGATGACTCGAGTGTCGGGAATTGGATACGGAATGCGTCAGGTCGGCCACTGAGTGTTGATACCGACAGTTTGCAAATGGTATCAGCAGATGAACACACTCAGTATATGTGCACCAACATACTACCCTCATATCATGTGAGCTCACAATCCCATCTGCATAAAAATGATCAAGGAGATTACACAATACAGTGCCAATATGAAATCCCTCTCCGGCCGATACCTGCGCGCGTCTCCCCGCTGTATACCTGTAGGAGAGCAGGGCGCAGGCGGTGCTGAGGTTGGCCAGCGGCCCGGCCGGGACGGTGTCGGCCCCCGCGGTTTCGTTGGTCGTTCCGGCGCAGATGTAGTGCTGCCGGCCCCAGCCGTTATAGGTGAGGAAGCCCTGCACGGAGCCGGGCCGGGCAGCGTCTGTCGTCGGCTCGGCGGCGTCCAGACTCACTGTGGAGGATACATATAATGGGAGTGGATGCAGAGGGACACGGAACGAGATAAACAGCGCAATTGGGGAGTGAATCACAGAAAAGCCACCTAGAGATCGGAGATAAAATTGTAGGGAACGGCATGTAGCACTAACACCACTTCGGAGACTGCAATAGAGTATGTAGCACTTACACCACATTGGAGACTGCAACAATGTATGCAATGCTAACACGGTGGAGACTGCAATAACCTATGTAACCCTAACTCATTGGAGACTGCAATAACGCATGTAACGCTAACTCCACAGTAGAGACTGCAATACTATATGTAACAGTAACACCACAGTGGAAACTGCAATAATGTATGTAACGCTAACTCATTGGAGACTGCAATAACGTAAGTATCGCTAACACCAGGACATTACAATAACGTATGAAACCACTAATACCGTAGACTGCAACAGCGTATGTAGCACTAACACCACAGTGGTGACTGCAGTAACGTTTGTATCGCTAACACCAAATTAGAGACTTCAATACCGTATGTAATAATAACACCAAAATGACGACTGCAGTAACGTATGTAACGCTAACACAGTGG